CACTTATTTTCTTTGAGGATTTTAAATAAATTTGATTTTTGTTTTCCTTCAACCATTATGGAACTGTTTAAGATTCATCAGATACTTTTTATTGAAATTAATGACTGTGTTCTTATGTCACACTTGTTTACTTCTCCTATAGATACTGCCGCAGACTGTTGTCTGTTAGTTTCACTCACAGTGATAGCCGAGACACCGTGGCATCTATCACTACAGTTGTTCTCAAACTCCTAAGTGCACCACACCAATCAACCCATCTCACTGTTTAATAACTACAACAAGCGTGTAATGCATGTATGTTAATATAGTAAATCCAAGTTTAGAAGTTTTTAGTTATAAAAATAAATGTTTAGTAAACAATGCTTTTTATTGACTGGTCCTAAAATGCAGATAATAAAAATTAATCTTTCAAATTTGATATAAAAAAGTATAATTTTCAATTTAATTATTGATATGCATAACACTTATATCATATTTACTGTTTATGAGTTATTAAGTTTATAACTGTTTAAAATGTAGACGAAAAGAAAAAGAATGGGTTGTCATCTAAATGTATCTAAATCTATTAATTTAATTTATCATTTAAAAAATGGATATGAAGTTTATTTCATTTTCCAACTCTGTCTAAACTTTAAACTACCATAACTTAACAATTGTAAATCAGTATGCAAAAAAAAAAAACAATTTGTTTTGTTTCAAACGTGTTTTTTTTGTTAAACCACATTTAAAAATACTAAAAATATGATTTTTTTTTTTTTTGTTTATAAAATAATAGTTGATTATAAATAGAATTTTATTATAATTATATAAAAATAACAATTAAAAAAATGTTAATTCTTTATCTAAAAGAAATAGGAACCATGTATTACATAACATTTTATACATTATGTGTAAAACGATTCAAATAGCGATTTGTTTAAAACACTTTGCAATACTGTTGTAAATCCAATATTAGTTTTATGGATATCAATATATATGCATTGTCCACCTGAATTTGTGTTTAGAGAAGAGTAGTTTCTATTTGAAAATCAAAAGTGTATAAACATTTAGGAAAATCAATGTTAAAAAAATCAAATTCATTTAAAATCCTCTATATAAAATAGTATTATCATTACTTTCTTGTTATTGTAATTTTTTCTTTTTTTAAGTATACAGTAATAATTAAGAAACAGTATCTATGTATTTTAAACTTAAATACATTTATTTAAATTCAATATATCTATCACCTTGTTTTCAATGGACATTCAGTAAACAATGATTTTACTTACTTTGTATTCACTGAAATAAATGGTGAATTATAATTATACTTGTCAAAAATTGTACCTTTTTATTTGTTTTAAGGGAATAGAAAGTAGACATGCAGTATGTTTAATTTTAAAATATTTGATGGTTTGATTTTAATATTTTTTAAAAGCTATAGATCTAATAATTATATTATTTAGTTAGTTACCTATAGTTTTCACTCAAAAACTTTGTTGAAACAAATATCATACCTACCAAAAATCATAAGTTAACTCTTAACTGTCCTAGCGCCAAGATGACTTCAATGTTCCTTAGTTCACTTTAAATTACTCTTAAAAACTTACAATTGAAATTTTACATATAATATAACCTAACCTATCATATTATTAAGTAAGAAAAAAAATTATAAAAAAAACATTCATGTTTAATATTGTACACATTTTTTTCTGCGAAATTTCCCTAGAAAAAAATCTGTTATACTGTATTATGACTATTATATTATATATGTGCAGATTTTGCAATTTAAATTTTGTTTTTTTAGATGGTTGTTATACTTGATAGTATACATTTAATGGTCTCGGAATTTATTTGTATAGTTAGACATACACATACACAATGTCCCTAAATTTAGACCACTTTTCTAAGTTCAATACGGTTCAATATTAGCTGAGATACAGTAATTTATAGTTATACAACATTCAATTTATTTGATATGTATATTTCATATATTTCACAATCCTTACGTAGGAATGTATATAACTTAGGTTTCATTATTTTCTACCATTTATCCTATTTTTTTGGGTATTTTAAGGTTATTATTATTAAGATAAATTTTACTTAATATCATCATGTACTTATAAAAATTAGTTGTAGTTTAATAAGTTTTATTTTTATTTATTAAATGACCGCGTTTAGTATGCAGTTAGATGTCTTTTTAATTTATTAGGTACCACACACTCAATGCTGAGATATTCTCCATATAACAAGCACTGAGGACTTTCAGTTTCAAAATAAGTAAAACCAAAATTTAAATAATTATCTTAGTACTTACTTATGACCAGCACTGTTTAGAAGATTTTGGACCTGATTTGATACCCTCAGTAATTGTTTTATCTCGTTTTCAAAAAACTTATCCATATTTTAATTTTTAGACTAAAAGAATGAATATGTACAGCCTGACAGTTTTGAACGTTAATGTTTCATACAGATACATTATAATTAGAGCGCGGATTTATATGCATTTGTATATTTATTCTGGTTGATCGTATGACATGCTAAGTGAGCATATATTGTGTTTTATGACAACAATTTAAAAAATGAAACTTTTAGTGCATATTTTTGCATATTTCTACAGTTACGCATTTTTTTTTTTTCAAGGGCTTATTTTACAGTTTTAATTGCATATTTCATCTTTGAATGCATATTTCGATATTCTTTTATTTTTTTTTTATACATTTTTGAAATATATACTATTGTAATGCAAGAAAAATAAAATTATATTTGTATAGTTTTAATATAAAAATAAATTAATAGGTATACTTGTAGATATAAACGGTTTTGACAAATATAACCTTAAATCAATATTTGTTGGAATAAAATTCGTATACCAAGATAAGAAAATATCGATGACGACCATTGACTATTGACATTACTAATTCAGTTGCGTTAAAATATTTACCGTGCGTTCGTGTGTGCTTTCCGTTGTAACTCCCGTTTTTATTACTTTATTTTCATCAAAAATGCCAGAAGATAAATCGTCGTTATCGAGAATATTATACATAAAAACTACCTTCAAAATAATGAAAGTGAAGAAAAAAATGAAGTATTTATAGTAGGGTCGCATAATTTTAAATTTATGGTTTTAATTAAATGTTCAAAACATAAATTTGTTCTCTAATTTATTTATGCATATTTTTTATTTTTCATGCATATTTTAACATTGTAGTGCATATATATCCGCGCTTTAATTATAGTAAATACATAAAACTTTCAATATTCAAATACAAATAATATAAAATATAATATTACTAGAGATAAGATATAGATGATTACGTATTATTATATCCAATAGCGGGTAAACCTATAATTCCCAGTTTTAATTAGGTACTTATTTTTGACAAATAGAAAATGTTTATCCGATGACGATTCCATAGTGTATTGCAATGTATGATAAATAATGACTATTAATAATGTGTCTCGACGGAAAAAAAGTTTGAGAACCACTGGTATAGGTGTTCGGTCTTTTTAATATATTAGTAGTAACTATCTGATTTTTACACAGGTAACTGCTAAAATATTTTTCGAAATCAAGTATGACTTTTGAATGAATCTCCTATTCAATTTGCAAGCATTTCTAACTACCTAGTCTAACAATTTTACCACACGAATAAAAATTACATACCTACAAAACTCGCAAAATTAAAATGTCTATAAAAGGCTAAACATTTTTGAAAATTATAAGTTTTCTGTCCACATTTCCAATTTATGAATATTTTTGACTGAATTACAACAAATAACAAAATTGAAAATAAAAAAACCATTAATTTCTTAAATTGCCAGTATTTCATACGTTTTATCCCGGGTTTTCCCAAATATTATGAAAACCGTTTGGAAAATCAAAAAATGACCTCTCTAAAGTATCATCTACACAATATATCTTTTCAGACATGGTGTGCCACACGTACTAAACGGAGCAAGATGTCTGGTAGAAATTGTCACAGTATAAGGAAAAAAAATTATAAAAATAAATATCATTGTAATATAGGGTGACCAATTTTATAAAAAAAAAAAAATGAGACATACATTACTCCCCCTCCCCCTCCCCAAAAAACCCCCTTTTATATACAATAATATACATTCACACATATCCACACAACTGTAGAGTGTAAAAATACAAACCTGAGTCTTATCACAAACAATTATTTTCTTAATTTTTTACTGTTTTTGAGTAAATAACCTTAATAATAAAAATGTTAAAATGTTTAGGAATATTTTCTTTTTATTATTTATTAAACAACACAATGTTTAATTTCAAAAATATTATAATTTTTTAAACAATTAAAAAATGTTCTTTTAAATATTAATATTAAAGTATTATAAATTAAACAATACATTGTTACATACCAATACTGTTAATTTTTTTTTTAACAAGAATTAGGAAAATTACAATATCAGCTTTCTTTATTATTTATAAATTTGATAATCCTTCTTCCACACTTTCTACTATTTTTTCGTATTTTACTGAAGAACTTATTGAATTTAACAATTTTGGGTACTCCAAAAAGAAATTCATAAAATTGTGAACAAGTTAAGCTTTTAAAGTGTTGTTTTGCAATCATTAACGATCTAATGGTTTCGACATTAAAACGACTTTTTTCATCTGTCCACAATACATTTGTTATTGAAAATATTCTTTCTACAGTTGCATTTGTTTCAGGAATAGCCAATGAGTATTCAATAATTGTTGAGAAGTCGTTGAAAGAAATTTGTTTTTTTTTCTATTATTTCAAATACATCATACCATTTTTCTGTGACTCTTTTTGAACAATTTCTTCATTAAATAATTTATCCTCATCTATGTTCCAATCCAAGCTCAGTTTTTTATTTTTAAATAAATATTGAATACTGTCTTGAACAGCCAAGCAGGAATATCTAATAATTGAGTCCATCGGCAAATTTTGAACGGTTCAAAATGACAACTCAATTTTTTTACGTAAGATAAGAAAACACTATAAAAATCATCAACCTTTTCTATACAATTATTTTTGCTGTATATCTTTTTTTTCATCAAGGTCTTCAATAATTAAAGCTAATTTTAATATGAAAAATTGTTGGCTTTGTCTGTTCCTTATTTTTCCACATACCACTTCCAGTTTTTCATATACTTCACTTACTGAAATATTGTCGCTTTCAGTTCTCGTTATTGTGTCGCAAACTACCTTCAATTGGGTTTGAATAAAATACAACCATGCAATAGAAACAGGGTTATCGAAAAACTGTTTCAAAATTGTAGTAACAGCTGGTTGCAAAGATAACCATCGTGTTTTAACAGTACCCAAAATCGAGTTTTTGAACTCGACATTTACAAAATCACACAATTCTTTGAATTCTTCTATTCGGACTGTGTATATATGAAAATATTAAAATATCTCACCATGTTCTATTGAGAATATAGATTTACACTCGGTACACAGAACTTTCTCTATTTCATTAGCATCTCTTAAATTAGGAAACTGCGTTTTTAATTTTATATTAAAACCGCATCGTCTCTTAGGCATCTTAAGCAATATTATTAATAAGCTAATGAAAGTTAGGAAAAATATCGATAAGTACACGTCAATTTCAAAATAGAAAACGACTTTACGGAAAAGAATTCACGGATCGACTGTCAACGGTGGACACAAAACAGTGTCAACCAAAAACTATTATCGAATACCGACAAATCCCTATAAAAGACAGAAGAACACGAACGGACAATGTAAAAACGATAACGAACAATATTTAATCGTAAACGAATCAATACAATAGCATTGACTATAAAATTATAAATAATATTATATTACATTTAATATTTAAGTTCGTAGATTACGTAGAACGACATTTTATGCCATACATTGTGTCTCATGCTTTTCGCTAATTTTACTTTCGTCGGTATTGAGACTCTATGTTCGTTCCACGGAAACTGTTATCTGTTATTTATAAATTTGATTTCAAATTTTAAACATAGGTACGAGTAAAACTGTTTTATATTTGTTTCATACATCGATATTTTTCTTCACGAACATAATATGTAAATAACGGGATTAAAACGGGATAAAAAGCGTCCCGTTTGAAGTTTGTCGGGAGACCGGGACATGACGACCAAAATGGGGACAATCCCGTTTTAAACGGGACGTCTGGTCACCCTATTGTAATATCGGTACATTCTTCGCCACATTCAAGAAAAAAAAACTTGTGACAAATGTGCGAATAGTAAACGTTTCAAATTCTTTATAGTTCATAGTTAATTAAATAACGTATGCGACGCTGGTATAGGTAGTTGATATTACTGTTACCACTCTATGAATTTAATAGGCAAAGATGGATTGACGTAGAAGTCGGTAGATCTGAAAACCCATAGGACGACTGGATAGACTCAAGAGAGGTAATTCAGGATAGGGTAGGTGGTGGAATGTAGTAATGACAGCGAAAACTCTTAGAGAGTATAGTCATGCGAAAGAAGAAAAAGATAAGTATAATAATAATTTAATTTATAATTCTGCGTGCGGGCACCACGTTTTTAAAAAATTCGCACTCATTTGGTTACGCCCGTGTATTCTCTAGTTATATATTTAGATGTAAGATAGCGCTGTCGGTATAGTTTTAACCTTTGATCATATACTATGAGTAGAGTTATTGACTAAATATTCGAAGCAAACTTAAAGGGAGTTGGGACAAACGCGCATGCGTAAAACTTATATCACGTGCAATTGATTGAATTCACGTAATCACGTGTGATGCACTTACCATCACTGCCTGGTGGTACTATAATGATTATACGATAAATATGCAACGAGTACTGATACGCATGCGTGATAGACCCTTAACACTCGTTTATAATGAAGTCTTCAACTCGTAGTACGCGTGTATCATGCAGTAGCTCTATCCATAATATATGATCTGAGATTTTATCGCTGCGGTGCGGCGGTAAACGGTACGGAATCGACACATGAATGGTACGGTAAAATGGAGCTCGTAGTTTTATGTGAGGCAAACCACAATAGTACAATATTATTGGATCGGTGAACGGTATGCGCGCCGATAATCTTCGCCAAAAAGTTTAAAACTAAACGAATGCAGTTAAATGTACAAGCACACATTGCTGCGATACAACGCCGGTTCGATAAAAAATATCTTACCGTATTCCAATATTGTTTTAACATGCACGGTTTTTACCGTCTACCTGGCCGTTACATTTTTATAGAGCAAATGTTCGCTCATGTTGTGACTTTTTAATTTAGCTTTAACTTTTGACTAGTAAATTCCCACCTTCAGAAATATAAACGAAATACGTAATTTCATTGTAATTAATATTAGTGGATTTAAGAAATAATTATACATTGCAGTTTCTACGATAAACTATCCGAATACCTAGAGGTCTTAGTAATATAATACCCAGTATTATAATTCCTAGTAATACCTGGTATTCTAATTTACACCTATCAGACATTAAATGACGTTGAGGTCTCTAAAATATGGTGATTCAAATCATCTTAGTTTAGAACTTCTCCCAAGGATATGTTGAAATAAGAGAGCAGTTAAAACGCGAACAAATTAGGCTTGAACTTGACCCGTATAACTTCCTTCTATAAGAGTGTATTGGAAAGTCATCCCTTTTTTATTCCTTCAGATTGACACTAAATTTGGTTAAAGTGGTCTTTAGGTGCCTTAGAGACCGTTTCCAAAGTTTGGTTATGATCGGATGAATTTCAGACTAAGTCCCTCAGAAGGGATTTTATGGTATCAAATTATGGAGGGAACTTGAGTGGGGTGCCAAGTCAAATTACTTAGCGTTGAAACCATTATCTTATCACTAAATCCCCCTGAGATACACTTAATCCAAAAATCAGAATTGGGGAAGGGTACTTTTAATATAAAGTGCACTTAACATACCTCTATATATATATATCTGTGAAGATCCCCCACGGGTACGTTGAAAATCTTCAGAGTTATAATGGTTCTTGAATGCTCTAGGAATTGCATACCTCTTTGGAAGGTACGGTAAATTTTGAGGGGGGTTATAAATACTAGAATTATGGTACTGAGGGGTATGATAATGCTAATATAATTATACTCCGGCAAACGAATTAAGAGGGTATATATGTCCTAACATAATCGTACCGGGAGTGGGGTATGATGTTCTTCAGTATGAAATGCCTGTGACACCGGATCGGACCTCTCGTCAGGATCGATGATGGCGGGACTGTTTTCCAAGAAGTCTATGTTAGAAACCCAATCAGATATTTGCATTTTGTATTATATAAACAACAACTCAATATCCAATTTTCAACATTATTAAACGAAAATACGTAGTGTGTAAAGTGTAATCAGCTTACCAAGAAACATTTGAAAATGGACAATAGAAAACAAGGAAAAAATTAAGAAAGAATGGGAAAGTTTACGGAAATAATGGTTTCATTATTTTAAATTTGGTTTTATTGTTGCAATTTATTAAACATATTCTTAGAGATTTAAAAATTTGATGTAAAATATATACTATTTGCCTTTTCTATGGACATGGTAAAATTTTCAAAACATTGGCGATTTTTGAGCTGTTTATAGGTATTTTATGTTTAGGAATTTTTCACATAATTAATTATACGTAGTTTATAAACAAAGATTATTATAAGTTATACTTAGTGATCAAATAAAAACAGTAGAGTATAATGTGGTTTTTTTTTAAATCGTGACGAAAATATTGTAAAACGTAAGATATTTTAAAAAATAATGTATAACCAAACTTCGCTTAGAATCCTTTTTCGTTGACAATGGTTTATCATTGCTTACAGATATAAATAAAATAACTTAAGATATCTTACCTTATCAATTTAAGACACGCCACTTAATTTAACCTATGAGTTTTAAATTAAATACTAGTCTATAACAATAAAATATGTTATTAATTAATAAGTACTTATAACGTATGTCGATTATTAATACATGATTTAGTAGGTACCTACAATGTATTGATTGATTCTACATAATGGTGATAAGCAGCTGATTTGACCACTCTCTTTTTATAATGTTATAGGCTATTTGGTATTATAGTGAATCATGTTGAGGAACATCACACGGGCATAGCCGTGCGGGTACAGTTATAATAGTGTGATTTATGAAAAAAAAACACAATTAACGGGTGAATTATGAAAAAATGTATTGGTTGAAAAATATACTATGAAATTGTACAACCTTAAATCTCTATCAAAGAAAGTAATATAGTTTCTAAATAGTACAACAGAGTACTGAGTAGGTAACTAATACAATATTATTTTTGCTGTACTAAAACAGAACAGAAATTTAAATACTGATACATAATATATGTGTCTAACAATAATAATAATACAGTAACTATTAGAATAGATATATTAAATAATTTGCCGGTAAAATAATGGCGTCTGCATCATATATAATATATAATTGATATTTATACACATATTATATATAAGTACACATGTATATAAATAGGTGCGTAAAGCTAGAATGTATTGAGTATAGTTTTGTATGTACAAGTATAATTTGTCTAGACAATTCGGAAACGTTTTACACGTTTTTATTATGCGATAATATACAGAATGGTTCAAAATGTATGTTATAGCCATTTTATCATGTAAATATTCATAATAGATAAAAATGTGTAACAAAAGTTTTTCGATTAATAAATATCTAAAATAATTTGTACATTTTTTTTTTTTTTTTTACTCTATTTTTTGTGGGGGTTTCGGGGGTCAACTTTTGAAATTCAAATGAGAACCTATGCGCTTGTGTGCTGGCAAGGCACCACGTGGGGCGTTTGAATAGTGTTCCACTTCTTTTTCCTTACATTTAAATTAAAAAGTAGAATATCTCGTCAACGGGTTGTTGGAAATCAAAAAGGTCAAGGTCAAAATTTATTTAAACTAATACTGCATTTAACTGTGGAATTTTTAATTAAGGTTCCCTTTTGAATTTTAAAAGTTGACCCTCAAAACTCCAAAATAAAAACGGTAAAAAAGAAAAGTGCACATAATTTTAGATATTTATGAATTTAATAACTTTTTTCTTATACATTTTTCTCAATTTGAATATTTATATTAAAAAATGGCTGTAACAAATTTTGAATCAACCTATATATGTATGTATGTATTTTTTAAGACGTTTCTAAACATTTTCGACTCTCTTTCTATGAGTATGTGTTTATATTTGTGTTAAATATCATGTATCTTTTAGTTACGGTTTATAAATACATAATATTATAATACCTATTATATATATTTATGAATATATGATTGAAACGTTTAATAATATATCTATATAAAACGTACATAAATATTAGTATAAGTAATATGATTAATATAAATTTTCACTCATTTATCACAACAAACTAATTACTTATAACAATCACAACTCGACGTGTAAATATAATAATATAGAAAGTTAAAAAAAGACACTTAAAACTATAACATTGAAAACGATCTAACCATTTTTAATGCACAACCTGCAGTAACCTACGAAAGTTGATGCTTTTATTATAGTTAATTTTCCTGGTCGTAATCTACCCTGTGTTAATTTAGTTATGTATTTCAGACTCTATGATCATTTGTTTTGTATACAACCCAATGATAAAGTTTTCAAATTGGCTATGAATAAAGGCTAAAAAATAAATGTAAACAACTCTGTAGTTTCACTCTCGGAGATAAAAGTCATTCAGCGTCCTACAATCATAGGCGCAACTAGGCACACTTTTTAGAAGGAAAGCGTAAGTGTGAGGACTTAAGATTTCGTAATTTTCCTCCTATAAAATATATGCATTAATTTTCTCCCTTGCATGTATACGTAATCTGTATACACACAATTAATATAATATTTTTAAATAGTTTATTTTTTTTTAAACCAATATATTATAATACATTTATATTGTATAATAATTAAAGCTGCAAAAAGAAATGTATATATTAAGACCTAATAAGCTCTAGTTTTAACCCCTAGTTGCGCCTGTGATCCTAATATAGACTATTTATATGCAAATATACATATATATGTATGGTAATAAGATGAACGAAGTATGTTGTAGAATTAGGTATAGAATCGTTTATAATCGTATACCTATCCTACGTCGTATCAGCAACCGTGTGTTTTTTTTTATCTATATAGTACATTACAATGTTATACGTCTTCATAGTTGTTGAACCCCCTCGGCGTTCAAGTACGAGGGGTCTACGGACACCACTTTGGCAGTCAGGAAAGCGTGCACGCAGAACAGCAGGCTTTGTAAGTCTTGACAGACCAATTCCTAATACAGAAAAAAAAAACGATACCACGGTTAAAACTTCTATTCGAGTTAAATTATTTTCGTGGTATTGGATGTTGGGAATTCGTTTTACAAAAACAACAGACATATTTTAATACGGGTGATCATCAATCAATCAAAATTTTGGATGTAGTTTTAAGAGTGATAAAACGTTTTTTTTACGAAGATATTGTTTAAATAGCAGTTTCAAAAAAAGAAACTGATATTTTATGTTCCGATATCCTGAATATCGGTCTATATTTACGATATTGGCTTATGCCAATACCCAACACTAGATTTAGGTGATAAATTTTGATTGAATTTCACCATGTTGTTGTGAGAGGAGGAGCTTTGTATATTTCTGTAGATCCCCAAAGGTATGCAATTTTATACTTACATGGTCTAAGTATCAAAAACATGTCTTCTGGTAATTTCAACTCCCCTCCAAAAAAATGTTTATGTTCAAATTTCATGTTATCTCATTAAATATCGAATTTTAAATACCTCTACAGACTTATCGGAAGTAAAATTTGTATTTATAAATAAAACTGTTGTCGAGGATGTGCCTTTAAAAGGTTTTATATTGCTAACCCCCGTCCCTACCGTTTATTTGTATGCTATCTAAAATTTCGATAACTACTTTATCTATTTTGATGAATGTTTATTTGTTCGATTCCCTATCGGACCCGGTAGGTAATAATATGATACATCACAAAGATGGGAGGTGTAGTAGAATATGATATGGCTGGAGGGGGGGGGGGGGGTATTACAGGGTAATCTTGGTTAATGGTTGTTAATACATTTAAATGTAATAAAACTCTGGTCGTCATAACTATTTTAGTTAAATTATATAAAAAAAAAAAAAAAATGAATATTGTAGTGGCAACAAGTCTGCTGGAGGGAGTTCGAGTGACTGAGGTCTGTTGCTCACGGGTGTTTTATGTTATTAACATTTTATATGGTATGAGACCTTTGTTTCGATACGACCGTTGTCGTTGAAGTGGAGCTTTAGCCGGGAAATGTGATCGTCCGAGGAACCACGGAGTTCGGAAAATTTATACGTCCAAACGTTCGAATTCATCCAGTTGTCGTATAACGTGAACCCGTTGTCCCAATCGAGTATTAGGTTCGACGGCTGTTGATTGTTGCCGAACAATACATAAAACGTTCTGCTCTGTAAATAATAATAAAAAAAAACCGTAATTAACTCGCTGACACAATATGTTATAGCGCAGCACAAGAACAAATTCGAACGAAAAAACCTGCATAACCGCTTGCTGCATGTCCACCATTATCACCGAAGGAATACAAAATCACGTACAATTCTATTTGAATTCGAATTTAAATAAACGACGTACGCATAAAAAATACTAAATCTCTAACTATATATAATAAAGATGATTATATATTATTATATATTATTATTCTGCTAGTCACGTCGTTTAACTAATTGGTGACACGCACAATCACCACCGTAACTATCAAACTTTCGCAGGTTTTTTCGTGGTTTAAAACTTAGTTAACATAAGAAAAAATAAAATTAGTAGTATACCTCTTTACCCTCGCCCGCTATAATATATTATAACAGACGGTTCAAATCAGTCGTTCTTCCTGTCGTTGATATGATGTAGGTATATATAGTTAAAATCAATATGTGTCGTATATTGTTTTAGTGAAGTGGGGATTTTTCTGAATAGTTTTTTTTCAAGGATGCAAACTTTTAAGCAGACCAGTTTTAATACATTTTTGCGGGTAAAAGTACAAAAATAAAATATATAGAATACATTGTTCTTCATTTTTTTTCTATAGGTATTTTACACAACACTTGAACAAATTTAAATTATTCAACAGCTGTGGGTAATAAAATCCATTTTTCAAGTTTTATCCAAGAAATAATTTTGAAAATTTCACATTAGTTTTGAAACAATTTTCTCTTTCCGTGCGATATGTTCGATAACACTAACAATATGATACGCGTCACGGCTGACTTACTTTTATGTGCATCATAGACGTGCATATTGACCTGTGCCACGCACACTGCACGTCCAGCAGACCCTGTTTGGTTTCCATCGAAAAGTACCGGGACACGCCGTTAGAAGTCTGTAGTAGAAAACAGTTTTGTCGCTGGTCCACGTTTTCGGTGTCTTTCACCAGTCTTAACATAGACTCGTACAGTTTGTACACGACGCCGCAGTCCAACCACTCCGTAATGGACATCTGAAAGACGCACGAGGATAACATTATAGAAATAGTAATAATAATAATACTAAAATGCACGTTCGCGTTTTTATGAGCCATTAAAGTACAACCGTCTCGGCACTATTACATTCGCGGTATAAGTTTTGTTATAAAAATGTTCGGCGGTTAAATTTCAACGACCCATACTCTACACGAATTCAGCAAACGACACAAGATGTAATTTCTGAGTGCATTATTTGCTGTGTATACGAGTATAATAATATGTATGATATTGATATAGAATACGTACAATATAATAATTGAGTAATATCTCCTCATGTAATATACAACGTCAATTTCGTTTTATTATTATTATATATTTACATTTTAGATTTGGGACGTAGCGAGGGATCTATTGGTTTTACTATCATATGTGTTTTTGTTTTGTTTTGTGAGCAACTTTTCTACTAGAAATTTCGCTCTAATGTATCAAGTGTAGCACCTTTTCTGTAAGGAAATTTTATCTAGTTGATGCATTGAGGAGGTTATTTTTTCATTTTTTAAGGGGTTTTCATAATAATTAGTTAAAAATTGGAAAAAAAAAAACGTAAAATGAAAACTGACTAATTTATTACGTTATGATTTCATTATTTTTAATTTTTACGCTTTGTTTCCTACCGAAAATATTGCTTCAAAGAAGTGGCTGGTGTTAAATTTTTAATACTTGCTCAGTAAAATAAAACAATTTATACCAGTACAGTAAACAGGAAGTGAGCTTACAGACTCAAACTCTCTCCCCCGAAATGTCAGATTATAATAATATTTGTTTAAGTGATTTGAAAAAAAAAATTATCTGCGTGATACTGTAATAGCCTGATGCCCACTGCCCCAAGTTTGGAGAACAGCGATAATTTAAATATTAAATTACAGCTACAGACCTAATCGAATCAACTATTCCAAAATTACAACATATAAGAAATGAAAAAATTGAAAAAATATTTTAGGCAATCGATTTTTTTTTCCGTATTTAGATGATATGTTTGCATCATTTAATGAAAGATTTAAATCCAAGTTTTACAAAAGACACAAAAAATTGTCTGGGTAAAACCGAGGAGAAGCTAAGTGTAAATTAATAAATCACATCGGCCTTTTATAATCGAATTTATTATTCCAATATTTACCAAAAGTGTATATGAACATACAATGAAAGCCATTTTAAATTGTTGGACATGTCCCCTTTCTGTACTTAACCATTTTAAATGCATTTAAAGCACATATATATTAATAGAACTATGAAAAATCTTTAATTCTTTTAAGCAAGTTAGAAATGTAATTATTTATTTATTTATTTATTTAATATTAAAATTTATTATTTAAATTGCTAGTGAGATAGCGATTCGTAAATTATTCCCCAAAATCTGCAAACAGAATCCTTTGGAATGTTGAGTTTCAGACGTTTTAAAACCATTAATTTTTGAATTTAATATGGAAATCTTTTATGTGCACAGCTGCTTCTTAGATAACTTTTTTAAATATTTCAAAATCAAAAAGATTGAATAATATTTTTTACAACACAAACTCAGAAATAGATAAACTCAAAATAGTATTAATAAATAACGGGAAGAAAAACGGTTAACTGATAATTATAAGATCTTAATTAAAACCCATAGAGTAACTGTACAAAAATCACGCTGTCATAGAAATGTATTGAAATAATTAACGCAGAAATGAGACATGTCCTAGAACTCCACTAAACACTAACTTTAGCTAGTAATAATAAATTGTATTAAAATAACAAATTTATGTAAACTATAACATTACGGAAATAAAAAAAGATTTTAAGGGGAGGAAATATGCCCTCAGTGCCCTCCCCTCTCGGGTGCGGCACTGCGTGGGCATATTTTATGGATATCGACGTTGTAAATTATGCATAAAAAGTCTCTATGATATACAGATAATATATTACTGATCTTTTATAATGCTATACATTTTTTTTTTAAACTGAGTATATAAACAATTTATATTCGTACTATTATATTATGTATATTCACGCGCGATCCGTGAGATGGATTACGAAACAGAATCTCCTATATACGAAAAAAACACGGTTATCTATAGTAGATAACCATAATCAAAAGGCTACCGTGACAACAGAATACAATGATATAATCGAATAATTATATATTTGAATTAATACGCAGCTGAACTTACGGGTGGCGTGTCGAAAAGTAAGACGTCTCGTCCTCTGATTATCATAAATCGTGCGCAATAACTTTGCCAAGGGTGATTGTTGTTCAACACTCCTTCGTTTACCCATCCCATGTACTCGATCTTTTCGTTAATACCAAAATTCAAATTGTACAGCTTAATCTAAATCATGGAAAGGAAATCATACGTAATATGCGCAAACATTTTGTCATAAAAACAAACGTTAGTGCAATGTGATGATGGGCTTACTTGTATTTCGGCAAGATTAGCGATATTCTCCGATATTAGTTTGACCCATTCGGATAAACTTTTCACATTATCGCAGTGTATAATACTGGAATTTAAACCGTTCATGCCATGCACTTCGAAACCGTTTCGTCGCAATTTGTCCGTGCCCTGCACGTATCTAGTTACATAGCCCATCATCAACGGTACTAAATTTAATGTTAAAAAAAAAAATATGACATTATATGATAGTCATTAACAAAAATATAAATTATATGTATTTTATACGCTCAATAAATTCGTCTTACTTAAGAGATAATCTGTCCACTGTCCGCCGTCTTCAGTGTCACTTTCTCCGTTGTTATTATTGTTTCTGTTTCCTGAAATCAAAACAAAACCAATTTCGAACATCGAGCCATCGAGAAATGTTTCAATGAAGTTTTCTGTGTCCGAACGGACACATAGTAAAAGACATTTTAAAGTCTATTGGGCACTCTTCCCAACTAAATACCCTATAGAGTATAGACTATGATTTTGTTTATCACAAAGGGTAATTGGGAAAATCTAAAAATTAATAGGAATATATTGTAGTTATACTCTACAAAATAAATTATGTATCTGGTATACGTAAAATAATATGCTAAACTAATTACGTATAAAACGCAAATTAATAATAAATGCGTGCGTGCATAAAGCATAAAGTGATGAAGATAATGTAATAAACATGGAATTTCTCAAAGATTAATTATCAATGCCTGTAATGGCGTGTATATATCAGTTAAAATGTACAGTAATTAATATTGTGATTGAAATCATAAATGAAATAGTTGTTATAGTTAATTTTCACGGTGGATAATGTTTCAAAATTTAAAAAAAATAAATATATCTAGCAAGATAATGGTGTGTTAAAAAAAAAAAAAAACACGAACAGTTTTTCTATCACAGATGAAATAGAAAAAAAAGAAAGATTGAATATGTGTCCATCATTAAGAAGTTAATAAACCAAATAATATAAACGACTAAAAGTAATCAATCGGAAAATATTTGTTTTTAAAGTTATTATTCTTTAAATAACGTGACCATAACTATACACGATACGATAAAATTACTCCAAAAAATAAACGGACATACTTCGCATGATGAGTAGGCCACTGTTGTAGTTGAGAACTTGAAGAAGTAGAGCTGAAATTGAATATATATCTATGCAACGATTAACCATCGCTAACGAAAAACGATTCTGAGCGGAGCCGTGTTATATATGTTTTTAAAGCCCGTAATATTTACGATTTGAAAATTATATATTTCATAAATTTCCATGTTTTTTCTACGTTTTTTTTCCGCTTATGCCCTTTTATTATGAAAACCACTGGGAAACGTTTTCAATAAAGAGCCGTTTTTTGATATCAAAAGTATTTTTAATAATAACTGAGAAAAACCAAAAAAGTCATAATATACGATTCTTTTTTTCAAATTACGACACAACAGTTTCATAATTTTTAATTTGTATGGCTTATGTTTTTTGCCATAAATATTTCTCCAATAGAAAAATGACAAAATATATTATTTTTTGTATTTTTAATCTGGTTGGTGATTAAGTAACAAATTGTTTTAATTTTTCAAGTAATCTTTGTAATAATTGAGAACAAAGGGATAAAAACATAAAATAAAAACTAACAAACTTACGACGTTAGGATTTCATTATTGTTAATTTTTACGCTTCATGTAAGTACGCTTAGAATCATCTTTCATCAGCAATGATTTATCATTGCTTAAGGATATAAATGAAATAATATTATGTATCCTACCTTCCCAACTTCCCACTTACAACAGTGGCTGCACCCGTCTTCAGTATCAGTTCATTTTTCAATTATTATTATTCAAAACTATTTCAGTGATTCATCATATAAAATTAAAATTCAATAGAATTATGAACAATTATAATAAAACAAAATAAATACCTTTCGATCCTAATAAAAACGGAGCTGCGGCTTTGTAATGTTTCACCAATAACGTAGCGTGATTTCCAGAATTTCGCAAAATGTGCAAAGCCGCGTCATGGCATGCATTTGTGATCAATTGGTCGTTCACTGTAATAGACAAAAAAAAAAATTGAGAACACGAGAGTGTAAAAAACAAAAAAAAAAATTGCACGAACCGAAATAAAAGTCATTTTAAACGCTTGAATACACTAATACGAAGTTAAGTTTAGTAAAATGTAACCAATAAAATATTACCAAAATGTGCACTGAATAAAATATTTTGTATATTGACCTTTGATAATGGCATCCCCTACAAACAATCGTTTGGTGTGGTAAGCGGCTCCTCCCTCGGGAATTTTCGATATTAATATCGGTAGGTTATTTTCTTGACCGCCTTTGACGCTTATCCCGAGGCTACCGTTTTTTCTCGCTATGGTCACATATCTCAACTGAAATATTATATACATTGAGATGAAGTGACAAATAATTATAATAGTATTACGAACGAAAAGCGGAAATTACAGAATAATTAACAATAATATTATTTTTAGACATATGCGCAGTGATCTGCAATATAACGTTCGACATTATTACTATCTCAGAAATCTTATATTTTTTCGTAATTTGTTTTCTAAAAAAAATAAGAAGAAATGGCTCTAAAATGTTACATACACATTATTTTTTGACGCTTTTAATTTTGGGAGTGAAATCATTACTCACTTTTGATTTTAAAATAGCAACTTATTTTTAAAATACCATAAATAAATTGAAGTTTTAGTTTAAATAAATTTGAATACTAAAATGTTTAATTCAGCTAATTGACAAGATATATCACTTTTAAGTTATGAGTAGGAAGTGAGTGACGTACCTATTCAAACGCGGTGCACCGCGTCGCCACACAAATAATACTCCACTATTCTCCTCCTACCCAAATTTAAAAGTGGAATATCTCGTAACGTTTTGATGAAGATTACAAATTTCAATAGTAAAATGTATTTTATTTAAAACTTCATATATTTATGGAACATAGGTTACAATTTTAAAACTAATGGTAAATGGGTATAGTGATTTCACTCCCAAAAATAAGGACGAGACAAAAAATAATTGAAATGTAATTTTTTTATAGAAAAACAATTTTTTTCTAGAATTACAAATTCCGAAAAATGCTAATAAGAGGTAATTGTATTACGCGTGATGTCGATCACCTTGTATATCTGATTTTGTATAGGGGTATTTAGAAAATGTTGAAAGCGTATGTTAACAGTTTAGTTTTACGGTCGAATGTTACTTCAAACTGTAAAAACCAATAGCTGAGTATACATAATTGTGTATACAAGATGACATACATCACATTTACAATATTAACGATAAAATATATTATGCGGGTAAGTACAACGTAAAATAGGTATGTAATATTTAAAAATAAAAAAATAATAAAATTCTTTACGTAATAGTTTGGGCTAGGCTGGTAATTGTCGATGGTGTCCTCGGACGACGACGACGACTGATGATTGTCGTTTGCCTCTTGTTTCTGGAGTTTTAGACATTCTAGCGTCAACACCAATCGGACTGTTAATGAACCTCTATTGGAATCATTCACTCGTACTAATCCCGTTTTCGCCTGTAACGATACATTATAAGATTATTTTCGACCCCGGTTTCAGGACATTAAAATCATCATAGTAATAATAATACATCTATGAGTGTCTCACCTATTGTTCGATAGATTTTTATAGTTCTGTTAATGAATATTTTTAAAAAACAATTTTTTTTTTCCCAATATATAAATAAATACAGATAAAATTTAAATTTCTATTTTTGCCTCTAATCACTAAAAAAAAAAGTAATAATAATAAAAAATAACTTTATTTTTACACTTTTTGGCATTTTCAAAATAATTATTTTGTAAATGCAATTATTTTAAAAATTTGAATGCATCATACATTCATTTTAATAATAAATATGATTAAAACAAAAAAAAATGATCATTAACAGGAAAATAAAATCCGCAGAACACGCACGGAAAAAACAAAATAGTTATAAGCACTTTAAAAATAGTAGGATTAACTATATATTATAAACTTATTGATATAATCTTTTAAGGATAGCTATAATGTTATTAGTTAACACTAGTGACGTACGCAGTGAGGCCAAGGGGCTGAAGCCCCCCTATTGACGGTATATGACGCATTTTTTTAAAAATGTATACACTGAGTGAAGCAGAGAAGCTTATAGTTTTACAAATATGTTTTTTTTTTTTTATCTGTCAACAACTTGCTCGGATTTTTAAGTGTAGCACCTTTTCTAAAAGATAATTGGTGTGGGGAGGTATTTTTTTGAATGTCTCAAGAGTTTTCTCATAAAATTTTTAAAATCGAAAAAAAACGGGATAATTTACAAAATACTACTATTTTTTTTTCTTGTGCACAATTATTCAACCAGTAATTTTGCTCCAACTTTTAATGATAGTAATGTTTCTCAAATAAATTTCACTAGAGAGGTACTTAAGAGAGGTTATTTTTAAATTTTCTCAAGAGTTTTCCCAGGAAATGTGAAAAGCCGGAATAAAACATGGGAAAACCGGGAAAAACGTAGGAAAATTGGAAAAATCGGTACAACATGACAATACATACAAAGTACCATCTATTCAATATGATAATATTTTATTTCAAAAAAGGAGTTATACTTTCATATTGAAACAAGATTTCTGGCAGACATTTTTAATATAAAAAAAAAAAAACATTGTAAACCCAAAAGATATATTCTTTGTTACACTCAGAATCTAAAATTTAAATTAAATTAATCATTTTCAATTTTATTTTCATAGATTCTAAAAATATATTATTTTATTATTTCTTTGTAAATTGATTGTCCCCACTTAGTTTTCCATAATTCTATCTCACCCTTAAGAGAATTTTTTTTATTAGCTTCTAGTCTGTGACTCTGAAAGCTCGACAATTGTTTACAGGTAAGACAATATTTAGATAAAGAGAAAAAACAAAGAATATTTATTGAAATTTGTAAATGAGAAGTGTTTCATTCTTGTTTAAATCAAAATATTTCCAAGCTCCGAAATTATCTTTATGGAATTTGGAATCGGTTGCATTTGTATTTAAGAACTATGGTATAATATATAAAAAATATTATATATTTAATTATAGTATAATAGAAAAGAATATCACATGGCTTATGGAGAGGGGAGGGCGATTGCCCCTCTCGTTTCTCCCCTTCAAGAACTCGCTTGGTACAACGCGGATTCATGACTGATCGCGAAATAACACACAATTATTTTAACAATATTTGTTAGTTAATTCAAACATTTAAATATGCAGTAACTATAAAATATATTAAACATTACCATGACAAACAAATTTCATGATCATTTAAAGTCATTATAACTATATCATTTTAATTATTTTACCTATTAAACACTTATATTAACTATATTTTGTTTAACTATAATTTGTTAGTATTTTTTTTTCTGTGCGGTGAGACACACTGTATAATATATGTTAGTACTTTAATTCCGTCCAGGCATTCCTCTTTTATGTCCGATTCTTCGGTACAATTTAAATTCAACCGCATAATTTCTTTTGGTCGGACACAACTGAAACAGATCATTGATTAAAAATTAGTTGATATTATAGTTAAATCATAAAAAACATTTGTACGTATGGTATTACAACGTGATATAAAATGTACTTATGTAATTAAAATGCACTACTAAATATAGTACTTATTGGGGTGGAATACTAAAATCAAAATTTAAAATATTTCATTACAAAAAGAAAAAAAGAAAAAAGTTGAAGTTGGGAAGGTCTAAGGTTATTTATATATGTACGCAACAACAAAATATTGCTTATGAAAAATAATTGTGGACAAAGTTCAGTAGTTTGGTTAAACCTTTTTTAAGATTTTTCATGATTCATTAAAATTTGAAATTTATATTAATCTATAAAATAAAATACCTAAATAACGCTTATTATTTTAACACTACTTACGTAAAACTTTGACGAACCTTTGTGAAAATTGTGAAGCATTTCTACTAAAAAATTTAGCAATACAAAAAGTAAGCAAAAAGTAATACAAAAATAGAGAAAATATTTTTAAGATTTTGCCACGTGTATAGAAAAGGCTCATATAAGTATTTTATGCAAATGTCGGATTTCTGTAAATATTTTTAACCGAATTTCATAAGTAAAAAAAGACGGACATACTTCGTACGTGGGTGCAGCTACTGCTGTAGATGAGAAGTTGGGAAGGTAGAATACATACCCAAGGTAGGGAATTTAATGTATATCTGTAAGGAACGATAAACCATTGCTAACGAAAAACCGATTCTGAACAGAGTTCAGTTGATAGTATTGCTCTGTCAACAATGCCATATGTCATATTATGGTAAAATAATTACAACAATTTGTGTTTCTATGACGATAATTGTTTAAAACAAATTATAACTATAAAAACTTAATAATAACGATTTCTTAATATTTTATCTTTTTTAACCTAAATAATTAGGTTTTCCTCATTATCTTGAATATTAATGAGAATTTCAAAAAATGACCTCTTTAAAGTACCACACAGAGAACATTTTCTGAAAGAAAATGTACTATACTTGATTATCAGTGTAAGCTTTTTGATAGAAAAAGTGTGTTTAAATCTAGAAAAAACATCATTGTAAAACCAATACAAAACCAATACTAAAAAATAAAATCATTAATTGAATATTAATTTCTAGTAGAAAAAATGTCAACAGACAGAACTAATTAAAAAATTAAAAGTACAGATCATAGTAAAACCAATATATATTATTCACTGCGTTCAGAATTTGAAAAATGGTTTTACACAATATTTTACAATGTAATTAAATAGAGAGTGTTTCAAATTCCGAAAGTATGCAAATTGTAAAATGTTTGAAATATGCTCTCATATTTCAAACATTTTCATGAACATAACAATATTATGTAGTTCAACTAATTAATGTTCCAACATCGTTGATTTTTTTGGTTTACATTTTTGATTAAACATTGCAGTAAACATTTGAATAAACATTGGATTTACATGAAATTATCGAATGCCTTATACTAGGTCTAATCGATGTGAGCAGTTTTCGACGACACCATCAACCTTTATAGTTGAATATTTTAACGGTTTATGCTCATCCAAATAAAATAATATATACTGGCTATACTGCGGACGTATTATGCATAAAATTAATATTAAAACACACGAAACGCATTACGCCACGCGCAGTTTCGTAAATACAGAATATCGTATATTATGGTATACACACCGGCTACCTAATCTCTAATGGTTTTTAAAAGGTATGTATGCATAAAAAACAGGTGTTTATATTCATATTATATAGCTGATATGAAACTGTTTGGTAGGAGTTCTCTGCATAACTTAAACTTAAAACTATATTATTTATTTATATATATGTATGCATATATTTTTAACGTATTAAGGTAATAATTTATCGGCACGGAAAAAAAACGTTAAATATATTAAATGGTTTTATTTAAATAGAAAAAAAAATACTAAGCTATTTGAAAACATGCGAAAAAATACTTAGGGCTTAAAAGTGTTTGACGGCTAGTGTAGAACATCGAATTCGTTTTAGAGGTAATCGGTTTCAAAATAAAACTCGACACGTATAATAAACATGACGATGACGTAACGGGCAGCTCTCGACTAAAGGTATTAAGTCATTATTATCCGAACAAGATTACTCTTAGCCACAATGTCAATCATTTATTATTATAATAGCCAAAGAGACTGAATCAATATTTTTCTTAAATTATAGTTATCTATTTCGGAGAGACACCGTTCATAAATATATTATGAATCTGTAAATAATAAATATATAGATTTTTTTTTTTTGTTTAACTGATTTAATCATTTTTATTTTAACAACTAAGAGTACACATATTGTGTTTGATATACATAAATAATAAATATATATACATGAACATTGAACATGTTTAGGGTTGTACCAGCAATGAAATAGCTCCCGATCCTTTTCCTGTCTAGCCTAAAGATCTAGTTCGGCTTCAAGTATTCGAAACGTTCGTATAACACGTGGCGAGTTTTGACAAGAAGACGTTTAGCAGCTACAACTCTAATCTATATTCGCATGTTTGTCAGTAAACATTTTGATTTCGTTCTGGATATATTTTCAGATCGCGGTATGACGTTGTTCCTATATCAGACCTTACAATGATAACGAAGAGCGATATTTTTAAAGTTTCTATTAATAATCGAAACAATTTCGAAAAAGTGCGCGTGTTTTTTTTTTTTATTTGTTTTTCTTAAAACCGTCTGCGCGTTCGCGGACAATACCGTTTGGTTTTAATTTAAGGACGACACAAGACGCTGTGAAACACAACGTATTATATTCGCTTTGAGGCCCGAGTATTATATAGACGTTGTCGTAGAATATAACGTGACGCGGGCGAGTATAGGATATTTGACGAGATAAACGATGACGGCAGCGGCGAACAAGAGAAGCTACGGAGCGTGTAATAAAATAAATTACGCGAAAAGGTCTGCCGCACGAAAATTCACCCCATCTAGTATAATATGTAATGCGTTTTCGGAGGCATACGCGACCGATTAGAAACGTATTTTATTATTTATAATACGTTTCTAATAATACAATCAGTGCGGAGAAATTATCGTAACGGACTGGGCGCGGTCGCGAAAATGGTCGAGGGGGTGCGAAAACCAAAGTTCCCATAGTGTAGTATAAATATTAAAAATTAACACGTGTACGCATATTCAATATAATTCTAGCGAATTGATACTTTGATACGATGATACGATGTAACTCAAACGACTTTTGTGTACGATAACAACATTATAATATTTGTATTCCCCGGGGGTCGCCGGCCCTTTCTCCTGCACAGCACTCGACACATCCTCGTACCGATATGCGCGCGATAACCGCTCAAGCCTCCACGGGAAAGTATGGGAAAGTATACCTACCTATATAGACGTGCACGGTGATGGTTCACAAACAATATCATACGGCGGCTAAAGGACTTTGGGTCAGCGGCAGCGGTTAAATGCTGCGGGATTAAAATACGTCCGGTGTTCTCGGACAGTCTACTACAGTATAATACAGGGTGCTCCCACAGTATATATATATATATATATATATATATATATATATAATACTATACTGTTCGGAAAGGAGAGTGGGGTCTGGGGTTAGGTGAACCGATAAGATAATTTGTTTGAACTGTTATTTCTATCTCCGAAGCCGATTTTTTCGCTTACTCTTGGAATACTCACGTAAATTTAAAAGTACAATACATGTTTTGTATCCATACGAGTCCAGAAGTATCGCATCATTTTCGCTCGATTTTTCCGCTTACCCAGTAAAAATGTCGCCAGAATGAAAAACGATAAGGTGACATGTCTATTTGTAATATAATTTTATAGGAAATATCACGGTAGAACGTTTTTTCGACGTCTAATACACCACGTGGTTAATACCGCGGGTATACTATACAGCGTGACAACTACAAATACATTTTATTAGTCTGATTCGGTTAACGAACCAGGTATGTTAGATGGCCACAAATAAATAATATTCCCAGTAAAATGCTCTCGCAAATAGATCTTTGTTTTTACACTGGTATATGCGTATCGAAAAAAAGATAATATACGGAGAGTAAATTGTAAAAAAAAAAAAATTCACATGTATTGATGGTAGAAAAAAAATTGCAACGATTTCGTCACCGAGCATAATAATAACATGTTATAGTACGGCGTATAATTGATAATGGCCAGTGGCCGAACACTGTTCAGAAACACTCTGTATATGATAACAATAACAATTGCTACTGGGTATAAAATATATTCGCCGTTCACAAACCGCCCGGGGTATAATATTATGTACGCGCTCGGCGGCGAGAGGTCGGCGGGGTGGTTTTGGCGTGTGACCGAAGGCGGCGGCGGCGATCGAACACAATAGCCCGAAAACTGCAGCGCTCGTGCAGCGCGCGCGCCTGTGTGTGTGTGAACGAGTCTCCCCCGAAAGTGTTTGCTCCGAGCGAAGAGTCCGTGGGAAATCGCGCCCGGAACTACTCTCACACGCCCCTCGCCGTCGTCGTATATTTACGGGCAATATCTCCCCCACTCATTCGTACACCGCCACTTTCACCCTTGCACCCCGCGCGCACACGCCACTCGTATATATTTATATATATATATATTATACCCACATCGGATAATCATTATAAACGCCGGACTCGCGTGTTTATAATCTCGCGCACACACGCATACAAACACACACACACACACACACTGTACACACCGTGCACATTAAAACGTAATAATGATAATGTAATTCGCGATTAAAGGCTCGTGTCGCGTTCACCGCGTGGCGACGTTGACGACCGGAGTAAACGCGTACCCATATAGGCACCTAGAATGAATTATTTTTTTTTTTTTTATACGATTGTGTATACGACGCGTGCGCCCGAGCAATAATTATAATATTATATTTCGTGACCACCTGCAGACCGCATATCCCGCGGTACACGACCCAGGAACGTGCCGGGCGCATCGCCCCCCCCCCCATTGTATACCCCGGGGTATATTTACTAGGCGTTACGAGAGGTGTGCCGTTCGGTCCGTCGCCACTACAGAATTTCTGCCCCGAAAGACGGCGGCGCTACAGGTGCGACCGAAAGACGTCATCGTCATAAGTCGTCGCTGGTAAGTCCCGGCGAATCCCGGAAAACGAGTTGGGAAACTAGCGATATAATTTTTCGGAGGAGTCGTTTTGTATACTGTCCGTTTAATGATGTACGTGTTGCAATTGTAATGAGACGACACATCAATTAGCGGCGAACGGTAGCGTGTGCAGACGAGGGGTTATGTTCCCCGTCAATCGGTTTAAAATAGCAACACCAATGTGGGTGTTTATTTAGTATCATCTTGAAAAAGCAAAAGCGCTTGATTTGTTGAACAAAAATTGGCTTTTTGAACTCGGATTTTCAACGTTCGTTGTCGGATTACGTAAACAGAAGAAAACTTTGCAATTTATTCATGAACCGTGATTATTGTTTACTATATATCCCCGTTGGGAATTTCCGGGTATACCATCGACAGTGACACCGTCAAATAAAAAAAGGAACATACTATTGTTATCGGCATTCGTGATGGATCTGCTTATGATTTATCGATTTATTTATTAGGTATTATTTTGGATGTAGAGTAATTCCTAAAAAAAAAATCCATTACCCTACCTTAGCCACTTTTTTAACGCGTTGAGTGCGAGTATCTCACCGGAGGCGATTTCCGATTTATAAAAAAATGAACCGCGATGTTATCACAGATAAATTTTAAGCGTTTTATAACATTTGCATGTACAATACATACGGGTATATGTATTAAGTCAGGGAAGTGTAGGCGATTACCTATCAGTAAATTTTTAAAAGTTCAGGAAACATAAAGCGTCCGGCCTCTTTCGCTGACAGAAAAATTATTGGTGGCCGCAACAGTAAAATTACAATTGTTATCCGGGCAAACACTAGCAAACCGTGCGGTCCGTGAGAAACCGTATGCGGAACTTCTCTCACACGGCGCCCCTTGAACGCATTGTACTCGTAATCATCCCCGGTTAAACACCACCATTTATTTCAACCCTCTCGCCGTTTCAATTATCGTACTTACAATTATGTAGGTGGATACATGTATTATATATTTAAATAAATAAATAATAATAATTAATAAATAAAATAACAACAATAGAAACACGTCACGTACAATGTAAACATCCGAGAACTCACCATCGTCGCCCGTATTGTTCGTCGCACACGAGTTACCTAACGAGTATACGTTGTTGTATATTCGTATATATATATTTTACGCCTACATTATAATGTACCTGATTCTCGGGTACATATTGTGCACACAGAAGCGTGCCCGGCACGTGTCTTGTATACGCGTTAAATAATAACACCTCTCTCGACCGCCGTCATCAGTGAAATAATTCCGTTTTGGCACACGCACAGGTGCCGTCACAATAATATTTATTGAGACATTTGTGGACGGAGGGAGGGTTTATGACAGCGGGGTTTTAAAAAGCCAAACGAAATGTTAACCGCGCGTAAATCCAAAGAAAACTAAATAAACATGAACATTTCACAGCGAAAGCGAATATAGAAGTTATAATGTCATTTAATAATTATAATTATTATAAAACCACCATGTTTTCGGCAAAATGGGATGACTCGCGGGTACAATTCGTTTTTTAATATAATTTTAAAATGCTAAATCACCCACGATTAATCAGCATTAGCCTCTACTCGTTTCAAAATGAAATGATTTTGAATTCGATGAGTTCGAAATGATTGCTATCTCATAAGTGCCATGTAATGACGTTTACTTGATGTCATAAATCTGTTGATATTTAGTATTCTGTCGATGGAAAAAATTTGCGTATATCTGACGAGATTGATTTGGGGGTCACATTTGATCGTCGTCTATGCTTTCATTCACATATTGAAAGAGTAACACGTAAGGGTCTTAAAATACTCGAGTTTATTAAGAGAATTACTGTTGATTTCAAACATCGCAGTTCCCTTATGGCCCTTTATTGTTCATTTGTTTGTTCTCACTTGGAATATGGCTTAATAGTATGGTGTTCTAATACAAGAAGTGACCAATACAAAGTTGAGCGTGAACAGCGTAAATTGCTAAAGTATGAGGCTTTTGTTCGAGGGACTGCTCGTCCGCTGAAAAACTACATGCTAGTGCTTCAGGAGCTCAATATACGAGCTGACGCTAGCTGATAGAAGGAAGCAAGCGCATTTAATTTGTATGGGTAAACTGTTAAATTGAAGTCTTGGAACTCCTGAAATGTTGCACACTGTTAAATTTCATATCCCTGTTTTTAATTCCCAATTTGTCTACCCTTTTTCTATTCCCTTTTATTCATTCAGTTACATGGTAAACTATCCTCTTTTTAGACTGATGAAATTGTGAATGTCAATAAGGACTCTTCTTTTTTATTTTAGATTTCGTGTTCATTATTTATATTTTTCTAGTTATTGCGTATTTATATTGTTATAGTTGTATATTAATGTATTTGTGTTTTCTACGTTATTCATGTGTTATTAAGTATTTTATTTTCACTTATTATGGCAAATCTTTGTAATTGGACCAGTCCCATTTAAATATATAATATATGACATACACAATATTTTGATGGAATCGCTGTTACCTGACAACAACATTGTTTAAAAGCCATTCTTATCGATGTGTCATAAATCTACTAATCCACAATAGCTCTTTATTCTATCTTAAATTTATAACACTATTTATATTTAATGCAATTTCACGTGATTTGCCAAGAAATGCGGAAGTACTCGATATTTTTGTTCTGTAGGTAAACGAGTCGTCGATTTACAGATAAAAATTGAAAAAAATGTGATGTTGCAAATTTTCAAAATTAACGTTGCAAATTGTTGTAAATTAGTTGTAAAATATTGGCATTGTTTTAAAGATGATAGCTTCAAGTGGTGGTACCAACTTCATGGACGTACAAAGGCACACATAGTGGCAACTCCACCTGTAGTATCTTACTTCTCTTCACTACACGATCAATTTACCTCACTTCGAAATTATTGTTAAATTTAATATTTTTTATTTTTTTTTAAAAAACCGATCGATTTCCAAAAGATTGGGTCACATATGAGTGGTACAGTACACGTATTTACCCGTTAAGCATAATATAATTTGTGTTGACGATCCTCTAGAGTCGAGACGAAATTCTGATATCTCACGAGTAAAATTCTACATTTGCGACAGTTTTCTATTTCGCGAGTGAAATATAATATTGACCCCACGAGTGAGTTATACAGTAATTATTTTAGCGGAGGATATGGCAAGTTAACAGTAATTGAAAACGAAACTGAAATTGTGCGGCGATGCGAATAAATATAAATGTATTAGACGTTTTTGTCGCCTTTGAAATTGCTGCCAAAGGGCCTAGACCGTGTCACGTGGTACTATATACTTGTATGTTATTATCGGTCTTTTATAATATTCGGCACGTATTCTCCGCCGCTATAATATCTGCAAATCCATTTACGAGATGCCCGTCGTAAAATATACGTAATTTGAATTACACATTACGCACTATGCAGCGATATTATTACCACCATGAAAACGCTATAGTTTCCATTATAAATTACAACGATACAATTATATATTATGTTACAGCTAATGTTGAAAATTGGATAATATTAGCTTTTCGTTTAACAGCACCAATTTTTTGCCGTTAGTTTTAATATTTGAGTAAATCAGTCGATTATCACACCTATACTTAAAGGTAATAGACGTTGTTTGTGTTTATACATTGGTTTTTTTTTTTCTAAGATATTTGTATTTTTTTAAACGAGATAAATCGAAAAAGAACGACGGACAAACACAAGCCTTATTTTTCCTACTTTTTAATCTGATAATAGACCGATTCATTCTAACAATAAAACTAGCGACACGAAATCAGTTCTGAACGAAAAGTATTTATTTATTTATTTATTTTGAAATACACGCCCGGAGGCATTCAGCGCAGAAAATATACAACAGTAAAAATATGAATATATACATAAATAGTGAAAAAAAACAACGACAGTATTGACAATATCCGATTTAAAATGTTTGCCGTAACATGTGCAGTACGCGTCGACGACATATCTCTGCTGCTACAGCAACGATATTACGATTATAATAATTATATTTGTACAATATTTAAATAAAAATAAGATAACAGTATGGTCACGTGTGCTTTGTAGCGCGACAAACGAACGGCACGCGCTCGGACCATCATCGTTGAAAACCGCACAGCACGCGCTGCTGTGTGTGTAATGCTGTATAATCTAATCACTTTGACGTTGATACGATTTAATTTAAAACGCATTGGCGCTTCCGTATTTTATCCGCGAAAATCAAAACGTATATTATAATAATTAAAGCGCGGATGTCAAAATGCAAATTGCATTCTATATTTCCAAATGTTCTAAAACAATGCTGCAAGCACAAAATTCGTTTCGTACATCGAAGATTTAAAAAAACGAAACTTTTATTTGTCATTTCGGTTGTTTGGTTTACAATGATGTTTATTTTATTCTTTTCAGAAATCTTGCTCCGATTTTCAAGTGTAGTACCTTTTCTGAAAAAAAATTATACTTGGGCGATACGTCAAGAAGGTCATTTTTTGATTTTCCAAACGGTTTCAGTAATAATCAGGAAAAAACGTAGGAAAACCAGGAAATGTACGTACATGTATAAAAGAAACTCCATTCTGAATTGTTTTTTGTTAGCAACGGTTTATCGTTGCGTACTGATATAAACTAAATTTCCTTCTATATCCTACCTGACTACCTTCCCAACTTTTCACCTATATATCAGATTATAAAGGTAGAGCCATCGTGCGATGTACATCCGTTTTTTGAAAATACGGTATTTAAAACAATGATAAATATTTCAAAAAATAACATTATACTATCGACTACTGCAGATACGTACAAGTGTGTAGTTAGAGGTATCTACACTATCCATACTATATTAAGTATAAATAAACTATAAAATATTATTTTTTTATAGACAGTTTTCTGAAAAATATGGCTTAACCCCTCCAACCAAGTATTTTTTGCCACCCCTGACCATAGTAAAACTAATAGCATCATGTTCACTACACTCAAAATTAAAAATTAAAGAAATCCATTAGAAAAATATACTAAGAAGTACAACGAATTGTGGCCTCTATATAGAGTGTCAACGTAAATTAGCATGGTCTTTTTTTTTATTACAATACTGAATAAATCTAAAATATAGACGCACGAATCGAAACATTACTATACGGGTTAAGAATGTGAAAGTGTTTTTGGAGAAAAAAAAAATCGAATAATAATATATAATATATAATATTAATAACAGTAAAACTCCTATAAGACGGTCACCGAAAGGACCGGAAATAATGACAACTATTGAGAAGTGACCATCCTAGAGTTTTCCTATAGAGGCGTAACACTTGACGGGACCAAAAAATACGATCGTTACACAGAGGTCATTAAAGGAAGTTTTACTGTATTTTTAAAAACGCTATATCACCATTCTTACAATTTTAGTGTAAATATCCATATTGATCAATGCATTCGTCAAAATCGTTTTTAATTGTTTCAACAATAAATAAATACCTTTTTATAGATATTAGGTATGCATTATATTTTAGTGAGCCAGGTAATTTTTTGTTAAATGTTTAAAAATTTCAAACGGGAAATTGAAAAATAAACAAAGATTAATTATTTATTGAATTTCCCAAGGAAGATTCAAAATTCTTTACAAAAATAAATACAATAAAACTTTCGTTAACGGTCACCTCTAAAAGATGGCTGCTTCTGTGTTACGGTAATTTTTTTTTGTCCCGTCAAGTGTTATACCTCTATAAGGAAACCTCTAAAAAATGGTTACCTCTGAATCCCTTCGGTGACCATTATATGAAAGTTTTACTGTATATCCAACGTAAAACACGTTTGGGTGGGTACATAAACACAATACGTTCGGGTATACCTACCTTACAGATATATAAAAAAAAAGATAACCGACTTGGGAATTCATGATTTATGATATACTAACTCGATAAATAATTTGAAAAATATTTGTCCTTAATTAAAATTTACTGGTAAATATATTAAAAAATCGTATCAAAATTTATATCAAAATGAAAGTAAATAATAAGTGAAGTATGAATATCATGAAAGTATCAAAAAAAAAAAAATTAAACTATGACATATAATTAAACAAGACTAACATATTTTTACTAGACGAAAAAGAGCCGAACTTCTCGTAGTGTCTCCTAGATAACGTTAACAAACTCTTAATAATTTTGAATTGAAAAAATATATTATGTCAATCGTTTAATATTATAGTATTATTTTTTTATAGGTGTGTTGTGTGTTGGTTGTATTTTTCTAGAGATACGATTTACCTAAACAGGGTGTGTTCTTTTATACCCAAGCGTGTTTCATTTAAAGATTATGTACCCCGACACGCTGTAATATTCAAAATGGGGAAATACTGCTCAAAGATATACTCTGGTTGCAATATTATACTTACCGGTACCTAAAAACATCCTCTTAAATCAGGACCGTATAATATTTATTGTTTTCCCAACAATAATCAATAAACTCTTCATGTAGTTTCATCTCATATATATTATCATGTTCATTTGGTTATTGTTTTAGTGAAATTGATTGAAATTTTAGTAAAACTTTATTTAAAACTGTCGGTTTTTTATTAGATTCTGAGTGTAATAGTGAAAAATATATTATTTTTACTAAGATGGGTTTTTCCTCTTCTGAAAAAATTTTTTCGGTTAATAAAAATGTTCTTATTTTTTTCACGCAGTAAAAAAAATAAAATATGGGGTTTTTCGCCCGGTGGGTTTTTTATAGTTTTTTTTACAAAATAAAAAAAAATACCTTGCAATAAATATCAATACTTTCGATTCTTTATTATTATTGATTTCTGGTTTACCAATAGCTAAATGTGAGAAAAATACGACTATACTACTATCAACCTTTACCAGTTGACCGAACTTGTTTTTTTTATTACAATGATTTATCGTTGCATTCAGACTTCAGTATGTAAACTAAATTAACTTATGCCCTATACCCCAGGTACAACAGGGAGAAGGGCCCATCCATGGTGCGAAGTGTCAAGTGTATCCGGATTATTTGTATTTATTGTCTATAGTCTATTAACTAAATAGTAATATTTGCCTATACAAATATTTTATAATATTATATTATCACACCATCACAACAAAATAACATCAATAATGGTGAAATTTAACACGTGTTTCTAAGACATTTTTATTTTATATAATTAATATTAATTATTGTTACAAATGTTGCAATATTTCGATTTTATTTTAATATCCAGCACAAAACAATATATTATTCGATAGGCAGTGGAAATGTAAAACGTCCTAATCGACAATTTTTAACATTTGAAATTATTCAGCTAGAGCCGTATAAATAATACAAATAATAATAATAAATAATGATTGTGTTATTCGACTATAATCGAATTTAATACAGATTTAAGATTATTGCAGGCAACCTACGAAAGGTTTTGCGTTAGGTAATATTATATAAATATTAAACACACGTAACAAATTTATTCAGATGCCTCTGTTGAATGTCCGATCATAAATTGAAAAAACAAGATTCCACAAATTTATAAACAAGACATTAAAAATTAAATACTAGATTTAAATGTTTATTTCACAAATCGCATATTTGGATAGCATTTTTTAAATTTATCTGTAGTGTATAGGTATAATAATATAAGGTTTTCGAAATTATGCTGATATTTTTTTTAAGATTCGGAGCGGAATGAGACAGCATTAATCAGTTTTACAAATTACCTAGTTATGTGTTTTTGTAATTTTTTTTTTTTTGTAGATAAAATCATTTTGGCTATAAAAACGATGAAATAGTTTCACAAAACTACTTTAAATAAAGGCATTTTTAGAACTCGGCTGGTAGGTATATTATAGTTTTAAAAAGTCACTTTCTTATTTCCCATATATGCAGTTTTTATGACCAGGAAATTACAGATAACTAAAAATGATTAAGACCAAATGCGTAAAATTAAAATTGTAATTTCCAATTTTGTGTTCGTGAAATCGTATTACTTTTAAACTTCAATAACCACATCAAAATTGTTAAATATTAAATGATATGCCACCACGCAGTCATGTTATTTATTGGATATATTCAGAAATAAACCTAATTCACTACTCATTAAACGGTCTGATATTCTCCTCACTACACACCATATACTAAAATACATATTTTTTATCCAATACATCCTTTCGATCGTTCCGCATATCCTTTAAACTCGTATATGATATGCTATTTTATTTTCTGAAATCGTTTTAAAAAATTAATTTTAAACTTGATCAGTAGTTTCTATTGTCTAATGAAAATGTTGAACTTGTTATTTATCTTATAATCTTTGAGATTTTTTACATTAATATATGCAAATTGTTGGGATTATTATAGTTATTAAACTTAAATTTCTAAAATAAAAGAAAAGACGTCCTAGGATAATGTGGATGGGTGTAGCCACTGTTATAAGTAATTTAATGAATATCTGTTAGCAATAATTAACCGTTGATAACGAAAAAACAATTCTGAGCGAAGGTCAGTTGATAGTGATGCTTTGTCAATAATATATATGTCATATTATGGTAAAATAATTAAAGAGGTATTATATATTGTCTATAATAATATTTGTTTAATGTACCAATTTTTCAGTTTTTTCTACATTTTTCCCGATTTTTCCATGTTTTATCCTGGTTTTTCACATTATTTGAGAAAACGAGAAAATCAAAAAATGACTTCTCTAAAGTACCTCCATAGTGAAGTTTTATTTTAAAAATATTGCTATCATGTTAAGTAGGAGCGAAATTTTTGACAGAAAAGTTGTGCACAGAAAAAAAGAAGGCCATAATATATTTTAACTAATACACAAATTTCTTATATTTTCCCGCATTTAACGAAAAAACTCCTGAGAAAATCGAAAAATGACCTCCCTAAAGTATCTCTTCACACCGATTTTCTTTCAGAAAAGGTGCTACAAAATAAACATCTTTTTAAAACCATAATCTTCTTCGCTCCATTCAGAATCTAAAACTATTATCCTTATAAAATAATATTACGTAAGTATTTTCTCCAGTTTTATGAAAATTGTCCGTTATGACGATAGTTCCTAAATCAAACAGGAAGTACATATACTAGATTACAAAAAAAAATGTTTAGTTATTTAAACAAATTAACGGGATTGTTGAAATTGTATAAAATTAAAATATATTATCTATAAAATCACAGTTTTTTTTTTTTTTTTGGTTTATTGTTATGTTTTTGTGGCAGTAATTATATATTTCGATTGTTAACGAACTATTGTTTTTCGTTTTTAGGTGTAATGCAGTATACACATACACAAAGGGATGATACAAACTGTTGTTAAAAAATGTCGTTAAAAGAAATGATAATATTTAGTAAATAAAAAAATTATAATAGATGTAAAAAAAATCATAAAACGTCTAGGAAATTCGAAACGAACATAAAATTAAATGCCAATTACACGATTTGCCCGCAATGTAAAAACATATTAGCCCATAAAGAGTACAAAGTTATTTATTCTTGGTGCAGTTCAATCCAAAATGAAAATAATATGGCGGATACTTTGATTTTCAGTTTGACGTGAGAACAGTAAGGTATTAGTTTTCCGAGTGCACAACGGCACTCGTGGTATTTTCCTTACCGACGTAAAAATGTGTATACTGAAACTTTGGTTCGAAAGGCAAAGTTTGAGGGAAAAGACCGTAGTAAGCCTGAAATTCGATAACTTGTGCACTCGCCCCTCGTCCGGACCTAATGCAACGACCGGAAACTTTTCGACGACTATAGTATCATTTGAAATTCGAAATCAAACTTGTAAAATACTAGACGCTGAAAATTACGCTTTCAACAAAGAAACAAAAATATAATTAGATAACGACTAATTTATACAATAACTTCAAGAGTTATTATAGATGTTGTTGATACCGAAGGGATTCGAGGGGAAATTAAAATGGTTAGAATAGGTTATTAAGATCTGTTAAATTTCGAGTAAATTACGCTTGATTTCGCCATAGTAAATAATCACCGTCATTCGAAATAATCAATCCTGTCCTATTAATACGAAAATACATATTATAAATGCATGAGTTTGTTTGTTTGGACGGATGTACGGATGGATGTTTGTTATGCATTCACGATAAATCTACCGAACGGATTGAGCTGAAACTTTGCGTAGATGTTGTTTTAGACCAGGAATAACATCTAGACACAACGCATCATATACTATAATATAGTTGTACAGTCAAAGAGGAGAGTTTAATTTGTTTACTGATAAACTCCGCCGAAATTGTTTTCTCTGCGTGTGACAACGCAAAGTATTATGACTTATTATTATGATAGTATATTATTATACAATATAGGTAAGTGGCGATGAAGTAGTACGGCCCGTAAATAATATCGTATCATTATAATACAATAATAACAACATAAACACGCGAATAAAATACAATAATAATTCGAGTGCGATTAACAGAAAAATAATTGAAAACGGCGTTTGCCAGTAATAAAGGCGGCGCGGGGATCACGTGCCTCGGACGTCGGTCGGTCTGGCCGCGCACTTGCCTAGGTGGTACGCGTGACGACGTTTTGTCCGGTTGCGCGATAACGCGACGCCAATGGCGACGACGACGTGCGACTCACCGCGGGCGCGTGGACCGTTTATACAAACACACGGGACACGCGCGCGTCGTCACGTCGTATACGCGGCACGGTGTACGCGCGGAAACGGATACAAAAAGGGCCGCCCTTCCGCCGCGCGTCCGGTTTTTTCCCGTCGCTGTTGTTGTTATCTCGGTGGTGGTGGGGGGCCCGGTCGGCCGTCTGGCGCGCGCGGGGGGCGTGCGACCGCCGACGGACGGACGGACGGCCGCCGGTCGTCCACGCGCCACGGCAGTCGTCCGGCTCGCGTCGTCTACCGCGCACACGTTCGCATTGCCCGTTCGACTAACCGCATACGCGACACGACACGGCCGCCGCCGGCAACCAACAAGTGGTCCGCCGTTTCCTTAAAGATAAAACCGCAAAGGGGTGACGCACGTGACCCGCACCCGGTCGCCGTACGACACGTTACCGATAATAATATAAACGAATAAAGCCAATAATTTTATTACACAGAATAATAATTTTCCGTGTCGGGTTTTTTTTTCCCCGTTTTCTATCGTTAATAACTGACAAAGTGGCTAACCACCACCATCATGATTTGCGGTCCGCCGCCGCCGCCGCGGCCGCCGCTACCGCGTACCCGGACACCCGGCACCATAACGATTACTTGGGTTATTGCGATCCTGCGGCCGTCAACTTGTGGCGCATGGTGGTGCCCCGCGGTGGTCCGGTTCCGCCGCCGGACGCCGTGCCGCCGCATCAACCGGCGCCGCCGTCCGCGATGAACGTCGGCGACTCGCACTGGGCCGGTTACGGACCGTGGAGCTCGATGCCCGCACCGCCGACTTCCCGGCACCATCATCACCACCAGCAGGGTGTCAAAAGGCATTTCAACGAGAGCGACGATTGTGACGACGCTTTTTCCGAAGAGTCCAGCAAAGACCAGTGAGTAGAACGATTTCCGTTTTACAGAGGATTGCATTTTTTTTTTTTCAATAATTAAATCATCTTTTTTAAAAAAAATCGTGAAATCATTAAAATAATGAAAAAAAAAAAAAAAATTAAACACTTCTTTAACTTTTAAATTTCGTCACAGCTGTTCTTCACCCGGAGACGGTACGGACACGCCACACATGTTGACCCGAAAGAAACGTCGGGGCATAATCGAAAAGAGACGTCGCGATCGTATCAACACCAGCCTGTCCGAACTCCGACGGCTCGTGCCCACGGCGTATGAAAAACAAGGTTCGGCCAAATTGGAAAAGGCGGAAATCTTACAACTCACGGTCGACCATTTGAAAATGATTCACGCTAAAGGTAAATATCGCTCGTTTTCGCACTTAAATTGCAATTAAACTTATAATTGATTACAATCATATATGAACTAAAATTGAGTAATATTTTAATGAATATTGATGAAATGTCATGCACATTTATAAAGTAATTATTATTTTTTTCATCATTTTTATTTATACGAGTTCTAAAAAAATGCGATTATTTCATTTTGACCTAAAGCCTTAATGCCGGAAACACAGATCAGTATTGTTTTCTCCAGATTACTTATTGTCCCGGGTTTTAACGTTAACAGACATAAATTTAGGCGCCGATCGTGATTTTGAATTTCGTAAAAATAAATGATTGAAAACGTATTAATTTATAACTGTTTCGATTTAATATATCTATTCAAAGCAAATTCAAATTTTGGTTCATGTAGGACTTAAATTATAGTATTAATTTTATTTTATTTGGCCCGGAGCGCAATGCGTATAATATATTATTATAATGGAATACCAAACGTATTATTAACGAATCGAATTCAAATGGCATTGCAAAACGTTTCCAATTGTCACGTACGTGTATACAAAAGACGATTTTTTTTCGAACCCGAAAGTCGTTTTCAGATATAATAACGGGTAATAATCGACTGCAGACAGTGTGTTATATCTCCCCCCCCCCATCGGCTTCTAAATATAAAAAAAATATAAGTAATTCAATATCGAAATACGTATATATTTTAGCCAAGTTACGAGGAAAAGCTCGATGTATATTAATTAAAAATTGGCTTATTTTAGGATCCGGCTTTTAAATTACCAATTCCCATAGCCCCATAGTCGGGGAGAGAAGACGATTTTACGATTTTTATTCGCTACATTTCTGCCCGTTGCAGATAATTCCCGGGCGCGCAACTAAGTCTGCAGACGATAAAATATATGCTCGAAGTGTGATTTTTTAATTTTTAATTTTCAGTTATTATTGAAACCCACGTATAACATCATATGTTGATCTTTTCATCGGGTTTTGGGTGGGTTCTGTCGCGCTCGACCGTACCTACGTACCTACACCTATTTTAAATATATACTTAAAATAAGGTTTTCTTCGACGTTATCTGTTCGGGCGTACACCTGCTCTTTACACTTCCGCACAAACGCAAAGTCGTACCGGAAAAAAAAAAAATAACAACACGCGCTGTACGGGTCCGTTTAATATCATAACTACTTACTACCGTAACCACCGGTAAAAAAGGGCCTCGGACCGGAGTATAATATACATAAAAAAAAAAAACCGTCTATTAACTTGGCATCCGGTCCCTCACGTCTAACAAGTGTTCGGTGCACTCCGCTACTGTAGTGGATCATTTTGTAAAATAATACGAGTACACAACATAATGTTATATATGCCCAAGTCATTGTGCCGGTGCAGCGCGTCCCCGTAGTTCTGTCACACACCGTAGTCATGGACAACGGTGTTTTTTTTTTTTTTGAAACCGTAGTATAATAATTTCGTATAATGTATCCCACGGAATTATAAAAATTAAAAATAACTATCGTCGTATTGTATATCACTAGGATTCGGTGAAAACTATAACAAAATATCGTTCCATATACCTATATATATATATAATGTACAATGTAGAGGCGTCATTTGAAGTAAAACCATGGGATAGCGAGCCTCTCGAATATTATTATATACGGGTAATATTTTTAATTCGTTTATGGTCAAATGAAGTGCCCCTCGGTCCTAATTCTAATTGTCCACTAGAATTAGGTAGACAAATATCAAATAAATAATTTAGAAATACAAAAATATAATTAATAAGTTTACTGATCTTTCATGTACGTTAAAATTAAATATAGCCGATGTTATTATCATATTATATGAAAAAAGCAAGAAAATTATACTTTTTAAAAAATTATTCATAGAGTAGCATAGTTATTAATTTCAGAAAGGCATAGAATAGATAAAATAATAGAGTAATAATTACTTAACTTAGGTATGTCTGTGCGTGTTGAGAAATCGTTGATGACGAAAAACAATTTTCAACAAAGTTCGGTTATGTTAACGTGTTTCGGAATGTCGTGATTTTTAAAATTTTAATAGAAAATTCAACATTTTTATTATAAAAATTCCGGACCAAAACGATTTGATATTCATAATAAAACCCAATCGAAAACTAAAATAAAAAAATTAATGTCAAATGGCTATAAATGGCTTAAAAAGAGCTATCACGAGTAAATTATGTGAAAACTATTATCTTCTAAAAGAAAATTGAAAATAACCGAAAAGGCTATAATGTTGCATACGTTATTAAGAAAACTACGAGAAAAATTATTTTAAATAAATGACCTCTCCAATGTACTAAAAATAAATAGTTCCAAAGATAATGGTCGGATAGAGATTTCTGGTAGAGAATCGTTTATAAACACAAAACAAAAAACACACACATCATAATAAAACCAATACATGTCTCGCTTAAAGTGTAAAAGCTCATAATTATTATACTGGAAGTTTATGTATTTTTCGTACGCACAGGTTTCCTGTGTTTTTGAAATTTCGACGATTTAAATCGTTTTCATTGCCAGTGTTAAGTCAATCAATCGATACACCGATGTTTTTGTGAAAAATAATTTTGTTAATGATTTTTGTATACTACAACGTTCAAAACTAACAAACTTAACAAAGAAACTAAAGCAAAATTAATATTCCTAACGCTAATATCTAGTTTCAAAATATATACATTTTTTAAACGGCTATATGTCGTAGATTTTTCAAAAACAATTTGTTTTATTTTCAATTTTAAAAAATACTAAAAAATATTATGCTTTAATAATAAATCGGAGGAATCGTGTCGAAAGACTTTATAGTAATATCGACCAGAGAAAAAAACTAACCAACTTAAAAATACATTGATCGTAACAAAAGTCACATTGCATTCGTCTGCAGATATCTGCAGGATATAAATTGTAATTTTGAAAAAAAAAATATAATATGTGTATATATATGACGATAATGCGTGTTTTTCCGTCGTAATATAATGTAATTTTCCCCGCTTTTATAACGATATGATATTAAAAAAAAAAAAAAAATTGAACGCGTGCCCGGTCAGGTGTTTTACCGTGTGAATTCGGGCGTTCAACACGGATTTCGCTCGTGTACGGAGTATTAGGTACACGTATATACCCACCAGTCATGTTTTTTTTTTCCCTATTTGTTTAATAATTTCGTTCGTCGCATTCATTTAGTCCGGAATAAAATCGCGATATCGGTCAAGGGGGGTTGGGGGAGGGGTCGGAGAGTTGAGGGGGAGGTGGGGTGTGCGGACATACACTGTTTATCGTGAGAACGTGATTCCGTGTCAGCTGCCCCTCAGCCGCGGCGCGCGTACCAACGACCACGGCCCGCACCCTTTTCCCACGATTCCCGCCACCACCAACTACCCGTGTGCAATATCACTGCGACCAGGCGTCGCCGTCGCGTTTCGAATCCCCGCGCGTTACGTACTTAAACCCCCGCAAAACACCCGTAAACCGTATAATCGTGGGAGTGTATTTTATATAAACGTATGTACATAATATAAGAACTATGACGATGAAATAAAATATTCACAATCAAACAATACGTTTTAATGTTTTGCGAATAACGCAAAAGCCGCGGAACGCGTTTCGTGTCAACAGGCCACAAAATCACTCCGTCGTATTAATTGAATAACGCATTAAACGTTCCGTAAAAATGGTCCATATTTATTTATAACAGTTTTACTAGAGATGTGTTTTGTTTTTTTTTTTTTTTTTTCGAAAAACGGATTTTTCGCTGATTCGTAAAAATGCTTAGGTTTGAGACGCAAAATCTCCGCCCGGCGGCATTTCACTTGTCCTAGATTCGCTTCAAGCTTAAATTAAAAAACTGAATACAAATCATCGTTACCGATTTTATTGTTGTTGATTTTTCAGCTATCTATATTGGCTGTAGAATCGCTTTTTGATTGCAAATATTTATCATTGTTTTCAGTATATCCATAGATTAAATAAGGAACAGATCCAGGACAATATAATGGAGGGTGATACTTTATGGTGTTATCGTCGCCACTGAACTATTTAATTAAATATTTAGTTTTTAAACTGCCCACGAATGCAACAGTGCTTACCCATGGTGCGAATTATGTCCGGCGTTTTGTCATTAACAATAATAGTATATTATACCTATTAAACCTATATAAGTGGTACTTTAGACTCGCCGTCAAATATTGCACTAATGAATCATAACTATAGGTTAGGTACCTATTATACTTGGATATTATAAACGATTTTTAATAAACATATAATTTGTCGTCAATAACTTTACTGATTATGCTTATGTCTATATAATCTTACCAAACAAATAAAATATAATCGTATTACTAACGTAGGCATATTATTATGTATTTGGTTGTATTATAACAATTTTCATTGAGATATTTTTTTTCATTGATTATTTTTAATTGATGGTTCTATAGTACGTGTGTATATTATCGTATGAAGGTATGTCTATAAAATTAAATAATTAATCGTTAAGTTTCTTGGAATAAATAATAATAATATCATTGATTATATATATACGATTATTGTTTGTTTTCTAAAAGAAAAATTCCAAATCGATTGAACGTTTGCCCCATTATATCAAGTCCACGGACATAATATGGACCTTTCTGTTTATTAGGTGACAGATAAACGCGATGAGAAATTTAACGAATGAACCGCAATAATTATTGTCGTTGGGCGATTAAACGCGTTAATTGATAATGATAAAACGTTCGTATTTCGAGAAATTTAACGCGTTACAGAGTTTAGACCCTGTAAAAATAATGTCGAATTTGATTACGACTCACAAACGAACCGTACAAATATATCTTGTAAATTTAAAAAAGAAAGATGGTATGTTCTTAAAAACATTCGTGTGCACATAACACAAGCGGTAAAATACGCACTAAAAAAAATATATAAAAACACGTTAAAAAAAGGGTATATAAATTTAGTTCTCCGTTGATATCGCTAAAAACGTTAACATAATAAAATAACACGAGAACTTCGAAATACGCAATTTTAAAAAATTTCGTATTTTACTCCTATATGGTTATCCAAAACAAATGTGTCAAGCAACAGTTGTACGAGCGCTGCTGACCCGTACGAAATCAATTTCGAATCGATTAGAACCAAAACGCGGTGTGTATTATAATATTTAGTAGTTAAGTACCGAACGGCTTTTGCTCGAATCAATAATACCAGCGTAGGTATGGAAAGGGGCAAAAAAACCCGCCGTAATTTAAAACGTAACCATTAAAAAAAGAGCTGATACTGGGGATGGGAGGAGCCAATATTGTAGGTGAGAAGTTGGGAAGGTAAGAAACACAAGGTTATTTCTTTTATATCTGTAAGTAACAATAAACCATTGCTTGACGAAAGACGATTCCGAGCGCAGTTCGGTAATACATAATTTTAAGTGACTTAATATTTTTTGCGATTTTTAAAGATTCCTTAAAAGTTCAAAAGTGGCTCGAAAGTTTTTCGATGATACCGCAAGAAAGTAAATCAAGAAGGCAACAAAAAAGATATCTAGTGATTTTCGATTAAATAATTTTTTCTGGTAGAAAACGTCGTCCGTGTTTTTATGAAATAACAAAATCGAGAAATTGTACGTTACCCTACGCTTTTGCCCACTTGAGTGCTTTTATTTAAAAAATGGCGTCGAAAATCAAAAAAAAATGACTTCTTAGAGAAGGTAAAAAGTACCATCTAGACCACGTGAGCTTTCAGAAAAGTTGCTACACGTAAAAACCGGAGCAAGTTTACTAGGAAAAAACGTGTCCACGGACTAAAAGAAGAAAAAAAAATAAACATCTTAGTAAAACCGATAGCTGCCTCGCTACGCTTGGGATTTAAAATGTCGGGTTTACGTGACGGTACCAATACGAATTACGGCATAATATCTGTACGCGAATAAAATCACGTTATCGTCGTTGTCGTTTACGAAAACCGGGGGACGCGTGTTTTATTATTGTGTATAATAACATTGCACACGTATTATGGTGGCACAATATGATCGTATAGAAATCACTCGTTCACGCCCAATTACGTTTTTACAAATGTACTCCGCGCATATATTCCGCATAATATAACGAATATGCTGTCGTCGTGTGTACGATATAATAATATTATGATGTAAAGTCGGGTCGGAATAAACCCGCGAGTACGTAAACGATTATGGAAATGATATTTTATATGGGACTGTACAAACATATGACGGTTCCGTAGGCGAGTGGGTAGAAACGACGTACGATTCTGAGACGGGGTTTGTTTAACTGGTAGTGGTTTTTGTTTTTCCAAAAAGAATCTCCTCCCCCTCCCAAAAAAAAAACCAATCGGAATTCAACTGCGAGCCTTTTTTGCATTACGAAAATTGAAATTTCGAAAAATCCGTCAGTTATTCCAACAACTCCGATAACTATAAGCGCGGTCACGTTCAAAATTTCAAACGTGAAAAATGACTATAGGTGTCTCGTACGTGCCAAAAGAAATACGATCCAACAGCGAACTAAGTAAACTAAGTTTCTACAGTAACCGCTGTTCGTTGTGCGTTTCATCGTGACAACTTATACTGCAGCCCTTTCACGAGTCATCTTATTATTTGCTTGGTTTGTTCTAACTCGGTTTTTCTTTCTGTATCCCCGAGGTAACCAACCGACAAAAATAATACCGAAAACATTAATTACCCAGTGTCAGTCCCCTTAAAGGGATTTAATTCGGGAGGGGGGAAGTAGTTTATATGTTATTCCTGGTATATAACTACATCCATGCAAGATTTCAGTTTAATCTGTTCAGCAGTTTTTGCATGTGGGTCGAACAAACATCCATCCAAACAAACTTTCGCGTTTATAATATTAATATAATGTTTTCGAAAATTTTGATAATGGTTTTTTTCATGTTTTTCTTTTCTTTTTTCTTTTTTACACAGGTCTGGACACGTTAGCCTACGATCCGTCCAAGTACGCGATGGACTACCACAACATCGGGTTCAGGGAGTGCGCGGCCGAGGTGGCCAGGTACTTAGAATCGGTGGAGGGCATGAACGGCCGGGACCCGTTGCGCGAACGGCTCTTATCACACTTGCAGTACTTCGCGGCGCAGCGCGAGTACGTGGCTAAGTCGCCTGCGGCCACCGTGGGACATCACAACGCACCACCGCCGCCACCGCCACCACCCGGGTGGTACGGTCATCATCAAGGGGTGCCTCCGCCGCCGCCTCCCGCGTTACCGCTGGCTCACCATTACCCGTCGACGACCACGTCGCCGCACCAACAGCAACAGCAGCAGCAACAGCCTCCGCCACCGCCGCCACCACCGCCCAGCCACAACAACAACAATTACGAGACGTCGGCCGCGACCGCTGACGGCATCAAATCCGGACCAGACGCCTGCGGTGGTGTCGCCCCGGCCGGTCTCACGGCTCTGTCGTCCGTCACGGCCGCCGATTATCACCATCACCACCACGAAGTGCAACAGCAGCACCATCACCGCGGTCGTGAAGACTATCAACACCAACACCAACACGGCAGCGGCGCCGGCAACCAATTGCACAACCTGCAGCCGGTGCAACCTCCGCCGCAACCGCCGTCCAACTATCACGAGGCTATGCAACAGCAACAGCACCAACAGCACCAACAACAACAACAGTACCAATCCGATTCGTCGGTTTCCGCGCAGATGAAGCCCTACAGACCTTGGGGGGCCGAAGTGGCATACTGATCGCGAGTTTATTTCCTAACCGTAAAAACTATTTTACGATTTTTTTTTTAAAAAATATTTTTGTTTATCACAAAGGACCTTATTCTAGTCAAAAGCCGCAACCAAAGCCATTATCGTTTTTTTTTCAATTGTACCTGTATTTTATAAAAAATATTTTATTAATTATTAACGAGTGCCAGAGAATAACATATTTTAACTGCTGTGATTCTGGCTGGACGTGTGTATATTTTATTGCCTATATAAATAGAAACTTATCGCGATCAGCGATTTTTTTCGTATAATAATAATTTTTTTTTAAGTTTGGAATATTTTTTTTTCTGTATACATTAACAGTTGTACACCAGACGAAATTTATTTTTGACTTATATATTTATTTTTCTTTTTATTAATATATTGATAATCCTATATAATATAAATATATATATTTTTATAATATCGACGAAAGTTGCAGGTTTGTAGAAATCGTTTTGTATACGATCAAAAATTATTATTGTTGACATGTTGTTTTGTATACTTTATAAAGTACATTGAAATATATATATATATTTTTTTGCTAATCAGATGTGTGTTTTTTTTTTTGTTTATTCATTACTAATTTACGCTACAGTACGAATATCCTAAATGTCCAAACACGGTGAGATAAAATGCTTTAAAATGTAAACAGTCGCTTGTATTATTTTTCATTTACATTACAACAATACTGCCGATTGTTTTACCTTAGTACATACAGGGACACATTTCTGTGGTTCGTACATCTGCGATAAACATTTTGAATTATGGAACTAGTACATGATGCTTTAAAACTAGAGTTTTAAAAATTTGGGGAGAGGGGTTGAACTATTACCGTATATGTCCCTGATTTTCATCTATAAATACGTATTACAAACTGAATCGGATAACCCGGTCAGAATCAGCGCTGATAAAAATCGACGGAGTTTTGTGATTTTCCAACGCCAACTACCACCTTTTAAAAAAATATTTTTACCCGTTATTCTATTATTTTTTATAAGCGATGATAATTCGTTTGCCGTTATGAATAAGATCGTATATTCAAGGCAGTATCTTTTTTTAGTATCGTCCACATCTCTACTTGTCCAAAAAGATTAGATTAGGAGATAGGAAAAGTGAGATATGACCTTTTTCGTTACGATAGATGTTATAATATGATGTATCTAATACATTACTGTGGAATAAAATTTTGAAAAAAAAACCGAAAAAGTTATTAATTTTGTCTTTAAAATTAGATATCATTAAATTATCAGCCAACACTCTTTTCGAAAACCTGCATCGTAGACTAAATAAAATGATGTAAAGACCTTTTTTATAGTATTTAATCAGGTATCAAATAGGTGCTAAATATTACTACTGGGTAACCTCTCTAACTTACGTATTTTAGATTCTGAATGTAGCGAAGAATATATTGGTTTTACTAAGATGTTTATATTTTATTTTATTTTTATTATACTGTATACAAAAATTCTACCAGAAATCTTGTCCAAATATATACGCGTGGTACCATTTCTGATAGGGAATGCTGTCCAAATGGTACTTTTTAGGAGGTTATTTTTCAATTTTCTATAATTATATGATATTATATGTTATGTTAAATAACTCTATATTGGCCTTAAAACATATTTTTCATGATCTAATGGTTATACATACTTATTTTCATCCTAGAGTTCGCGGGTTCGAACCCGCGTTTCAAAAAAAAAAAAAATTTTTTTTCGCTTTTGTCTAAATAAGAAAAAAACAAATATATTTTGGGTGTACCTAGAGACCCAAGCTATCGCTCACTCAGAATATTTTAATCGCAAAATACCCCTCGATTTGTTGTGCAAACTTTTCTATCAACAATTTTGCTCTGATATATCAAATGAAGTTTATTTTCTGAAAGGAAATTAAATCTCCATAGTAACTTGAAGAAGTAATTTTTCGACATTCCCAGGAGTTTTCCCAATAGATAAGAAAAACCGTGAAAAACGGAAAAATGTACAAAATACATTAGTAAAATATTTTTTTATAGACAACTTGTCTACCAGCAATTTTGCTCCGATTTACTATGATAGCACTTTTTCTAAAAAGGAATCTGATTGGGTAGGTACTTTGAAAATGTCATTTTTCGATTTTTCCAAGAGTTTTCCCAGCAAATGTGAAAAACCGGGGGGAAAAATGGGAAAATCCGAAAAGACGCAGGAAAAACGGAAAAATCGGTACAATTTTAAACAAATATGATTTGGGAAAATATTTTATGCTTATTTAATTATTTTACAATAATATGACATATATTGAAAAACCATCACTATCTGCGTTCAGAATCGTTTTTTCATTAACAATCGTCTATCGTTGCTTACAGATATACATTAAATTACCTTTAACAATGACTGCACCCAACCCCATTATCCTAGGACGTCGTTTTTATTTATGTTTTTCTTCTGTTAATGACTCTTTTACAAGAAATCTTGTCACAATTAAAAAACTACGAGCAAACTTTTTTGTATAGTTGGTATATCTTGGGAGGAAATTGTTAACGTTTCTTTCGGTGTCTGAATAATGTAGAAAAACCAAGAAAATGTACGCATTAAAGGTTTCAGGGTTTTTCGTTTGCTTTAATTCAGTTAAAAATAATCGTAGAGACCTGCATTTTTCACCGAATACTTAAATTACCTCTTTATAAACATGATACAATTTTCAAAATATTATGGTGAATTTTGAGCTATTTATTAGTCATTTTAAATTTTATATATTTTTTTTTTTTTTTTTATTTAGGTTTAAACGTGGACAAAAGTTTTCTGGCTTCTCAAAAATACTTGAATATTTGACACAATGTAATTTTGGGTATTATTATGATGTGTATTGTTTTGCATTTGATTTGTTTTATTTTTCGGTTTTTACTATTTTTTATATATTAAGTATAATTAAACCATTATTTAATTTTGATATTATAAATATAAATAGCTGTAATCCCGTTTTCCGACTAAAGATTTTACCTCAGTGGGTGAGCAGCTCCCGTATTTATATATTTATCTTTCTCAAAAATGTATTAATTTGTATGTACTAACCGGTGATATTATTAATACAATAGTTAGCTAACAATAAACAAAATAAAAATAAAATAATAATGCAACGTATTTTGTACCGTCATTGTGTTATGGCAGCGGCGGTGTTTGTTTTCAATAATATATTTCATAAAGAGAGGATTATCGGCCGAACTCGTTGGAAAATAAAAACCTTATATTATAATGCATACAATATTCTACATGCGGAGAGAAAAATAGCAGTATACTATTCTTTTGAAGCTCCGGCGTTGCGTCGGTCACGTGGCTTTCTCATTATCGTCTAAACAGAAACACGCTATAAGGGCCGCCGGTAATCCCGTAAAAAGCGACGGCGTATTATTAATTTTTTATTTTTAAATAAATAAATAAATAAGTTAGGTACCCTCGGTTTTTTTTTTCGAAATAGCAAACTAATGTTTTTTCCAGTCGTTGTTGTCCGGGTCAATTATCAACATAATATTGTTTTCGCGATATTTAATAATGTTCAGGGTATAGAACGGAACCGGTTATTTTCTATACATATATGTAAATTATTTCTCACGCCATATCCCTTCGTTAAAAATCGCATTTTGAATGTCGTGTTATTTTGCACAATATGATATTATATACCTATTATAATGCAATGTGCACACATACGTATTGCGAATATGCACCTCCAAAAGAATAGAACTACGATTCAAAATATACGACTTCTGAGTTATTACTATGAAAATGTATATAGAATCGATACATGAAAATTTAGTATGATTGAATTTTTTTTTATTTATTTAATATCAAAGACGGTCTGAGCTCAAATGTCTTTATTCGGCTTAAAATATTATATAGGTTTAGGCGTGAATATTGATACTTATTTGATGAGACTTTATTCTGATCCGACTAATGCTGTTACACGATATTTTCATAGTTAAAATAAACTGATACTTCAAAAATAACATTTCACAGGAACAAAAATCGTAAACATTATGCAACATTAAAATCCGATTTCCCAAACATTTTCAAATTTTGATTTTCATCGCTACTCTTTCAAGGTTGCGATATAGTTATACATATAATCTCTTTGTTTTATTTGTGTAAACATACCCATGCGGAGGTGTGCCCAGGGTCTAAGGGGGTTTATCCCCCTCATAGGTTGGGTCAAATGCAATATAAATTATTTAGCATTGACAAATTATTATTAATAAAGTAATAGTAATCATAGTATATTCGTATTAGTTATTTAACTAAATACAAATAATTTTGCTGCACAATTATGTATTTTGCAAAACATTTTATTTTTTTTTTGTCACGTTTATTTAGTTAACCCAATGAAAAATCCTAGTACGCCTTATACACGTGTATAGCGTTTAAACGTAGAACAAAAACCGGACTCGTATTCAACAGTAACAACAATAAAATTGTCCGATCTTTCGACATGGAACAATAATATTAGAATAATAAAGTAAACAAACGGTTTTTATTTTTAACGACTAAAATACGAATAAATAGCGTTTTAACGTGTTTCGTATAGAATAACAGCCGTAAGCAATAAATGATCGTATAGATAACTATAATTATTTTGTTTTCAATAATAAACATTCTTTACGGTTTTAATCGATATAAAAATGTTGATAAAAAAAATGTATAAAACAAGATATTATATACAATAGCAGGTAAAAAATTTCAGATTTCCAGAAAATATATACAGAGCGGTCCAAATTAATCACAACCCATGGATAGATTTAAAGATCAAAAAAGTTGGAAATGTGTTGCGACTAGCCCTACCTCATCATCCTACAAAATATATTTAAAAAAGCTGTTCTCGGATAATGGGGATGGGTGCAGTCACTGTTATAGGTAATTTTATGTATATCTGTTAGCAAAGATAAACCATTGTTAACGAAAAAAATATTCTGAGCTGAATTCACTTGAAAGTGATGCTTTGTCAACAATATATATGTCATATTATAGTAAAATAATTAAATAGGCAATATATATTATTTTTAATAATATTTGTTTAATATACTGATTTTCCCGTTTTTCCCGGTTTTCTTATGCTTTTTCGCGAGTTTTCCCACTTTTTGCGAAAATTGAAAAATTAATTAATTGAAGTACTTTTCTAATCAGATTTTCAGATCTTTCAGAAAAATTGCTATCATTGTGAATTTTAGCAAGATTTCTGGTAGCAAAGTTGCGCACAGATAAAAAATCAAGTGAATAAATAAACATCTCTGTAAAACCATAAGGTTCTTTTCCCCCACTCAGAATTTTAAATAATTGTAAATAGCGGATTAAAAGAAATGAAAATTTTTTTAAGAATTTTTCTCACTCTACCATTGAGTACAGCTAGGGCAAAAAGATTCGCAAGGTCTTTGAAAATAATTAAAAAATTGTCATATATTAACTTTTTATAGAAGATTACCGTACTGGCTATGCAATATGATATATTGAACGAGAGAAAATAGTAGATAAATTAAATTGAGAATGTTTTAAATTAATCTTACGAAAAAAAAATTCGAAAAAGTTATAGAAATAAGTAATAATTTAATATGTTATTCATTGTAAATTTATTTTGTGTTAATAAAATGCAAAGTGCGCATTTTTTCTTTTAAAACATGGATAAGAAATAAAAATATAAAATATAATAAATTAATAAATAATAAAATATAACACTTGTTTTTTTTACCATCCATGTTACCAAGGTAGCCCATTCTATTTCAAGCCAATATTAGACCGCCAGACAGTCAGACAGACTCTATATTTTAAGGTGTTATAGTTGTTATGTCATTTTTATTTCTGTTTATTATTTATTTTTTTATTTCTAACTTTTTCAGTTCATCCATGATACTATGGTTATCCATAATTCAACTGAATGTCGATCTATTAATATGAGCTAAACTTCTATTGCACGTCTTCGTTGTTAGCGACTGTTATTTTTCTCTTTGTGCCCTAAGTCACTGCGAGGGTTCGGCGCTAGATTTTCTGGCACAACATTGTAACGCGTACTCTCTCTAATTTGCAAGAGGATCTGAATTTTCAAAAGAAGACTCTCGAATTCAACGTATTTTTGCGGAAAATATGTTTAGATAGTTGCGACCTTTTGTTTCTAGGCATATTGTTTGAAAGTTTTTTTTTCAATTCTGAGAAAATAAGAATAAAAAGTATACATGCTTTGCTATTGCTAGATTAATAGTGTAAATAATAGTAATAATAATAATACTTTTTTTGTCCATAACAACCAAATTATCATCCATGTTACCAAGGTAACCCACGAATAAACAAAAAATAAATAAATAAACAATTAACAAAATACCTAAAAACCTAATTATTACAATTTTTGTAGGGATTCCTAGTTTTTTCTAGTAATAAATATAGCCTATGTTACTCAGGTATAATGTAGCATTTTAATGATGAGAAAATTTTTAAAATCGGTCTAGTAGTTTTTAAGTTTATTTGTTACAAACATCGAAATCTTTTCTCTTTATAATATTAGTATAGATTAAAACAATATTGTTGTGTATTTTTAATTTGGTTTTAATAAATAATAATTTAGCAAATTGTACTAATGCATTATATTTTAAAATAAATATTTTATTTTTATTTTTCTTATAATAATGTACACATAATTTTCCGATTCAAGTATTCCTAAAATATATATTGTGGCTGGACCTTCTTCCCTCTCACGAATATCAACATTTTTCTGAGAATTTTAAGCTAATTTGATTTTGAGTTTTTTCAATTATTACATGGAATTTCTGAAGTTTTATTTCCTCCTTTTTCAATTTTTACTTTAACACTCTTCATTATACCTTAAACGAAGATACATTTTTAATTTTATTATATCAAACCCTACCTCTTCCCATTTCAAACGTAAATTCGATTAGAGAATATTTTAAAAAAAATATTCATATACATTTAACATTAATATCGAATTTACCATTAACAATTTATAACAGTTTAAAATTAGGACCTGATAAATTGATTGACGGATACACATTTAAAATATTGGTTAAAATAAACCTTTAACTGCATATTATTTCATGATTTCAATAGAAAGAAATAAAATGAATTTAAAACTATCCGAGATATTCGTTGGTTCATGATAAATGTATCACCCTGTACAGTATATGTACATTAAATTAAAAATATTTTAAAACATACAAATATTAAGTAAATATTCTATAACTATATTGAACAAGGTTCAAATTATTTGACTTCGATAACTTATTATAAGACATCACACAAATATAATTAATATTATATAGTTAATAGATTGATGTTTGGACTGATTACAAATAGATAGTATATAGCACAACATAATTTATTGTCATATATTAATTATACATATTATGTTCATTACATCTATTGTAACTATTTTAATTTATTTTTAAATTTTTGATTCTGAGTGTAGCGAAAAATGACGTATTGGTTTTACAAAGATGTTTATTATAATTATTTTTTTTAATGTGACCACTTTTTCTACTATAAAACTTACTCCAATATATACGATGTAGAACGTTTTCTGAAGGGAAATTTTCTTGGGATGGTACTTTAAGGAGGTTATTTTTTAATTTTCCCGACAGTTTTCCCAATAAAAGGGAAAAGTGAGAAAAAACAGGAAAATGTACGAAATATATTATTAAAATACTATGATTTGTTTTTTCTGTGGAAAACGTTTCTACTAGTAATTTTGCTCCGATATTATTTTAGTAGGTACAATAACCTATTTTCACTACCAAATATATTAATAACGTTCTCAATATTGATAATGATATCTTTTTCAGTATATAATATTGAAGAGTTATTAAATCTTTTTCGCAGCATACTCGTACCTAGCTATTTCTTAACGGTGCGGGCCCATAATAAGTACACAAATAAAAATAATTATTTTATAGTATAAAATTTCAGAAAAATAAATATTTTGTTATGTTCCATGATTTTGGCATTTGTTGTAAAATAAGTACCTTTTTTATACTTTGAAAAATGTTCAATAATTTTGAGGGCTTTTGATATTTTGGTGTGGAGGCTAAGCCCCCCAATCTCTACCTATGGTGTTATTCTATACTAAAATGTATAAAAATACACTGTAATTACTATTATTTCTATGGTGTTTTTTTAACGAACGCGTAAAGTTTAAAACACTGCGCATAGGCCTTTTCGGGGTCTGCATAGTGTCGTATAAGTTAACGAGCATAAACAACAATCCATAATTTACTCGTGTACAATATTTATACAAATACATACATAATTTCTGGTACGATGTTTCGGAACAAATAAAAATATGACGCGATATCAGGATTTATGTATCTGTGTTGTATTCGAGTATATTCTCAATATATATTACGGCTGCGTAACGGCTCTCGCGGGGGCCGCGCCGCCGATAGTTTCCGGTCCGCGGTTTAATACTGTTACGTGTACATAATAATAATAATATACGCGGCTGCGTACGATATGTCATAGAAAATATACACGCGCATTAATAATAGTGTATTATCGAGATCGTAAACAACCGCAGTATCAGTGCATTAAAATAATATTACAATAATATCGCGACGGAAATACGATTATTATCAGTTCGTAAACGTCGCGCGATTCGATCGTTCCGGTGGTTTATTGCCGTTAACGTTCGTCGCGGCGCGACAGTTGTTGGGACGGTGATAATTGAAAAGACGTCGATATCACATTATAGAGTACGTCGCTCGTACAATAAACAACAATACGAGAGGAGCGTATTGTAAAACATACAAGTCTGACCGATTGCGCAATTTATTGTTTGTGTAAGGGACACGGGCAATTGACCGCGGTCGCGTGCTACTAGTGGTGTACGCGTATAGGTAGCCGCGTAGTCGGAGTCGTCCGAGTGAGTCTGTGCCGGAGGGCCGACGATGACCAACGTCCACGGACTGCTGCCGCGGCGATCTCCGAGGGGAACAATAATAACAATAATAATATAAGCACTTCAATTTGTATCCGCGCGCGAGCATTTGACCGGACTTTGTATAATACGCGAAAAACCGTAACATGTGCGCGCGCACGTATAGTATAACAATAATAATATTATTCGCGGATAAAACCGTTCGTTTTGACTTTCGTTCGCACTTTTAATAATCCAATCCAATGTATACAGGAAAAAAAAAAATCGCGATCCTATTGAGTCTTCCGCACGGTTTTTAATGCGTCCCCGCGGCGATTACAATATACGCGTTGCAGTCTACCCTCCCCCCTACCCCGCGCCCGTCAACGTTTAATGTACCGTCGAATTATTATTATTTTTCGCCCCGTATTTTCCGCGTTATATACAATTTCCGTCGCGTTACGTCGGGTTTTTTTTTTGTTTTGTCGCTCTTACGGGGGAGAAAAAAAAAATGCGCGAGAAACCATTAAAAAGTACGTGTAACGCGAACGGCGCGGCGCATCGGCTCATCGAACACGCGCGTCCGCTATCGAATCCAATATATTTAATTGCGTTCATACATCACAATAATATTAATATAACGAAACCGTACACAGTTAGTAGTTCTTCTCGGCGGACGTTTTCGCCTCTAAACGCGATGTCCGATGTCTCTTAAACAATAACAAGGGACAGATCGCGCGTGCAATATAATACAATAACTACCGATAACGTTATTTTTATTGCGCGACACGTCGACCGTATCACCGCGATATATAAGTGCGCAATTATTATACACATAATAATGTACGGTATAATATTGGAAATCGTAATAATAATCTATTTAACGGCTACGACGACGCGTCCGAAACGAAACGATAAACGCACCATATTGTTATCATATCATACTACTTATCGTTATTATCATAGACGTATAATATACGAAATGGATAGGACATGCCTATACCATAGGCATTAATATAAATACATAGCTTATGCAGACGATATAGTACTGATGGTAAAACCTCGTTATAGATTAAAGACATTGTTCAGCAGACTGTATAAAGCAGCAGCAAAAGTAGGATTATTTGTAAACAAAGAAAAGACGGAATATATGATAATTTCTAGGGGAATAAAAAAAAAATCGAGTTATCATGTTTTTTTGAGTTATCGCGACTCGACTGTATTAATAATATGCAACGATCGAAAACAAATCTGGAAACCATGTCCTATGGGACCACCACTAGCTATAATGAAGCATGTTGGGAATGATTCCATTTAACTTTTAAAACTAATTGAGACATTTCTGACCCCATTGCAAATGTCAGAAAATAAAAACAAATGATTCTGAATGAAGATTGGTTAAACATCTTTTGAAATTATATGATTTTTACGATTTTTGTCAAATTGTGAAATTTAAACGCTTATAAACAAAACTTCTAACTACAAAATGCTCGATTATTTTTTTGTTTGATCAGCAAGTTCGATTCGCGATGAACTTCGTGTTAAATTTTAAAGCATTTTTGTTCAGCCATAACCATTTTATCCGCATAAAACTGAAAAAAATCTAAAAGACACTAGAAAATATCAAATGCCTATACAAACAAATTGCCAGAATATTTTGAGAATTTTACCACGTCTATAAAAAGCCAATATATAAGAATTATGTGAAAACTTCAGGTTCTATAAGATTTATTTTCAATGAATCACAACAAAAAAAACAAAATAAAAATAATGAAACCGTTATTGCCGTAATTTTTCAAATTTTACCTATTTTTTCCCTTATTTATTAAATATACTACAAGAAAAATCAAAAAATTACCTAGATCAGATTTGCTTTCAAAAAAGATGCACAAATGTGCACATTCAAAGTGCACTTTGGAAAAAGGTCCGAATTCCGTATAACACCCATAATATTATGCAGATATAAGAATGAGCGCAATGTTCCGAAAGTTTTATCGAATCAAAATTGCAGGTACGATATTAAAAGGTTCACTATAAATTACCAACTTTAGATATATATATAGTTTTTTTGAATATAATTTAATTTTTGGTATTAGTGATTTAAAATGCGTTACAGCCATTTTATCATGTACAAATTGAAAATATAGAAAAATATATAGTACCAAAGTGGCAAAGTCATGTTACAAAATTCTATTCAATTTTAAATGACATTATTATTATTCTTTTTTGTCAACTAAAATCTACCATATCGATTTTGAAACGATAATATTATATAGTCACCAAACACAAATTTACAAAAAATCATATCTATAGGTACTATATTATTATATATCAACAATAACAATCATTAAACTTTTATCGAATTAAAAAATGTGTGCGAGTGTTTTCTTATATATACGAACTGAAAACTGCTATATTATATGACTGTATTCAATCCTTCCACGATTTTTAATTTTACCAATAATCACACACGTGTAATATCGACAATCGAATGTTAACGAGCGCACATGTCGTTCAATCAATCGATAGCCAATCATCAATCAATCGCAGTGACTTCCTGTTCCGCGTGCGCCCAAACCAAATGCATTTTCATCACAGTGACGATATACTACGTGTTTATCTATAGATGAAATATCCTGTATCCTCAGGGATTTTGAATTTAAAATTAATGACGCTTGTTATAAACTTCATACAAAGTAGGTAACGTTTATAATAGTGTACCTAAGTATTTTATAATATTTAGCAACAGGGACGTAGCCAAGAAGGGTGAGCTTAAGAGGCTTAGGGAGCTGTAGCCTCCCCCCCTTATGGATCGTGATTAAGTATGTACACTATTATATGCTTTGAGTGTTAACTACGTTTCCAGTTATTTCTTCCGCTCCTGAAAGAAGGTTTTTTACTGTATAAAAGCGCATACATGGAGGAGCGCTATGACAGAATATATACTCAATAAGTTAACCATGGATAATATAAATACAAAAGAAGACATTAATAATTTTGATGTTTAATCAAAATTCTCCAAGGAAGATACAGTAGTGAGCTGACTGTTAGAAGGAGATAATATATAATTAAAAATATAGGTAGTATAACTATTAGTATAGTATAAGTATTACATTGATGAAAAACTTCTTAAATTTTGTTTAGAGAGTTAAAGTATCTAAACCTATCTTACCTAGTTGCGGTATAATTCAACTAGGTATACGATTTTCAGTACATATGTGCCTTATCGTTTTACGTTAACGTATATTATTTTATTACTCTGTAAACACCCTTTTATATTATAAAAATGTATAATGAAATCCAAAAATGTCCAAAATCACAACAAATATAATGTGCAAATACCGTATACATTTTTCGTGTTAGTGTTATGAAATAATGTTTCGATTTAAATATTTATTATAAGTATTGCCAAGTTGCATTTGTTTTATAAATTTTATCCCGATCGATAAATAATATACATATATATTATATATGTATACTATATAATTATGTATCATATTATTATCATAAAAGCAGTACAGCTATACTCGTAAATTTGATTATCTGAAATAAAAAAAACAACAAATGTTTCACAATAACATTTGTATATTATTATAATGGATATTGAAAATTTGATTATTATTGTAATGTATAAAAATAATGCTTTATTTTTTAAACCATATATTTTAGGGTAAAAATCACGATTTCAATTGAATCCCTGCTGCGTTATATTTGCAGGCACCCTTTATATTTAATATCGACATAAATATCGCCAAATTCCGCGGTTATGGAGTTTAAAATAATATAAATGTCAGTTTCCTGTTCCGGGATTAGGACCTTTACGACATAAGTAAATTCGTTTCGGTCGTGTCCATTCATCATTTGAATGTGAAAAACACGGGCCTCGCGCAGAACAATGCATTTAAAATCGGTCAAAATAACATTTCGAGTTATGATTGTCCAATTGTTATTATTGTTATTATTATTATATTACATTCGATAATAATAATTATTATTAAACTTTGAAAAGGGATCCACGCTGCACACGTGGACGTACATATAGCGGATAAGGGTCCGGTGGACCGTGTCCGCGAATTGTGGACAAGTGCCAGATGAAAAAAAAAAACAATGTCAAGTGAATTAAAATTCAAAAATCCAAATGGAATCAATACCTTTCTCCCTTCGACATTTACCCCGACCGTAATTTTAAAGCGTAAAAAAACATCTACATGAATATATTATGGTTGATATATATTATTATTATGATGTTAGGATTATATTGTGTGCGCATGCCGTACAAAATACAGTGTGACTAATTTTTACATTTTCATTTGTAAATCTATTAAACGATATCAGACGAATTTATTCCAATTATATAACATAGCATATATTTAAAAAAATATACATACATAATTATAAATATACTAGCTGTCCCGCGCCCAGTGTTGCCCGTGCCAATTTTTATTATTATATAATAACAATTTTATTTAATAATAACATAATTTTATTATTATTTTACCCTTATTAATTTTTGATTTTGGCTGTGTCAAAATTGAATGAAAACAAATAAGTGGAAGTGGGTAATCCACCTTTGGCGGATTAAATGTGTTCTATTGTGAAATTTTAATAGTGCAAATAATAGTGATAATGATAATAATAATTATAATAGTTTTCTTTTCCGTAACACCAAGGTAACCCTTGAATAAACAAAAATAAATGAATAAGCAATTAGATATTCGTACCAAATATACCTAAAGATCCCTATTTTACCACCTTAGAAGTTGAATTTTCAAAAATCCTTTATTATATAACGGAGAAAATATTAGAAGAACCACTATTCTAAATTTCAAGTACGTACGTTGAGTAATTTTTGAGTTACAGCGATTAGTGAGTCAGTGGTATTTGGATTTTATATATATATAGATTTTATCGTATACAATAAAATTAATGAAAGGGTGCAGATGGTAGGTATAAATTGTTATAAAATATAAAAAGTTGATATTTTTCACGGGTTGAGTCCTATTGTAGGCGGGTAGTTACATGCAGGGTAATTTAGTGTATGCAACGATAAATAATCTCTAACGAAAAACGACCCTGAGCAGAGTAGTATTAGTCGTGGTTTCCCCTCGTTTTCCGAGAAAATACACACGTCTTATAACGATACTAATAACTTTTTTTCTACACTCAGAATCTAAACAATTATATTTTATATTCTTATAAAATATAAAATAATTTAAATTCCGAGAAAAAGCTGTTTTGGAACATTATATAATTTATAACCTAAAAAATAATAACGATAACTATGTATACGAGTAATGTTTTTCCCTGTGTTTTTCATTTATATAAACCATTATACCAACGATCTCGACAAGGAGGTCGAGGAAAAACAATTTGGTAGATTAAAAATACATATTCAAATTTATGAGATGATTTATTATGTATTCGAAAATGTTCTGTTTAGAAAAATAATCAACAAGATTAAAATAATATGTTCATTTCCGGTTTTCAATTTAAGCGCGAATAAAATAAAAAGTTGAAAATATAGGATCATATTATGTATACATAGGACATTGTGATTAATGATTATCTATTTATATATATAAATTAACATGACCTGACTGGCTGATTCATTATCGCCTAGCCCAAACCACTGGACAGATTGGGCTGAAATTTAGCACAAAAATAGCTATTATCACGTAGACATCCGCTAAGAGAGTATTTTTGAAAACTCAATCCCTAAGGGGGTAAAATAGGGATTTTTAGGTATATTTGGTATGAATATCTAGTTATCTATTTATTTATTTTTGTTTATTCAAGGGTTACCTTAGTGTTACGGAAAAGAAAACTGTTATAGTTATTGTTATTACTATTATTTACACTATTGAAATTTCACAATAGAACGCCGAAGGTGGACTATTCACTTTCCACCTATTTATTTTCATTAAATTCTGGCATGGCCAAACCAAAAATGAATATGGGTAAAGTAATAATAATAAAAATTGGCACCGGCAATGCCGTGCGTGGGACAACTAGTTTATATATATATATATATATATATATATACATGCAACGATAAATAAACGATAAACGATTTTGAGCGGGGTTCGGTTAGGTAAACTGCATGTTTTGATAAATTGAAAATGTATTATTAATTTGAAATTTTATAATATAAATTACAGTTATTGTGATTATAATACAAATTGTAATATAAATTCTAACTTAAAAAAAACCGGTAAAAATAAATTACATTATGTTTATTCATGTAATTAAACTAACAAAACTCGACAAATTCAAACAGTTATAAATAACTCGAAAATGCCAGAATATTTGTACCACTTTTATAAAGTAGAAGTTTCAGATTTATGCGATTATTTATCATCGAATAACAACAAGAAAACCAAATTTTAAATTAACAACAGAAACCGTTATTGCGTTAATATACCGAGTCTACCTCTCCGTTATTAAAAAAACTACAACGGGATTTAAATGATTTGTCCAATGCATCAGCTCAACAAAATTTGACATTAAACCATAAACTACCGCTAATGTTGATGAACGGAGAGAAACTTCTGGTAGAAAATTCATTAACAAACAGAATAAATAAAATAGTGCGCACAACGTCATTTTATAGTAAAACCAATACATTTCTTGCTACAATCATCATCTAAATTGTAAAATACATATAAAAATATGAATGGACATACTATCATACATAGATACGGTCTATCCACCTATCTAATATTATTAGCCTGTATATGGAATAAGTTATATATCGAGTAAGTAATAATAGTGTATAGGTATTGTAGATACTTATCTATAATAATATAGCCACTTATCCGATATCCATCAATTACATAACTATAGATAATAATTATATTGTTAAAAAAAAAACTAAATTATTTTTACTAGGTCGATAATAATATTTTCTCTGCCTGTGCATCATGCGAGAGTACTAGTGTTATACTCTATATGACAAATGATATGTTAAAATAAATTGCTATTATTATGTATACACACAGCCGATTGAGTTTATTATTATAAATGTATTTGCGCGACAATAACGGAAGTTTTGTCATTCTGTTTTACCGAAAAAAATGTAAAAAAAGAAACTATACATACATCCACATAACACATGTCATCATAAATGTACAATATAAACGGCATTACTTTTGGACCACTGCATTATTATAATATTATGTGTGTAGCACAATATTATAGTTTCCATATAATGTTAATAATAATATTATTGTTACTATATAATATTATTATGTAGACGAATGACCTGACAATTTTTTACGCGCGCACTTAGTCGTATATAGTGTGATACATACTCTTGTATATACTATATTATGCTTGATTGCAATGACGCGACGAAAACGTTGTATAAAAAGTGAGTTTCGATAAAGAAAATAATAATAATATCGATAAAACATCGATGTTAATGCGTTGAACATAAAACGAATGGGCCACGTTACAATAGTATGTGGAGTATTATGACTTTGAAGTTTTTATTTTTTTATTATTATACATTAATAATAATAGAGTAAAAAAATAGTACTTGTGCAGCACATTATACAAATATATACAAGACTCATGGGTCAGTAGACGATTTGGATTGTCCGTCGGGTTGTTTTAAACGGATTAGGTATGGGACGTTTCGCAAACAACAATATTAATATAATAATAATATTCTCTGTTTTTCTATACTAAAAACACCCGGCCCGATATAATACATTATATAAACGAATTAAACAAATTAATCGAATAAAATATTATACGTACACACATATGATGATAATATTGTAATCGGGTATGGGATTGGGTTGCGATGAAAAATGGCGGCGGTCGCGAAAGGGAAATTCAATATAGTGACGGAGACGATTTTTCACGGGGACGAAAAACTTTACGTACGTGTATACAACATTGCCAGTTATTGTTATAATATTATTAAAATATATTATTATATTTGATCGTGGCACGTGTCCCGGGCATTGGTTCCCACGTACGTCGCCGGTGCCCCTTTTATTTTTTCTCCGGACACGTGCGAAACCGTCGCGTTTCTCTCCCGTGAGAACTGATATTATACCGTTGTGCACGCCCTTCCCCCCACCCACTCCGGTATAGAAACATGACCGTAGTATAATAACAGAGGGTCGCCCCCAACGACCATGCTCGGTATCAGTTGGTTATCCGGAGCCGGTGCAGCACGATGACCGCGTTATTGTCCGTAGTTGGATTTTGCAAAAAATACGCCATGGTGAGTGCCGATTATTATCATTATTATTATTGTTACCTATAAATGATCTTATTTTAAGTGATTTGCTAGACGCTGTATAATATAGGTGCCTCACATTATACTCATTATAGGAAACACCAGTGGTGCCAATAAACTTTTTTTGCCACGGGTCATAAAGAGAACAATTTTTTCTTGGTGGGTTACAAATTTATCGTTTTCCATTAAAGACATTAGGGTATTAGGAATAACCATGGTACAAAACGTGATACACAATCCTTTATGCGCTTAATTTAATTTGTCGTGCCTGCCTTTCTATTACCTAGAAATATAACAAAATTAATTTGCTTACGTAAAACAAACGAAAAACCTTTGAAACTTTTTTTTAAAGATAAAACGCCAATAATAAAATGCCTGGGTAACGTATGCATTTTTATAAACAACCTCACTGACTTTTTTTTAAATATTAATTTAAAAAAAAATAGTTATTATTTTTTATCAAAAAAGGTTATACACGATATTATGTACGTTCGATAGTAAATTGAATATTTAGTGAATTGTAAAATGCGCCGATGTGGTTGTGTACATTTTAAACATGTACATATTTTATAACATAACGTGTTTTATTTCTAAAATCTATTCTAAAGATCTTTTTGTTTGTTTTACGTGAGCGACACCGTGAACACATTATTTTGCGCCACATTGCCCGTCAGAAACATTTAAGATACGGAAAATGCAATCGTGACGAGTCTTTACAAGTGTTTACTATATACGAATTTTAATCCAGCCGCGTCTGGGTATAGAGACGAACGTACGAGTTTCAATTAAAAATGTGTCCTTTATATATGGTATAGGTACGCGATGCAATTGAAACGGTCGAATCCGGGAACGGTTTTGCGTTACGAATAGTACGTGACTTAGATGTATTTCAGTATTTGGATATATGCGTTATTGGCTGCGCGGCGTGAATATAATAATATATATAGGAGAGCTCAGTCAGACGGTAGAAAAATAATAAGACAGTCGTCCGGAGAATTGGAAAAGAAGTTTTCAATAAAAGAAGTGTTTATATTAATATATATATATGTTATCATAGGGACCAATAATAATACTCGATAAGATGAAAATATCTATATAAATATATATATATATATATATATATATATATTAAATATTCAGGGTGTCCCACGAAGATATACCCATTGCAATATCTCCGGAAACAATAAAGTTAATCAAATCCTGTTTTTTTTTTGTTTTTATATTATTCACAAGAGTAAAGACTACAGATATTAAGATTTCAATTAATTTCTTATTTTGGTAGAAAAACTTAAAAAAATAACTTTTAATTTTATTATTATTTTTTATAAAATTGAAAAAAGCCATTTTATAGAGTTTATTCTTTTGAACATTTTAACATATCATCTTTTTAGTTCTATTAAAATCGTGATTTTTAATAATTATTTAAGTTCAAAGAAACACAATACAAATACAGTCAATTAGCCATAATAATAATCAATAAACAAATGTGATTACAGCCTGCTGCATACATTTAGGTAATTTTTATTAAAATAAAAAAAAACAAACTTTGATTATCTATATTAGGCATCTCAGGCATCAAATATTGCAATGGGTATCTTCGTTGGACACCCTGTATATATGTGTATATATATATCATATAGTTGGTTTTGTAGGTTAATATAATCTTTATATACCTATATATTGACTTTGTCGTGGGTTTATTGGTAGGTATTAGGCGTAAGGTTTAGTATAAAATCGCAGTACGCGATGAGTGCGATTTTACGGAAATTTATCGTAAATAATCTATAATACTGAATACTTGCAATTTCTAATGTTAAAATTATAAGCGCGCGCAGATTTCATCTACAGGTTATACAATTACAGAAAAATATAATAAAATATAATCGGGCCAAGCAAGACTTGTTTGGACCAATTTTTCTGAAACACAACCCGTTTGGACCAGAATTTTCCTTATATTAGTTTAACTGACCGTTTATTTAGTAAACCTATATAAAGCAGTATTTTATCTGAGTTGTCTTCTCGTATATAATACTTTGATACACATATATCTATTATATAAAGATAATAAATATAGGTACATATTTAATATAACTGGATTTTTGGTATATTTTATAACTAAATTGATACATAAAAATTTCATGTAAACCTAAATAATTTACTTGTTACCTAATTTAAAACTAAGTTTTCATAGTATAACTGAAGATTTATTTAGCGTTTATTTAGTTTTTTTTTCTGACCTAAACGCAAATTTATGTTCAACAGAGCCAAACTTGAGTTGTTTGCTTAAATATTAGAGTGAATTGACCTATTATCAAAATTCAAGTTCAGTAATATTTACGTATTTATAGGTTATTTTTTTTACGATATTTAATTTAAAAACGAGATGTAAACATTTTTAAATTTTAATATTTACATACTGTATAAAAATTTAAATATCATAAGAATACTAACATACAACCACGGATAATGTTCTGAATTTTAAGTTTGATAAAAGATTAATTCACTCTAATACTTAATCTAATAATACAAGTCTGATTCTGCTGGACGCAAATTTATTATATTGCGTCTGGGCCATAGGGGAAAAACAAATAATGCGCTGACATCATTTTAAGTATCTATGTAATGAAAAATGTTATGCACCTACCCAATGATGCAGACTATGCAACGGCATACCTTGCATACTACGTGCGCACGTCTATGGTTAAAATATTTCATATATGTATTAAATAATACTTATATGGGGAAACTTATTGAAATACTTTTATTTTTACAATGATCATTTTGTAAAATGAAGTACTTACATTTATATTATGTATATTATATTATATTATACAATGCTGTACTGCTGTTATTATAACATACATAATTAACACCGTTTGGAGTTCGTTTGGAGTTTGACGGAGAAAAGTAGAAAGTTTATAAAAAAGTTGTTCACAGATAAAAAATATAATAAACATCATTGTAAAACCAATAGTACATTCCTCGTTCTGCTCAGAATTTAATAAACGTAGGAAGAAAGAGAAGGCGAAGAAAACCGAAAAATAGGTGGTTGGATGCTATTGAAAATAATATGAGGCACGATGGGTGTTTGCAAGGACGATGGAGGGGTTCGGATCAATTGAAAGTTTAAGATGAGTGTGGCCGACTTCAAATAATTGTGATGAAGGAGAAGCAGAAAAAGAAAAATTAGAACTTTTTTAGTAAAAAATTGGTTATTTTATAATTCTGACCGTATACAAGAACGCCGTAAATCACTTGAGAAGGTTTTTGAGTAAAACATATTTTTATATTTTACATTTTCTAAAATGCATGATACATAAATTTTACTTCTTATAAAATATGGATTTTCATATAAAATGTTACCTGATAAATGCAACGAAATAAAAATAAATAAATTCTGAAGAATCTAACCAACTTTTTATATTATAAATATTTGTATAATTTATATTATTACTATTATTATATTTTGATAATTATTGGTTGGGAATATATTTCACACGTGCTACATTACGGTAAGCAAAACCACAATTTGTACTTAGCATAAACACCACAAATTATTATTATTTTTATTGTATACTAAGCAAAAATCTCGCATCTTCACAATACATACGGCGTTTATACCCTGTAAAAATGAATTTTCGACTATTTACGGCGTTCTATCAAAGTGAATATTGTTAATAGTCTTTCTGTAGGCTAATATTTCAGATATGTGAAATTCTTATTCGTATTCGCTATTGATCTAAAACGTCTAAATTTTACGATTTGTTCGTGTATTTACTCATCTTCTAATTTGTTTTATCTTACGACATTCATGCTTACATATGAGTAGTATCTAATTTGTATGGCAAGAGTATATTATTATGAATCATAAAAGAACAAAAATAAATTATGTTTTATCGAGTGTACCTATACACAATTCTCTAAAATACATAGTGTAATAATTTTTCGTTATAAAATACCCTACAGAACTACATAAGGGTACGCAGTGATGAGCTTTGGTACCTAAAACCCTTTTTCTCATTGACCGTACCTAGCTATATATAATAATAATATGTTTGTTTGCGTTCGTTTATTGCACCCCTGAGTTTTTGATGGCTTTTATTTCGTAATTTTAATTGAAATACGGAACACAATAATATTTTATAACAGGTCGACCGGATTAAATCGCGTTCATATTTGACTGTAAATTTGTTTTTTAATTAGACGCAGGTATGTAGGCAATAATGTATTACGTAAGAATGTTTCTAATAACTTTAATTTCGGAAATGTTTTATTTAATGAAATTAATACCGGGATTATTGCTTGAAGTTGAAGTGATTTTAGTATACTAGGATTCATGTCTTTATAGTAGTGTTTCCCAATTTATTTTACTCACGGAACTTTTTCGGGAACTTATATATTTGGTGGAACCCTTATTTTTTTTCATAACCACATAACGAAGACATATTTTTTGGATATTCAAATGAGTGGGCAGTTTGAGACTTCGGCAAAATGTTTTTTAGATAATCACTTTCCATGGCATTCTAGAACTTGAATTATAAAAAATAAACAAATTGAAAATGTTATTTACTATTTTATTTTTTCCCAAATTCCTCATGGCATCCTTGACGCTGGTTTACGGAACCTTTGGGTTCTGTGAAACATCAGTCGAGAAACACTGCTTTATAGCATATATAATATTAAATGCATCAATTACATTATTTGACGTATCATTCATGTTAAATTTCCATTGCCATAACTTGAACTTTCCAATTACAACTGATTAAGGTTAAACGAATTCTATTTGTATACATCAATAAACGTTATAAATTTATTATAAATTGTACAATAAGTCAATTGCCACACGACGTCAAATAAATAAATAAATAAAATCATCTTTTTTTGATTTTAAAATCGTAAAAATCGAACCTTGGCAACCATTTATGTTTTACTTGTTACTCAGCTATTTCTGTGTCCTTATTGACATATTAGGATAAAAATATTACTTTCTTCCATTGACTTAAAATAAGGTTGTCAACCTAAAATTACTAGTAGTTGTTTGTTAATTTATTAATCTCAAATATTCTTCTAACTCTTTAATAGTTTAATATCTTTTAAAAGGACACTTCCTTGTCTATGACAAGTAAAAACTAAATTAAATAATACATTTTTTATTTCATTCGTGTCATCAAAATTACCCTAAAATTAATAAAAAATTGTTACCACATCTATAAAAGCTTAATACAAGCATTCTGTGAATATTCTTTGTGATTGTTTTTAACCGAATTACAACAAAAAGAACAAAATAGAAAATAAAGTATTCGTTATCGCCGTAAACTTTCATGTTTTCCCGCTGTGCACTAACTATAGATAAAATAAGTTTTCAGAAAAGATGGTAACTCAATTTTTAAGTAAGGAGTGAAATTTCCGGTAAAAATGTTTTCATAGATCCAAAATAAATTCAAAAAACACACATCATAGTAAACCCAACAGATTCCTTGTTGCACTCAGAATCCAAAACATACAAACTTATTAGTTATTATACATATACGCTTAATTTTATATAATTATAGGTTAAGATAAATAAATTAGAAATACAAAGGATGTTGCATTACATTTTGTACAACGTTATTTAACATATTTACTAATATACTTATATAGTACTATAATAGTATTATGTAAGTAGATTGAAAACATTACATGTAAAAATAATAATACATACCTACACAATACAATAAGTTTTACACTGTTTTATATTGAAACCATATTGTTAACAATTTGATAAATTGTTCATGGATACTGTTTTCATTTTTACTGAAATCCCTAACCAATTATATTTGATATAACCAAAGATATTCTATTTATATTTTTTGTCTGATTAAAAAACTTTACTGCTTTAAAATTGTATTCACTCAAGAGAATATGTGGTGATGTACATATGCACGTCTTATTTATTCATTAGGTACTTATATAACATAAAAAAAAAAATGGGGCATTCGAATTTGTATTGTTACTGTCAAATATAATATTATTTTAAACAATGAATTTTTGTATTACATATATTTTCTTTAAAATTAAACTCGTTTATGTTCTATGGGTTTAATACGATACGTAAAATGTTGAAAATGATGCGAAAATAAAAAAGAATTGATACTGCTGGTGGATGTGTCACTGTCGTAAGTGAGACGTTGGAAAGGTAGAATACATAAAGCAAATTAATTTTTATCTCAACTAAAGTAGTGAATAAATTAAACATAAAAAAAAAAATGCACAACAATTTACAGTATATAGATTGGTTATTCGACTGAAAAATAAACGTAGTTCCCTTAAAATGTATAGCATCATAGTTATACATTATTATTATGTTAAATTTATCGATAAGACTGCATATTAGGTGAAAATGTTTTACTATAATCCTTCACATTTAATACTTTTAAATTTGTATGGGTATATATCCTGTTTACTACTTTAATTGTGAGGTAGGTATCAAGAACCAACTGCAATATACGTTTCATTGGTAATCTAAGTGTGCGGGTATAATGATTAAGATCAATTATTAAATGATATATATATATATAGTTAAAGTTGGTACCCCAAGTAAACTAAAGAGTAATCTATATCATATTTTTAAATTAATAATTACTGCGTGTCGAAATTTTTTTAATGATACAATAGTAACTGTAGTTTTAGATTGTTAAATATTGAAGCATTTCCATTAAGCCGTATAATTTTAATAACCGATACCTATACCGAATAAAAATACTTATAAAATATGAAAATATCAAATACCTACCTAAAAATAGCTAGAATGTTTTTAAAATTTTACCGTTTATAAAATGCCAATGTTAGTATTTTGTGAAAACAACAGGTTTCTAAAATAATTTTTAACCGAATAACAAAAAAATACCCAAATATTGTACACTTTGCCCCATTTCCTATGTTTTTTCCTGGTTTTTCGCAATTATTAAGAAAACTATACGAAACATTAAACAATGACTTTCTTGTCAATTCTTTGAGAATCGAGTCAAAAACTAGATAACATTTTTTTTTTTGAAAATACTATATTCTTGAAATTTGGACATAGGTTACTGGTAAAAATATATAATCTTAAAAATTTAAAATAATAAAATAGTTATAAGTACTTTTCTCTGAACTTAAAAAAATTATTAAAAATCACGAATTTTATTAAAAAAAAAAATTGAAACGTCAAAATATTCAGAAGAATAAACTCTATAAAATAGTTGTCTTCAAATTTTGACAATAATAAAATAAGTTATTTTTTAAAATTTTTACAAAAAAATAACATAAAAAAATAATTGGAACATAAACATTTGTAGTCATCACCCTTTTAATATAAAAAAAAATAATTTGATTATTTTTATTATCACCAGTGATATTACAATGGGTATACCTTCTTGGAACCCCTATATAGTAAATGGCTGATGATAAACTCAATAAAAACATACAAGTTTTAAAACCCGGTAATCATAGTTCGTATAACTGCATATATACGCTAAACATAGTATATAATAATATAATAGGTTTATTTTATTTTAGCAGTATTAATGTTTACAATATTGTAATATTGCATAATATATTAGTATTGCACTGCAACGTTTATCACTAAGGATAAAAACCTTGATTGGATAGACGCTAGTCTCTAAAAAATAATTAAAGTTGCATCAAATATAAAACGAGATAATATAAAAATAATAATAATAATAATAATTTTAATAATACATAATTAAAATAAATGAAGAATATAATTATAGAATTGAAAGTAATAAATAAAAATGTATATGATAATAAAATGTATAGTATTCATACAATTATTTCACAACATTAATTCATCTTTCATCAACCATCTCTTTACTAACAACATAAAATTGCAAATTGCTGATAATTTTTTATTTCCGTAGGGAGCTTTTTATATATTCTTAATCCAGTTATTAAATAGCTATTATAAAATTTCGCGGTGTTTATTTTGGGAAAAACTGGGTTTTCGGATCTCGTGTTATAATTTATTGTGGATCGCCATCTGAGGTAAATTATTTTATGTAAGTAGTATAAAGTTTTTTTATAATATATTTTTTTTTACGGATAATATTTTCGTTTCTGAGTGTTACTACTAAGCTTAGAATTACGATATATAATTTTTAGAGATGTGCTCTGTGCTACCTGAATGCCGGATATATATATTTATGTGCAGCCTCTTCCCATACATCTATACCATATTCTATTATTGATTGTGATAAAACAAAGTATGTATTTTTTAACCTATGTAGATTTAAAAATTGTTTTGCCATATTATAATCTACGTAATTTCAAGTTTAATTCTGAAATATGATTATTCCAACGCATATGTTGGTCGAATGTAACGCCTAAGTATTTCGTATTGTTAACTCTATTTATTACAGGACATTTGTATTGTATAATGAATTTACATAATGGGTCGTGTTATTTATGTCTTTGAAGGTTATTTTAGCAAAATAATCATTAAAGTGTTCCACTATTATGGAAGGATAGGTTTCATTCGTTTACTTAATCTCATTTATTTCTATTCATAACGTTTTATTCGTAATATTAAATTGTTCCTTGGTGGCTTCTTTAATAGTTTTCCATATATGTTTCGGGTCATTATTGCATTTTTTTATTTTATCACTATAAAATTCAGATTTTGTTTTATATAAAGTGTTATTTAAATGATTTCTATATTTCATAAATATTTATTTTAGGGCTAGATTATATGGTTTTTTTTTCTGGACTATGAATGTAGTAATCTCTTTCTCTTATCTTATTTAGTATATCTTTTGAAACCTAGGGTTTTATTTGAAATATTTTGTTGAGAATCGTGTTTATTTTAGCTTTTTAGATTATTTCTTTTAATCTATTACTGTATGAATCAAGTGTATTGTCAGTAGAATTTAAATTAATTATATTTATCCATTGTTCATTTTTTAATAGTTGTTTGGAGATGTTTTTATTGAAAGATTTCTGTACTTAAAATGTTTTTACTATGCTCTTAATTGATTTTTTCACAATAGTTTTAGGAATTATTTGTATAAAGGTAGGGAAACGGTCAGAGATTGAAGATTCTAAGATTAATGCGTTGTTGACATAAAAGGTAATTATTTTAGATTCCAAGCGTAACGAGAGAGGTTTTACATTGCTGTATATATTTTTTTCTTCTTTATTCTTTGTTCTAATTTGTAGATACGTTTTTTCCTAGTAAACTTGCTAATTTTTTTAGGTAATTTTTTGATTTTCGACGCCATTTTTTAAATAAAATCACTTAAGTGAGAAAAAACGTAGGAAAACGTACAATTTCACGATTTCATTATTTTATAAAAATCACATCTTTTTGTTGCCTTTTTGATTTACTTTCTTACGGTGTCATTACCAAAACGTTTGAGCATTTCAGGAATTTTAATTTTTGGGAGTTTTTTTGCTGTAATTCGTTTATAAATACACGTAGAGACTTGAAACTTGATAACAATATTTCTATATTATACTTCTATTGGACTTACCTAGACGTGATCAAATTTCCAAAATCAAATGACTTTTTTTTTTTTAGTAAGTGTTTTTAAATTAAATTTTAAACGAAAATCGCTAAAAAAATTAGGGCACTTAAAATTTTGTACTACCGAACTGTGCTCGGAATGGTCTTTCGTCAAACAATGGTTTATCATTGCTTACAGATATAAATGAAATAACCTTGTGTATCCTATCTTCCCAACTTTTCACCTACAACAGTGGCCGCTCCTATCCCCAGTATTAGCTCATTTTTTCTATTATACCGTAAACCATTTTTATTCTAAAAAACTTGCTCTGATGTATAAGTATAGCACCTTTTCTGAAAGGAAATTTTATTTATTTGGTAAAAACATAGCTCACTTTTTGATTTGCAAAACGGTATTTAAAATAAAGCGATTAATTGGAAAAACAAATTTTTTTTTTCACGATTTCGTTATTTTAAATAAGTTACCTATACATGTGTATTATTAAAGCAAAGAATGATCGAGTTCAGAGTGAATTTTGCATATCTTTGTTTTTCATCTTTTCGTATAAGGATATCTGAATTCTCGTTTATTTATATGTATTTAAAACCCTTTTCTTTTGTTGTTTCTTTAGTAAGATTATTATTAATATATAGATGGTTTACTTTAGACCACCTCTCATTAATGTTGGAAAGATTTAGAGTTTTATAACCTTTACATTTGGCTATGATTGCCTTTTTCATACCAGGCTGTGTAAGTTTAGCTATAATTTTTTTTCACCATTTACTGTTATACGTTATAGGTACGTGATAAGTTTCTTCAAAATTAATGACTGTATTTAATATTTTTTCTTTATTAATAACTATCTATGCATTTCTCATTAGCTACAGTTGGGATGCCCACTATTTCTATAGTAGATTTAAGATTATTTTGGTCCATATCGTCTAATCGATATTTGAGATTATATAACCCTTGATTAAGCTTTTTGTTTACGCCATTAGCTTTTACATTCTCTTTACGTATTTCCTTCATTTCTTCAAGTATTTTATTGACTGTTTCATTGAAGTAATCAAATTTTTGCCCCATGAACTTTTCGGAGTTAAGAAGATATTGTATTGAGAGCTCTGCAGACTTGTTATTTATATATTTTTGTATTTTTTCAATTATATTTACAGGCAGAAAAAACCCATTTATTTCTTATGTTTTTAGATTGTATTTTAAAAGCCAACTCGGTTACTCCTTCACACATATAGTAGAAGTTTTTGTTTGCACTGGGAGCAAACAATTTCATTTACTTGAAATTATATATTGTCTGCACTTAGAATAGTTCAACATTTTTATAATTTTATTAAATGCAAATAATTAATTATTAAATTAAATTAATCTAAAGTATAAATATAGATAAGCTAACACACGATCTACTGCGACGAACGCTGATAGTAGATTCAATAATATATACAACTTTAAAGAATTGATAATTTTAAATAGGATTATAAAATTTTAAAATGAATAAAATAAATTCGTGTCATAAATACAATATACATAATATTATACTAGCATGTACGTACTGGCAATACTGTTTCATGTGCTCGTACATTTAACTTGTTCAGTTTCTGCGGCCGGAAAAATCGACCGCGCTACAAACATTATTTGTCTGTCAGCTTTGTAATATCCGCTAAAACCATTTGTCTAATTATACGGTTCATTATGGTTTAGTAGTGAGTTCCAACTATATTTAGCCATGACACGGCATAAATTATATTACATAATATTTATGTGGAATAAATGCGTTTAATTTAACGCCATAATACTTTTTGTGTTATATATGCCTATTATATTGATTGAGAAATTCGATATGTACACGAAATTTAAAAACCGTAAATCAATAATTTGCTGTATTCACGACGAATATGTCCCAAATATCTTAAATATATTATAAAATTAAAAACCAATAATCATTTTACAGCTCGGTCTGTCTCGAGACCCTTGACTATAGACTAAGAGTCTAGATTAAATATTTATTATTATTATTATTATTATTAGTACTCAAATTTCAGTATTTCACCTATAAGAGGTCATCATCAATGGTGAATTAGGTCATTAAAATTGCTATTATTTTGTTGTAATTGTACTTAAATGTATCTACAGATGGCCTGTAAATATTATTATTATTATAATTCAGAAACCCTAGCATTTTATTAATTTTACAAAAAATAAAATATTAACTTAAAAATGTTTAAAATTGAAGCCCGTTGAAAGTTTTTCACGACATTGTTTTTTTAAATTACGCAGAAATAGATTATAGTATAATATTATAATCAATGTTACACTCCTTACAAAATATCTATAGCCCTTGTCACCTTTAAAATAATATTAACATAAAGAAAACATTAAAAATATTAGATTCAATTTTGATGACCAATGTATTGAGAAAATAAATGCTGAGGAAACCAATATTCAATACTTACATTTTTTTAGTCAATGCAATAGGTAAAAATATGGACTACCTAAGTTTGGGAGCCATTTTATTAACCCCGCTTTTTTGTTGTATACTCATTATGTCTCTTAAACGTTTTATTTTAATTTGAGACTTCGGAGGTATTTAGGATGATTTAGTATAATGCGTTCTTATTTTCATTATTTGTTTTATTTTGAGAAACAGAACAACAATATCAAGAGAAATAGACACACAAATACACAATGAAAACTCAAGTTATGTAGTCTTGATTATGCAATGTATATTTTTAAAAGAGGACGGTGGAATTTACATGCATAGTAATATATTAGGGTTCTTTCTGTACAAATCAGTTAAATATTAAATCTATTTTTTTTCGGAAGTTTGGATATCCGAAATGAATTACCACTGAATTATATTGTGAACGAAAGTTATATACTTATTAAACTTATAATACATTTTTGTGAAATATTATTAGCATGGTAAGAAAATGAAAAGAATAATAAAAAAAGAGCTGATACTGGGGATGGGAGCAGCTACTGTTGTAGGTGAGAATTTGGGAAGATAGGATACACAAGATTATTTCATTTGTATCTGTAAGAAATGATAGACCATTGAAAGACGATTTCGAGCGCAGTTCGGTAACATATAATTTTTAGTGCCCTAATTTTTTTAGCGATTTTCATTTAAAATGTAAAAACACCTATTAAAAAAAAAAAGTCATCCGATGATTTTGGAAATTTTATCACGTATAGGTAGGTTAAATATAAGTATAATATACCGTAAGAAAGTAAATCAAAAAGGCAACAAAATAGGTATTCTGTGATTTTTCGATTAAATCATTTTTTCTGGTAGAAAACGTCGTTCATGTTTTATAAAATAATGAAATTGTGAAATTTTACGGAGAAAGATTACTAGGAAGAATCGTGGACACTAAAAGAAAATAAAACAAAAATAAACATCATTGTAAAACCAATAGCTCCCTTGCTATGCTCAGAATCTAAAATTAGTCCATTTCAGGTCTTTTGTATATTATCGTAGATAATGTCGATAATATGTTCTTAGTAGTAATAGTAGGCTACTGTTGTAGGAGGAAGTTGGGAATGTAAAACGTGTAGATTAATTTAGTTTACTGTGTGTGAAGATAAAACATTGCAAACAATTGCAAACAGACAACTATTCTGAGCAAAATTCAGTTAAATACGTTTTAATAAATTAAAATTAAAATTTTTATTAATTTGTAATTACAAAATAAATTTCAATAAAGATTTGAACTTAAAATGGCGTGGGATAATACAAATTTCTACATTTTTATCCACATCGACTATTTGTTAAGAGGATCCGGTATTAGTGATACCACCAGTATTTAAGGACTTGCCCAATTTTCGTTAAATTCATCTAATTCAGTATATATATAAAGTAATAATAACATAAATAAAAGTTATTAGGCTAGTGAAACCGTTTAAAGTGATCACACGATTTTAAGAACGGTAAAAGAATAACATTTACATGTACCGAGCTCAAATCTCTAATAATAATATGTAAAACCAAAACATCTTTCACTTAGAGTTTAAAAACTAAAGACATTATTTTGTTCAATACATTAAAATGCTATTTTGGTAAAGTATTTTTCGGTAAATAGCTTTTGTTGTAACTAACTCCAGGTTACATTACTGCCAAAACGTTTTGTTTACCGTAAAATATTTTACCAATGGATAACCAGTAACTAACCGTACAGTAGTTTGATGATTGTCGATTCGGGCAACCCGGTTTTTGCAAATTGTGAAGATACGGTTATCGAATAGTATTGCGATAAACAATAACGCCAAAACAGTTTGTTCGCTAAACTAGTAACCTGTAGATTTCTCAAACTACATTATTAAAATACGCCTATGGTTCGTTTATTACATTTGATCGGTAACAAATGATAGCAGCCATGTTCCTTATCAACTGATAATCGAGTAAAGTAGTATACACGTATTTTGTCAGACTCCAGTCGGACAGGAGTCTCATGGATGTCCGGGGCGGCGCGACGTGGGGGATGTAGTTTTAGCCAATTCAACTGCCTAAACGCGTGTACCGTAGCAATGGACAATACGTATTAAAAATGCACGATGAGGGGTAGTACTTTATATTTATAAGGGGTTTAGGGGCTCATTAACGATTTCACTGGCACCACAATTCACAGGTGCATCTAATGGGGTAGACTAAGGGTCCAGACTTTTGGATCATTTCAATTTAAACAAAAATGTTGGTTTGAATTTTTTGTTTGTCGTTAATACATTTTACTAACGACAAACAAAAAAAGGCTTTGAAATTATATTTTAATTATGGTTTCAAAGTTTTAAAACATACATGAAAAAATAAATACAAACTCGAAAAACAGATTAAATGGATTAGCTCTACACAACATACACATAGATGACGTATCCAGTATTGGTTACGGTTATGAAGTTGCTATAGATGTATTTGCATTGGAAAATCGGAGGTCAGATTGCTCACTATGAACATTGCATATTATAATAAGTATCGAAAGCAAATTGAACATTTTATAAAAATAATATATAAATTATATAGTATTTAAATCTTTAACACGCTCTTTATTTTTGGTCGAGATCGGTGTTTTAGAAATATTTAGCATTACGAACATTGAATCGTTAATAATCTAGGTATATACTACTCAAAAATGTGTATTTCTCCCCCTCCCTTCTCTTTGATAAATCCTGATTGTGCCATCGCTGTGATTACCAACGTCCGGCAATCGCGTACACTACGATGATATTACTACTTTAATATTGGTTACACTGAATTGGCGAAAGGCTATACAGCAAACACTGCGCACGATAAATTCATAATATTATTGTCGCCTATTTATAATATGGACTAACAGGTTGCGATTTTGTTTCAGGCGTTCAAGAAAAAATTGGTCCGCGTTAAACGGTCCGAACGGCATTTGTGGCGGCGTGCCTTTGACGGTGGCGGCAGTACGAAACACAACAACAATAACAATAATAATTACAGTTATTACGACAACGAAGCAGTCGATAACATGATCAACGAGTTCATCGACGGCCGAAAAACAACCGTGGCGTTCGGCAGCCATTAGCGGACAAAGAAAAAAGCGCGAACGCTGATAACCGCGAGCGGTTTACACCGCGCTTACCTATTGTACTGTACATACTCTTAGTCGATAACGTCATTATAATATTATGTATTTTTATATTATAACATAATAATAATAATAGTTAGAATATATTTTGTTCACGTATATGGAACGTGTACGAGGTTTTCGAGTTGTCAAACAGTGGTGTACCGATCGGAGTTTTTTTCGAAAGCGCTGTAAAATCGACGGCAAAAATAAATACTTATGTTCACGCACATTCAAAGTGTTATAATATTCATTAATGTGTTTAATGATGTTTGTTTGGTTTTTCTCGAACTGATATGAAACTGGGGAAAAATTCAACAAATATTCGTCGGTTCCGTACAGTCATCGCCACGTCCTATAATATTCTCGGACCCGGCGGACCGGCGTGTACGACAATATCACTCGAAAATGTACGACCGCTGCGACCGCGGACCGCCAGAAAACGCGTGTCGTGTTAGACATGGACGGTATCGTCAACACAATGATGGTTTATCGTCGCGGAGCCACAAAAATAACAACCATGATTATTGTCTCACTTACCTACTCAGCGAAGTCTTGCCGCAGTGCTGCCGGTTCACGACGAACACGTTATTTTTTATCGGCCGCTGTTGCCCCGGCGGCGGTCATAGTACGCAAAAAAAAAAAAAAAACACACACACACGTCGACGCGGTTTTTCGGAAACTCGTCGACGAAAAACTACGGTAACAAACTGCAATTTAGCACTTGGCACACGGGGTAGTGCGGCGCGACTGCCGTGGCGGTCGCGGCGTCGTCGTCGTCGTCGTCGGTCGATAATCTAATAAGTTTTTCCGTGGGCGACCGACTGCCGCCCGGCATGCGCCGTGACGGCCGGCAAACAAACGCGCATGTAGGTACCCCGCGTCCGGCGGCATCAAACGTATAAATTATTTATCTGCCGCTCTGCCGGCGAACTGTTGTATGTTCGATAAAACGAGTGTGCGAACCGACGAGATAATAATAATATCATTGTCGATACGTAATAATTAATATTATAAGCTTCGCCGATGACCGTGGGCCGTCCGTAATCAGTCATAGACGCCGGCAACTGGACGCTGGGAACTGGTAATGTGTAAACGTTTCGCGATGTCGGTCGCCACCCGAGAAGCCGGCGAGCCACTAACGCACAAATGCTAGATGGCAGCGCCGGTAGATCAGATATTTTTGTTCTACAATACTGGCGCGTTGACTTTCCTTTTTCACATTACTATCGCAATGCAATAACAATAATTGAAGTAAACAAAAATAGACTGTTTACACATGCTCCAGTAGCTGACATTGTGTAAACGATAAAATGCCAGCAAGCTGGAATCCCAGTCGCCACATGACAGAAATCTTTCAGACGACTTACTGGCTGGCATGCCAGATGTAGCTAGTAACGTGTAAATCAGCCTGTAGGTAAGGTTTTGAATTAAACTGTGCAGTTAGTGCACGCGACCACAAGCTATTATGAAACACGAAATACATTCAAGGCGAACAATGGATGGGGTTCGAGACAAATCCTATTAGTTAAACGAATTGACTATTGATCGATTTATTTATTTGACTTGTGCGTGGTTATCTAACTCGTGCCATGGCGCCGCGTCAGTCGTAAAAAAAAAAAAATATTTTACTCGTAATAAATTATTTCGATTTCATGTGCGTGTCTCGTTCGGTATGCCACCTATTTTTAAGCAGTCAAATATTTTTGAAGGTGCTTTAATTACTTTACCATATACGTGTAAACACAACATTTTAATTGGTTGTAGACTTTTTTGGGAAAACAAATTAGATTTCCGAATTTTTAAAATTACAAATTATAATACCATTTCGTTTACCTTTAAAATAATCTAACTATTCCTGACATGTCAAAACCGATTATGTTTATTATATTTTGATTTTTATTGAGTTTATTTATTTTTAATTCATTGCCTTATAATCGTGTTTTTCGAATTTGTTACAAATAATTTATAATATTTATTTTATTAACATTACCTAATATTTAATTTCTGGTGTAAATTAAATCTATCTATATTGAAATAAATCGATTGAATTGACGATAATTTGTATTTTATTTTAGATTCTGAGTGCAGCGATGAATGTATTGGTTTTTCTAAGATGTTTATTTTTTTTAAATTTTTTTATATTACGTACAAAAATTCAACCATAAATCTTGCTTGGGGTTTTACGCGTGGCACCATTTCTGAAGGGGAATATTGTCCAGATGGTACTTTTGAGAGGTCACTTTTTGATTTTCCATGCGGTTTTCATTTATCTGGGAAAAAACGTAAGAAAAACGGGAATGTACGAAATTTATGCCTTTTTTATTTTGTCAATTCTGATATTTGTTGTGATTCAGTTCAAAATATTCGTAGAGATTTGAAATTCAGTCAGGAAATTTGTATTTATTTTTTCTACACGAGGTAAAATTTTCAAAAAATTTAAGCCATATTTGGGGTATTTAGAGACATTTTAATTTTAAGAGTTTTGTACGTAATATTTATTGTTGAAAAATTGTTAGACTTGAATAGAAATGCTTCAACATTTTACAAGAGGTTAATTTAAAGTCTTAATTTGTGGTAAAAAAAAAAAATAGGTTTAATGAAGTAACTTTTTTTTTTTTAGGGAATTTCAATATCAAATTTTGAGGAAAAAATTATATAGAAAAAATCTACTTTTTCAATTTTTTTTCGAACATACGTTTATTGCCTATATAAGAACGATGGTTAAGCCAAAACTAAGCCGACTAAGTTTTGAAATTATAGCTTTTTGAAGTTCTTGAATTATGCAGATATTATATGTTATGTTAAATAACTCTATATTCTCCTTCTTTAAGTATATTTGTCGTGATCTAATCGTTATTTATGCCTATTATGATCCTAGGGGTTTTTTAGTACAAATCAATATTATATTTTTTTCCTTTTTACCTAAATAAGGAAAAAAAAAATATACATATTGGATGGACCTAAGCTATCGCTTTCTTAGACTATTACCCCTCGATTTGTTATGCACACTTTTCTACCAGAAATCTTGCTCTGTTGTATCTATGTTTTCTAGTTTGTGGACACGTTTATTCTACTAAACTTGCTCTGATATTGAAGTATAGCACATTTTTTGAAAGCTCAAGTTGTTTTGATTGTACATTAAAGAGGTCATTTTGATTTTCTTCACCTTTTTTAAATTGAAGCACTTAAGTGGAAAAAGTACAATTTCATTATTTTATAAAACACGGACAATGTTTTCTACCAGAAAAATGATTTAATCGAAAAATCACAAAGTATCTTTTTTTTTACCTTTTTGATATACTTTCTTAAAAAATCATCGCCAAAACTTTTGAGCTTTTAGAGTGTTTTTTTTGCTGTAATTTGGCTATAAATACACGTAGAGACTTGAAATTCGGTAATTATACTTATATTGGACTTACCTAGATGTGGACAAATTTCCAAAATAATCGGACGACTCTTTTTTTTTTTTTAATAAGCTTTTTGAAATCAAATTTAATCAAAAATCGCAAAAATTATATATTACCGAACTGTGCTTGGAATGGTCTTTCATCAAGCAATGGTTTATCTTTGCTTACAGATATAAATGAAATAAACTTATGTATCCTTCTTTCTCAATTTCTCACCTACAATAGGGGCCACTTTCATCCCCAGTATCAGTAGTATTTTGTTTTTTTAATGGATTTTTAATATTAAATTTTGATGAAAATGGTCTGAGTAAAAAATTATGTGGAAAAAATCTAATTTTTCAATTTTTTTTTTTTTTGAAAATATATATATATATATATATATTGCCAATTTAAAAACAATGGTGAAGTCAGAATTAAATGGACTTATTAAGTTTTGAAATTATAGATTTTTGAAGTTTTGATATTATGTAGATATTATATGATATGTTAAATAATTTTCGTTATAAAAAATAAAAACCAAATTTTCGTGTTTTAATAATCTTTGTCAGTTTATTCCTATATTGTTTGTAATTTATCAATTAGAACAATGTTGAAAGGTTGCTGCTTAGTTAACATATGTATGTAATTTATCCCTTTTTTATAGAGACAATAACACCTGGTGTTATCTATTGATTACGTTATATTTTGTTCTTATACCTATAAGTGGTACAGAGTTTTATTTGTTTAGCATTGTTTTTGTAAGTAGAATTATTTTTATTTGTACATACTTATTTGTTTTTATTTCATTCCAATCTATTTTATTTAATAAAAATAATAATTTATTATAATCGACATATTCATATGTGTTGCTAATTGGGTTTTTGTTTTGTTGTGAGATATGACGATTTAGTTGTAGAAATAGTGGATAGTGGGCAGTGATTAGGAAATCTACAACTGAAGTGTATAAGACGACATGTTGCTGATTATGATCTTTAATACAAATGTGGTCTATACATAAGTTTGATTTCGGTCTGGTGGGTCGATTTATAAGTTGAGTGAAACCATAAGTATTTAAGAAATCTAGATAAAGTGCTATTGAATTAGATGTGTCTAATATATTAATGTTTATATCTTTGATTATAATTAACATGATGTTTTTATGTAAGTCTATTATATTTTTTATTACTATATCTAGATCCTCAATAAATTTAATTATATTTCCACTTGGCGATCTGTATATTGATAAGATTCAAAAATTTAAATTATGATTTTGCATTATAGTTAGGATGGAATTAGCATTTAAAATGTTATATTCTATATTGATTTGTTCGATGCCGCTTTGGTTATCCATACAAATTTGTAATTTTTTTATCTGACAGTTGATCTTGTTTGTGCGAAGAGGATCCGTTTGATTTTAATGAGATGTTTGTTAATGTATATTTTGTATTTGGGCCAATATTTTACTAATATATTGGTATTTAGTTTACTGATTTTTGAGTAACACATAAGTTTACTTCTAATATCTTTATTTTCCAGCTTATTAATAATTATACTAAGTTTAGATTTCTCTAAATTTCTTCTGGCTTCAGAAACAATTAATTCTACATTTACGTTTTTACCAATTTTCTTTATTATGTCTGAACAATTTTCGTGCTTGGTATTCGGTATACCAGTTATTTCAATACTTGTACGCAGGTTAAGTTGATCGATTTTTTCTTACTTATATTTTATTTCATTGATTTCATTACTAAATCTTGAGTTTTCTAGTTTAATTTGTTCATTCTCTTCCTTAATAGATTTTATTTCTTAGATTATTGATTCTAGTTTTGTTTTGAATGCATCAAATTTTTTGGCAAGTAGAATGTGAAATACGTGTTTTTGTATTATTGGTAATTCTCTTAAGTTTGCTTCAGTGATGCCACTACAATAGTAGTGTGTTTCCTTGCAATAGGCACTACATTGAATAACTTCCCTTAAATCGGAAAGTTGTGCATGGCATTTTTACACTCTGTAGACATAGTTTTGTGATGTTATAAGAAAAAAAAAAACAATATCAAAAGACGTATGTGAAGATAATATAGGTGATAACTTATGTAGATAATAGAGGACGCATACGTTGATTACGTCCGGTCAGTGCGATGAACTGATAAAAACTGAGAAGAATCAGAAGTAGTAAGAATTGTAATGAAAATAGTCGTAGGTGGAAATAAGGGGAGAGGTAGACGTAATGCGATTGAGAATGATAATGACGGGTGTATGCGAGACGATGTGGTGGATCGGGTCTAGTGGAAGTTTAGGACAAGGGAAGTCGATCCAAAATAATTGAGATTAAAGCGAAGGAAAATAAAAATAAAAAGACAGACAGATATTCAGGAATGGAAATGAAAAGGACAACATAGGAGACTATCCATAAAAACTAACTGGTTATGTTGTGTACGAGGATAATTTTTTCTATTTTAAGGCCGAGAAACGTTTTAGAGGATATTGTTGGAACTAGACACATCACTGTATCGCTGTTTTTTTTTTTTACAACTGAATGGTTTTATTAAAAGAAACTTAAAAAAATATTGCGATATATTGTATTATGTTTACAACTGTGTACATTATATTCATTTAATTGCAAATTTGTAACAGATTAACATAATTAAAAATTTTGTATTATCAAACGCATATTTATGTTATCAAATTTATTAGATACATGATATTAAGTATGTAATATTATAATAATACATACTTATTGATAATAAAATTATAATATTATGAAAAGAAGTATCAATAATATTATAGTAAACCTTAATAATAAATTAATAAATAAAATTCGAATGCAAAACAGTAAATATTATGTTACCCTACGATGTTCAAACTGGTTCATTAAGTTTTTGTTTTCAGACTTTAATACTGTAATACTGCAGTAATGAAATTAAAACATTGGGTCTTACGTGGCACTAGAATAAAAAAAAAAAATAAATTTAATATTACAGTAATTGCTAATTGTATAAAAATAATTTCAGCTAAAATGTATTTCATATTTCACAGCAATACATAAAATAATAATTACTATAAATATCAGATAACAAATTAGCCATTCGTTTTGCGTGTGTTTCTCTATCACGGACATAAAAATAACTCTTTCAAAAATAAAATGTATATTTCAATAATTGAGCTTGATAAATTGAATTAATTAAATAGATAATAATTAAGCCAATTTTCACTGTGCTAGAGGATTGCAATACTCTCACGTGGAGGGTCTAAAGCTTACTGTGACCCTTCCTATATACGCCACTGTAAACTAATGTTAAAATTATTAGGGTTATGATAATATTATTTAAACAGCACAACAATTTTATCTAAACAGATTAACTAAAATATCAACAAAAAGGATAGAATAGTGTGTATTGTTGTGTGTGTTTACTAGAGGTTTCAGATTTAAAACATTATCAGTAGCCAGTAGTTACAGAAAAAACGAAGACATTAATTTGTATATTAATTCGTTTGTGTTTGTGTCTAGACCTCTAAAACCTTTTGTTTTTTAAAATAATCTGATTAAAGTACATACTTGATTTATATAACTCGATTTACAATACGTTTGTTGCCTATGGATTACTCTGTATTATAACAGGTCTTAATTAATAAGTATATATTCTTTTTTCTAATTTATAGTTCATATATTTTTATGTTTATATGTAAATATGTAAAACGGCACGTAAAGTATTGGACAATAACTTATTAAATTATAAGCTTTCTAATAAATACAAAATGTATACATAGAAATATAAAATAAATAAAATGATTGAATGCGTCACCTGGAGTATTATATGTAAATTGTACGACCGCTTCTGAATAAAAATTCATCATCAGGCAGGCACGTACACAAAAAAAAAATTCGGGGAGGGCATTCATAAAAAATATACAATAACAATTAATACCAATATTGATACTATAAATAGTGTCAATTTTATCAATATTTATAAATAAATATTAAACGCATATAAATAAATTACGCAAATATTAATTTTAAATTCTCCCCCCACGTATACGTGCCAATCATCAGGTGTATCACAGTCAAAATGCTGAACGCAACTGAATATAACAAATTAAATGAAGGAATATATAAAAAAAAATTATACAAAAAGGTCGTTGAAAACGAAAGGTTCGTTAGAAAAGTTGTAAACAGAAAAAAGAAGGGCAATAATATTTTTCCACTAATATCTACATTAAGGGCAAGCTAAACGATAGATAAATTCAGAATACTGTGTGATGCAATCTTTATTTCGATTTATTTTTCATTCGTATATCTTTTTACCAATATTACCCTATTTAATAATTTTCCTTTTATTTAACTGTTTTATAATTCCCAATAAATTCTATATGAAATAATTAAATTAGGAATTACTTGATGGCCTTTGTTGTTCACTGGCTAGAGTAAAAAAAAAAAGAAAACAGTAATATTAAATATAGGTGACATAACAATAATGTATTGTATAATCCGACAAAATAAAAAATACCTAAATATTACAGAAAAACGTTCAATATCGTGTTTAAATATCTAAATATTGTATCATATTAACAATACTATTATTATTTTATTGTAAATTATATTTTTTCAGTTATATATTCATTTATACGCGATCCTAAGACCACGACGAAGCTTTTCTACACAGACTTATTGAATGACCAGTGAAAAGTGTTTTGGGCGTATTNTCACACTCAGAGTCAAGTTTATGTTGAAAGAGTTATTTCCCATAGTTGTATAAGTTTTTTTATTTCAGTTGAAATATATTATAACAAGTGAAGGTGGCGTGAAAGTGCTCGCAAATGAACGTGGTAAGACTCGTCTGAAAAGAGTTACTCGGCGACCAGTACAGATGCCCTAGGAACCTCCCCCCCCCTCCTGCTATTTATGTATAGTACTCGCTTTTAGGCAACATCATGATATTGCCAGTAGGGCGATAACCTCGTACGTCGGCTCCTGCATCCAGGTCTCGCGAGAATACGCCCATAGGTATCTTATTACACAGATTAATTCTATTCTGCCGAAATAGATTGATCGCGGTCGTTTGCATTGCGACAGGGGTTTTTTTTTTTACATTTTTCGAGCGCTTTCCTGCAATATTCGAAATTGCCTCGGCGTTAGGCGGATTTATAGATACGGCTTGATCGGTAATACGTAGATTTTACATGTGAGATAATTATACCTGTCTAATTTGACTCTGGGTATATATCACCCGAGTAGCACTGTACTATAGGCCTATACCCTATACTACATAACGTTATACATGTTGGGAAACCGAGCCGTCGCCCGTAACATAAGGTTACTTTTTATATAAATAATAAATCATATATTGTTCATAAATCTGTACAATATATGGACAAATTATATGATTCAGAAATACAATAGTATACAACATTCTCAATCGTCGTACGATGAGTTGGAACTTCTTTTGATAATAATATAATTACATCATATGTCATTGAATGCCACGAGCAGAAAATTCAAGTCGACGTAATCTTCACAGATTTTAGAAAATAATTTGATACGTTTGATTGTGAACTTATAATTAGAGAACTACTGGCACTTGGCGGGAATCACCTCCTTACTTGGTTAAGCTCGTATCTAATCAACAGGAAGCCATTTGGTCGGGTTCTTGACTCTTTTTCTGAATTGGAAGTTGTACCGTCGGTTGTCCTTCATACAAGTATCCCTTTTTCGTTTTACATGGATATAAATTAAATAACATTATGTATCCATATCTTCCCGACTTTCCACTAACAAAAGTGACACACCCATCCCACTATCGTCTTTTTATTTAAAATTTTTTTCTCGTCATCCATTAAATACTTATAATTAATCATACTTAACAATCACAAAGTAATCTTTTAACATACAGAATGTCGTACAGTGTTATATGAACGTTGTGTAACTTATATTTTTTTTTCAATCGTGTTTCACTTTTTAACATTTTCAAAATAGCCATTTTAGATCCGAGCGAAGCTTAAAACACAAGGTTGTCTATTATTCATGTCAATGTTCTATTAGGGTTTTCTCCGCGCATTTTTGCTCCACTTATGAAAGATAGCACCATTTTAGAAAGAAAATCGGAATGGGGATTGTACTTTAGAAGGGTCTTTTTTTGATTTTCCTAGAAAATCTTCCATAAACGGGAAAAACTGAACCGTAACAGAATCCGAACAGGATTAACAACTTAATCGTATTCAATTTACTGAATCTAAGAATAATACTGAACATTCGGAAACTGATAATGTACATTTCTTCAAGATGCTCAGCGAAATGGATAAAACAAATTACTTAAATCAATTTCTCTCGTCTCGGTCAACCGAATTCAACTACTTCAGATAAACAACGACCGGTGAAAATTGTATTATCTAATGCTACAGAAGTATTTGAAACACTCCGTTCTCAATCCATATTACGTACTACTTTACAACGGACCGATAGTGAACAATGAATTAAACATTTTTTTGAATAAATCCCGAATGGATCGTAACATCTACTATTAAAAAATGGAACATTTTAACATAAATTGAGTGTATGGTTGATAACCGACCAGGATCGGTCTATTGATAACTGGGCGATTATAAATTATCTTTTGCTAACTTTCCCTACAATGAATCGCATTTTAATGATAAAACATATTATTTAAATGTGTCATATAAATACAATCATACATCTAATATAAAATCCGTAATCCTTGATTATGTAATTTTTGATTGTTTATCCGTGTATGTTAAACGAAATACCTTTTCCAGTGTGCCTGTAGATGATTTTCACGTCCCACTATCTATAACTTACAATTGCTTAATTTCTGTAGATTAACAATTCAACGAATATGTCTCGAATTGGAATTCTGGTGATTACAGAATCATTATAAGCTACTTAGATAATATTAACTGGTTCAATACAATGAATTCTAACTGTTATAATATTAATAATGATTTCGATAAAGATACCCATATTAATTGTGTTATAAATCGATTTATACCGAAAGTTTGCAGACCTAGTACATCCAATCCTATTTGGTTTAGTAAAGAACTAAAAATATGAATATAACGCAAACAAAATTCTTATCATATTTAAAAAAAATGTAAAAACGCCTGAATCATACGTACGTTTTTCTAATACTCGAAGTCATTGTAGAACGATTAGACATCGTGATTATAAAAGTTTTATTAATTGCACAAAAAACTCAGTCAAAATTAGTCCTAACAATATATGGAATATCCTAACTTCCTAACTCTCACAACATTAGCGGCTGCACCTATCCCCATTATCCCAGGATACCTTTTTTCGTTATTAATGGTTAATCGTTGCTTACCTTCATATCCGATAAATAATTTCTGAGTAATAGCCGTTTTAATTTTTAAAAAATTGGCGGGATAATAATAAACTGTCAATAAAAGATAAGGAATTACCGTGCTGATTATGAATTCTTATCGAGCAACGCGTGATATCCTATTGAAAATAAATTATTGGTGAAAACAATAATTAATTAGCTATTGATACTAATAATTGGTCGGATTTGAATGTATTGAAATAATCAGAAGAATATTATTTACAAGGTAGCTATTTTGAAACTTTTGAATAGTGAAAAAAAGTCGTTATTTTCAGTCTTGAAGGAATGAAAACATTTTATTTTCTTTATAAATGTATCCTACTGATCTGGAACGCAATTGAAAAAAAGTAAATTGAAAAATTGAAAATGGTAAGTTATAACACGTGCAATGTACGTATGACACTGTAAGACACCCTATAGTGTTGATATTGAATTCTAAATCAAATATTGGCTTACGGTCAAAGAAAGCTAGAATAAAAATTAAAACAGGACAATTATTATATTTTGGTGGTAATTAGACAAAAATTATCGTAACCATTTGGATAAAACGTATTCAAAATATCATGATTAAAGTTCGGTAACAGTTATTTTGATAAATTAAAATTTTTTACAGTGCATAAAATTATAATTGTTAAACAAAACACAGATTTCGTGGTACTATCGAGAGTTAAAACGATGAGAAATATAGGATATTAAAAACATAACTTACCTAATAAATTTCTTGTTTCAACTATTGTAAAAAAAAAAAAAAAAAAAAAAAAAAAAAAAAAAGAAAGGAAAATAATAAAACGTATTATCATTTAAGTTTTAATGATATAATATGTTGGTGCGAATAGTGCCTAAAAGTTCTATTTTAAGTTCTCCCCACGTGCGGCATTTTGACCCAGTTGCCTTTTTCTAAAAGTGACTATCAACAAAATTCTATAGGTTGATTGAAATTTTATGTACGTATTTTAGTAAAACATCATACAAAATGTATATTATATAATGTTACATTATAATTCTAATGTGATGATGGCAGGGTGTCGCTCCATTCGGATCGTTCCTTCTTCATGATCCGGTTCTCGCACTCGGTCGTCGTCGGTGCAAAATTGTTGGGTACGCACAATTTTGTATTTTTAGGGTTTGGTTCGGGATGAAATTTATTGTCATATCAACAATGATTGAAATTGTAACACGGTATCGAATTGGCCAGTAACGTATCGTATACGTTTTCTAATAACGACAACATACAAAATTTAGAATATAACATACGTGGTTCTTCCTGACCTTCAAGAGAAAAAAAAATACAAGTATATTAATAATGTGTTTCATTATCGTGTTATAAATATCTCAATAATTTTTCATGATAAAAATATCATTGACTTTTCTGTGTAAATTATGTTCTATTAGTATATAATAAAGACATGTAAACGTAGTTAAATGGGGACGAGTGCAGCCACTGTTATAGGTAATCTAATTTATACTTGTAAGAAACGATAATCTATAGCTTCTATATTTATTTAAGAATATTCACCATTTGAATAATTTCAGTTTTACTTGGTAAATTTATTACTTCTAATAAAGTCTATATGAAATATTTAAAATATGAATTACTTGGTGGCATTTGCCGTTCACTGGCTAGAGTAAAAAAAAAAAAAAAGAAAACAGCAATATTAATTATAGGTAACATAACAATAATGTATTGTATAATCCGACAGAATAAAAAAGACCTAAATATTATAGAAAAAACGTTCAATATCGTGTTATAAATATCTAAATATTGTAATATATTAACAATACCATTATTATTTTATTGTAAATTATATTTTTTCAGTTATACATTCATTTATACGCGATCCTAAGACCACGACGAAGCTTTTCTACACAGACTTATTGAATGACCAGTGAAAAGTGTTTTGGGCGTATTTTCACACTCAGAGTCAAGTTCATGTTAAAAAGGGGAATCACAAAAATTGTATAAGTTTATATATTTTAGTTGAAATATAGTATAACACTTTTAATTCAATCACAATTTTATCTGGCGTGAAGGTGCTTGCAGATGACAGTGGCGAGACTCGTCTGAAAGACGTACTCGACGACCGGTACACATGCCCTGGACCCCTAGCTAGATATGCAAAGTACTCGCTTTTAGTCAACAACATGATATTGCTAATCAGGCGATAACCTCGTACGTTACGTCGTCCCCTGGATACATGTTTTGCGAGAATACGCGCATAGATGTATTATTAAACGGAGTAGTTTATAATATGATCATATATTTTTATTTATTGTGCTAAAATAGATTTTTCGCTGTCGTAAGCACTGCAACGCGGTTTTGTTTTATATTTTAATCGAGTGCTATCCGGCAATACTCAAGAGTGTCTCAATGATGGCAGATTTATATATCCGGCGTGGTCGGTGTTATGTAGTTTTAAAATGTAAATTAATAATACCTGTTTACTTTGACTCGGGGTATAAATAACCCAGTTATAACTGTACTACAGGCACTGACCCCATGTTATAAAATATTAAATATGTTGGGAAAGCGAGCCGTACATATTAGGAATTATTGAAATTGTAATACGGTATCGAATCGGCCAGTAACGTATCGTATAGGCTTTTTATAACGACTACATACAAAATTTAGAATATAACATACGCGGTTCTTCCTGACCTTCAAAAGAAAGAAAAAATACAGAAATATAAATAATGTGTTTCATGAACGTTCATTATCTTGTTATAAATATCTCAATATATTGTCATGATAAAAATATCATTAACTTTTCTGGGTAAATTATGCTCCATAATAATAGTATTAGTATATAATAAAGACGTGCTAGTTTGATGGGGACGAGTACAACCACCGTTATAGGTAACATAATGTATAATTGTAAGAAACGATATTCTATTGCTTACGAAAAAACGATTCTGAGTGAAGTTCAGTTGATAGTGAAGCTTCGACACCAATTTATATGTCGTATCATGGAAAATAATTAAGTAGGGATTAAATATTTTCTTTGATAATATTTATTTCATATTGTATTGATTTCCCCGTTTTCCCTGCATTTTCACGGTTGTCCGTGTTTTTTCCGGAATGTCAAATTTGTTATAAAATCGAAAAATGACTTTTTTAAAGTATTTTCCCAGTCATATTTACTTGCCGAAATAGTGGCATCATTGAAAATCTGAGCATAATTGGTGGTAGAAAAGTTGTAAATAGAAAAAACGTAGTTAAATGGCTAGAGTAAAAAAAGAAAAACAAAACAGTAATATTAATTATAGGTAACATAACAATAATGTGTTGTATAATCCGATAGAATAAAAAATACATTAATATTACAGAAAAACGTTCATGATTGTGTTATAAATATTGTGATATGTGTTGTACTACAGGCCTATTCTTTATATAATATTATATAAGTTGGGAAATCCCGTAACATTAAATTACTTTTTATAAAAATGATAAATTATTATCAACTTTTCTACCACACTACTTGTTCAGATTTCTATGTTTAGCACCTTTTCTAAAAGGAAATTTTTGTGGAGAGGTACCTGATGTAGGGCATTTTTTGATTTTCTCTGTAGTTTTCTCGTCTAATTTAGAAACCGATAAAAAACCGTAAAATATCAGAGAATATATTACTAAAATATTTCTTCTTTTCCTATTTACAACTATTCTGCCTAGAATGTTTGTCCAACTTTTAATGAATGCAATGTTTCTGAAAGAAAATTTTACTAGGGAGGTACTTTAGACTGGGGAAAACATGGGAAAATTGGGAATCGGTGCATCATTAAACAAATATGATTTAAGAAAATATATAAAGCCTATTTAATTATTTTACTATAAAATGACATGCTGATATCCTTTAAATTATCTATGACATTAGTTGTATTCTTCCCCGTTATCGTAGAACCTAATTTTAGTAATCATAGTGATACGTTTGGTTTCAAATTGACGTTTTACTTTATTTGACATTATACTATCGGCAGCTATTACTTTAAAATAAATAACATGTTTGGGACTATTGTCATTGTCTATTTTAATGAAAGTTTAACCAAAATAACTATCATTGTATTTTTATAACTTATATATATTTTTTTAATATTTTAATATTTTTTTATGGATATTTTTATTTGGATGCTTGAATGTAAAATTGAGAAATTTTCAAACAAATAAGTAAATATAACAAATGATTAATTATAAAACACAAGTTAATTATAAACACATCTCACGTACGGCTAATTCGTGACTACGACTACAATTGCTATTGTTGATCGGTTTATTTATATATATATATTTGTATTCATATGCGCTCACAGTGAAGTACTAATGGTTGCTTAGCATCCCCAGGTTTCTTATTGACACGCCCAATTTCTCTTTAAAATGTTTATCGCGCATCCTCTGCTAAGTACATATTCCGATGTATAGTATTTAGATATAAAATTATTTCACAAAAACCTTACGAACAGCTAAATTTAACTTTTATAAAACAAAATATTAAGATGTTTCTTTCAGCCAAAAATTCACGTAGAGAGCCATGCGAGGTATTCAATAAAAAAATCAAACTGTAAATGATGAAATTAAACTAATTATAATACCTTATGACCTAATTAGTGTAATAAGAAATCTCTTAAAATTTTTGAAATATTTAACATTTAAGTCTTTTGATTTGTTAAATATCAAAATAACACAATCAGATGTTCTTATAATAATGAACAAACTAAAAGATGAAACTGTTACTGGTTTTGATTGCTTATCTACTAAAATACTTAATCTAAATGTACCATATATAGTCAAACCTTTAACTTACATACATAACTTAAGTATTACAAAAGGTATTTTTTCAAAAATCTGGAAATTAGCAATTGTAAAACCTCTTTTCAAAAGCTAAGATAAAACTTCTAATAATAATTACAGACCAATCTCTATCCTAAATATTTTTCCAAAATATTTGAAAAAATTATAAAAAGTAGATTTATGATATTTCTAGAAGACTTACTCTCTAAATCAATTTGGTTTTAAATCAGGTATAGGCACGGAAGAAATTTTTTACTATACAAAAAAAGTTATTACTGAGTCTCCTAATAATGGCGAAAAATCACGAGCGATTTTTTTGGATTTGGCAAAGGTCTTTGGCACAAAAAATCAAAGAGAGCTAATTTCTATTTTATCCAACTTAAATATTAATTAATAAATATTTGTTTAAAGTGGTTTGAAAGTTCTTTAACTAATCGAAGCCGATCCGTTAAAATTAATGTCTCTGGCAATGAACTTTCTTTGAACTATAGAGTATCTCAGGGTAGTGTTCTTTGATCACTTTTATTCATTTTATACATTAATAATATATGTAACCTTGACATTAATGATCAAATTCTAACTTATGCAGATGACACCTGTCTGCTCTTTTTGGGTGATACATGGGTTTGATTGCGGGAATAAGCGTCGTATGGGGCTAGACAAATTATTGAATACATACATTTTAGGAAGTTAACTATTAATTTCAAAAAACCTATGTTTATACATTTTCTGATAAACAATAAAAACGAAATTCTTGAAAATCTTATATTGCATTTCTGTGATGATAAAATACTTTGCAACAGTAGTCATTGTTACACATTATAAAATCAGATATTTAGGTTTACCTTTCGACAAAAATTTGCAATGAAATTTACATGCAAATAGTCTAGTTATGGAACCTTTGAGCCCGAGTTTCAGTTTCTGTTAGTTACATCATATTATACCAATACAAGCACTGCGTATAGTATTCTAATCTCTGTACTAAATTTCATTTCAGTACGGTCTGTTAATTTCGGGTGGGATGGCTGATAATGAGATTCTTCCTTTAATTACATAAGAAAAACAGTTTAATATACATAAAATAAACTTACGTAGTTATATACATTGTATATGTCTACGTAAGTCTATTTTAGAAGAATCCTCTTCAGTTAGTTTTATGACATTTAATGTCTTTCCTGTTAAATTATTATTTATGAAAATTGCAATTCAATTTTTGGTTTTTTCTCTCGTATAAATTTAATTATGTTGCCTTCTTTTTCATTGATCTATCTTTGTATTACCCATATCAATTAATATAGTGTATTAATAAGTATATCTATGTATAATTTAGTCATATTTTATTTTATTTTAAATTAATGTATGTATATTACGTTTGTCTTTATTCTATTTTATTGTTGTACTATTGTTATCTAAGCTATATTTTATATTTATGCTCTATGCCTTCAACACAAGCGTTTGCTTAAAGAAGGTTTCATTTCTTCTAAAATATTTTGTTCTTGAAATGTTTGATCTTGTGACTTGAATTAATTTAAAAAAAAAAAAAAAATATTGATGTCATTTAATTTGTAAATTAGCAGTTGGTGTTGGAGAGGTAGTGTCAGTTATTGTTTCTTCTACTGGTTACTACTTAGAACTGAAAAGCGGTGTCTATAGATATTAAATACAATTAACTGTCTTGAGCGAAGAATATTATTCTGTATGATTTCTGGCTTACTGCCTAATTATAGTAGAACTAGAGAATGGTAAAACTTACATTCCAGATAAATCCATTTTATATTTTTAATAAACGAAGAATATAATACAGAAACCAAATAATTTAAAACATTCTCGTCCAGTTTATTATTTTTGTTTACACATATATTATTCATTCTATGGTATTCCCATACCAACAGTGCCAGATTAAGACTGTCATTAGCCCTAGGCAAACATTTTTTATAGTCCATTGTAAAAAAACAAAAACAAAATTATAAAAATATTTAAATTTATTTAATACACAACTTTTTTCTTGCTTTTTTAGAGCTAAAGTAATTGAAGTAATTTATTAAGTCATTTAAATGAATAGCATTTAGTGATTCATTTTTAATATTCAATAGAGCTAAAATGTTTAACCTTTCCTCAGACATAGAAGTCCACTGTTTATCGCCAATAGCCGTGGAGTACGCACACGTCATTTTTACAGCGTTTACTTTTTTGTAACGTTTGGTAATTTTTACTTTTTTTTCCGTTTTTTTAATTATTTTAAAAAAATTATGTAAATATGACGAATAATTAGTATTATAAATTTGTAATTTTATCAAAAATAAAATAAAATGTAAATATGACAAAAATGATAAATTGTAATTTTAACGAAAAANATACCTACTGTATTATACCTACAGTGTTCAATAAAATATTAAATAAATAAATATGTATACAAAAAAAACAAAGTCTGGATTATTATAGAAGGTGCTTGTATATACGATAGTTTACGATTTGAAAAATCATCAACAGGTTATAAAACAGCAAACATAAAAAAACGTGCGATGTGCGATGTCTGATAATAATAACAATTGAATTTCTACAAAATTTCCTAGCGGTGTATAGTCAAAAACCGACGACGGAAGAAATGACAATCGGCTGCCTTCGCTGAAATCAAGTTATGTGGAGGGGTAAACATGCGCACAAGCGGTCCGTTCTCTCGTTAAACAGACTATAGTACCGAAAGATAAAGAAAAATAATACGAAGAATTAATTACAAGCAATGAATAAAATACGCCTATTTTCGTATCAACGTATAATATAAACTAAAAACAGATATTGAATTCGATCAATGTTAAAATCTACACATAATATTAAAAAATCACTTACCTTCAGGTCCCTCTAGAGTAAAAAAACAAAAATACAGTTTTAAATACCACATTTTATTGTATATGACTATTCTTTGTTTAATAATATAATTCACATTTCACATAAAAAAAATAACATATCATTTTCAAGTCTTTGCTAATTAAAATTATTAATAAATTAATTGACAAATAATTCAGATAATAAAAGATCTTTATCTCTATCAGTGATACAATCAAATGATATATTAAAAACAAATCCATAATTATTTTAAAAATCGATATTTTCTCTACAGGCGTAAACAATTTTTCAGACCTACTTACCGAATTTAAAAATGTAATCGGCTCAAACAGTTTCGTATATAAGTCAACATCTGGCTACTGAAAGGCCCAAACTGAATAACCCGACGACTAAAGAACCTAAGTTCGATTTCTAAAAGAGAATGATGCAGAGCACCAAACTTATTAGCTCTGAACTGGAAAATCATACAAAGCTTTCTTACGGAATTTTTACTTCTTTAATTCAATTCCCTGAAATAACCATAGAAATTGAAGATATCGAATTCTAACTAGAAAAAACCTGCTATAGGGTAATAAGGACGGGAACAGCTACTGTTGTAGATAGAAAGTTAGGAATGTACAAGTTATCCACAGAAAAAAAAAATTAATTATTTGTGAAATTATAAGCGTCTTCGCTCTAATTAGAATCTAAAATCAAAAATATTAGGCACCATCAAACACAAAATTTTCTTCCCTAGTTATTTATTAATCTTGAGCCTGTCTCTAACAACGATATTTTAATATCACGTTTCTGTTACACTTAAAAATTAAGGTAAGGTTTAGACACACAAAATGCAGTTCCTAATATAATATTACTAGCTGTTCCACGCCCGGCATGGGCCGTGCTAATTTATTATTCTTTTTACCTTAATTTCCATTTTATTTTGTTCATATCAGTATATTGAATTAAAAAAATAGGTGCAAATTGGGTAGTCCACGGACTAAAAGTTCTAGTGTACCATACATTTTTAATTCATGTTAGGATGGATTAGGTTTTCATCTATGTTACCAAGTTAGCCCATCCTAATTCAATAATAAACCATAAATGAAAATATTTTATGTTGTTATAGTTGTTATAACATTTTTTTTTTTTTTTTAATTTTTTTTCATTTCGTCCATTTTACTATGTTTATTTATAGTTTAACAAAAATAATTTAATTTTTGGACAAAAAATACCTAAAAATCTTTTATCTCTTTAAATTTTTATTTTCGTAACAAAAGTCTATGTTATTTCTGGTATAGAACTATGCATATTATGCAAAGTTTCAACTTAATCGGTTCAACAGTTTGGGCATAAAAGAATCACAAACATACATGCATCCTCTCAAACTTTCTTATTTATATTTATTTGTTTGATGTAACAATATTATGTTACTAAAATATGTTAATTTATACCTGGCAACGTTGCAATTTTACTCATACGAAATAGATATAATATTAAAAAATCACTTACCTCCAGATGCCCCTAGAGTAAAAAACAAAAATACCATTTTAAGTAGCATAGCTTATTGTATAAGACAATTTATGTTTAATAATATATTTCACATTTCATATAGAACATAAAATATCTTTTTCAAGTCTTCTCCAATTAAAATTATTAATAAACTGGTTACCAAAAATACCTCAAATGAACCACACGATAAAAGATCTTTACCTCTGTCAGTAACATTATCAAATGGTATACTAAAAACAAAACCATAACTATTTTAAAAATCGATATTTTCATTCTGTTATAGATAATTTAATGTGTACCCGTAAACATCAATAAACTATTGCTTACGAAAAAACGATTGTGAGCGGAGTTCAGTTGATAATGATGCTTTGTCAACAATATGTATAATATATATATATATATATATATATATATAAATATAACAATATGCCATATTATAGTAAAATAATTAAATAGGCTCTATACATTTTTTTAATAATATATGTTTAATGTTGCACTGATTTTCTCAATTTTCCTACGTTTTTTCCGGTTTTCCTATGTTTTATTCCGATTTTTCACATTTGCTGGAAAAACTCCGGAGACAATTGAAAATGACATTCATAAAGTACCACTCCATACCGATTTCCGATTTCTGATTTCAACAACAGCATACAAAATAACTTTAAATCAGTAACTATAAAAATTGAAAATTTTAATTATGCAAATATACTTTCTTTTTTTTCATCAATGTTTTTTTTTTAAATCGTTTTTTTCAATAATTAGTTTTATAATTTTCCTCAAACAAAAATATTTTTTTGAAATTTTCCGGAAAAAAACTGTGTCTAATCGACTGAATTTATAATAATTTACTGTTGAATATATTATTAAAATAGGTAATTGTGGTATTAAAAATCGTATAACAGTATAATGGTGCATATAAATTATAATGGAACTTTTTTTCGGGTAATTTACGTTAGATTCTGAGCGAATATATTGACTTTATTTTTTTTTTACCAGAAATCTTGTTTCAATTTTCATGTGTAGCATATTATCATAAAGGACATTTTCCTGTGGCGTTACTTTAAGGAAGCCATTTTGTGATTTTCAAAGCAATTTTCAAAATAATTGGGAATAAACGAAGGAAAACTTACAAAAATAATATTTTTATTATTTTTAATTTTGTTTTTTGAATTTATTTAGTTAAAATTATTTATAGAGACTTGAAATTTGGACAAAAATCTTGTGTTTGCTTTTTATAGACGTGGTAAAATTTTCAAAACATTTTATCTCTTTATAGACATTTTATTTTTGCGAGTTTTTTATGTAATATTTATTCGATAGGTATTAAATTTATAAAATTGTTAGATTAAACAGAAATGCTTAACAATTTAAAAGGAAATTTATTATAAGTTGTACTTAGTCAACAAGAAAAAGTTGAGTTGAATGTATTATTTTTTTGATATACATAAGTATTTTATTATAAAATTTTGGTGAAATCGTAAATAAGATGACCTTTTAAAGTATTTCTAACCGAATCTTCGATCAGAATCATTTTTAGTTAGGAATGATCAATCGTTGCGTTCAAAAATAAATTAAATTCTCTTATATATCCTACCTTCCCAAATTCTCACTTACAACAGTGGCCCACCTATCATGAGCATTATGTCCGTATTTTTTAGATTCAGAGTTTATAGTGTAATATTTATTGGTTTCACTATGATGGGTTATTTTGTTTGTGAACTACTTTTCTACCAGAAAACTTGCTTCGAAGTTTAGACTATAGCATCTTTTTTAGAAAGGCAATTTTCTCTCTTTGGTACATTGAGAGGTCTAATTTTCCAAGGAATTTTTGAAATATTTGGGAAAAACCTGAAAGAAAATATTAGGTTAAATGGCAAATATTTACAGGTTTTATTGTTTTTAATTTTTGTTCATGATGTTTTCTCCGGAAATATTACTCTAATCGAAAAATGACATAAGATCGATTTGGTTCCATTTAATACATAACCATTAACAAACGACATTTTTTGATACCCAAAGAATAGTAGGGAAATGGAAGTTCAGCAATCTTACCCTCATCATCCTCATCAAGTGGGAATTCAGTACCATCTTCATCCTCCTCCTCTTCATTGACATATATTTCCCTTATCTATTTTTTTTTTTGTTTTAATATACTATCATCGAATTCTTACATAATCTATTTTATCCCACCTCTTTTTTCAAAATATTTTTTTTTTAAATTTATTTTGTAATATATTATTGTCAACTACCTACTACAACAAAAATTTGTCAAGTATTATTTTATTTTCTTATATACATCTTGTATACCATTCGGGTTATTATAGAATAATATACAACACGTATCTAGATAATGGATTCTTTAATCGTATCCCTTACATGACCGAGATCAAGAATAATTTACCCACGCGGCTGATGATAATATCACCTTTATTCGATCGTCTTATTATACAACTATCATGCGCGTGCGTATGTAGAATATATATCATGTAGGTTATAAATATGACAAGGGACGAATTACGAGATGTAAAATTCGAATATCCATGTGCAATAAAACGATCATTGGCTTTTGACAGATTATGTAAATCATATTTCAAAAAAAAATTATACAGTGTATTATCGCATTCTAGGTTTTCAGAAGAATTGAAAACCGAAATAGGAGATTTACTCATGGAGGAATTTAATAAAATCGCCTTGAAATATAACCAAATGTTGGAATCAACATATAAAATACCTAATACTGATATCTCAGAAAATAACTATTGTACCTATTGTAAAAACATATTGTATTACATCTTGGTTTGATGTTCGGAATAGAGTTATTTGTTTGTAAACTCAAAAGACATATATATACTTGTGATGTTTTATTTTATTTTTAATGGTGGAAATAACTCACTTGATAAGTCACTAGAATTTCCGTTCAAAGTTATGGTATACATATTAAAAATCCCAAACATAAGTAACTACAATTGTTCGAGTTATATTTTTGATATTTGTTGTAATGATATACTTCGCAAACACCGAAATATGACTAAAGTTCCAAAGGTTAGGTTAGATTAGCTGGGGGCAGGTTGTCGAAACTATCGAAGAAATCGACTCGTTTACCGATTTTTCTGTACGCTACCCATTGAGTTCCGTTTTAATTTTCTTTATCGAGATTAATAACTGCAGACTCGGTTTGACGAGGATGAAAGGGCAACCTATCTCTAGAAAATATCCCGATGAAATAAGTTATATTCAACAAGCGCGCATATTCTTTAATCTTGTAATCGTACAACGCTCTATTGGGTAACGTATCAATTGGTTTTTGTAATTTTAGTTCGTTCAATCAAATAAATAGTCATTTGAGAACTCTGTTTTTATTTATTTTCTCTCTATTAAAAACAGCCAGCAATTACAGCAACTATACACGGATTAGAATCCGTGTATAGTCTTTTAACATATACATCGTAGGTATCATTTTATTTATTTTAACGATAGTAAATATCTCTGTCGGCCAATTGGGTAGATAACCTTTTGTAAACAATTCTTATGTATCGGTACATGTATTAGTATACATAAAGAATTGTTTACAAAAGGTTATCTACCCAATTGGTCGACAGAGATATTTACTATCGTTAAAATAAATAAAATGGTACCTACGATGTATATGTTAAAAGACTATACACGAATTCCAATAACTGGCTGTTTTTATAGCGAGGAATTAAATAAAAACAGAGTTTTCAAACGACTATTTACTTGAAAAAGTGATTCGTACCAAGAGAAAAAAAAATTTTTGTTAAATGGCTAGAATTCGATAAGTCATAATAGTTGGATAAATAAGATCATGATTAGGAAATAACGTCAGTCATACTTTAGCTATGGATGTGTTTGGAAGAACTTTGGATGCGGAATTGGAAGAAATTAATGTATAAACTTAATTGTAAATATTATGTAAACTATAGTAATATTATATCATGTATTTAATTGATTGGTGTACTTTTATATTGTTTTGTATTGAATATATTTGTATATATCTCGTTTTTATACCGTAAAATAAATGTATTTATTTGTTAATAAAATGCTGTTGAAATTTGTAAACACAATATGATATTAAAAAAAAAAAATAACAAATTGTTAAATTTAGTAAAAATAAACACACACAAAGGATCACATAATAAATATTCTTATATTTATGAAAATATTAAAACATTATGAGTTATTAATCAACCATTTTCTTAGGGCAAAAACTTTTTAAAATGTACATTGTTTGGGATCCAAATCCATATGAAAAATACAACATGGTAAATAATTTACGACAATTATTGTCGTCACCACATAATTGATCTAATCATGGACACTCCATGATCTTCATATTGATGACGTCGACTTGCGGAGTAAAATCGTTGAATAATTGTCGCTTATGTTCTCCTTTGATATATGTGATATCGTATATGTGATCGAATTTCAACAAGTTTAAAATACGATCGAGTTCTTTATACTCTACATCGCCGTATTCTACGGGTATATTATAGAAATTTTTTTTCGAGCCATTTATGCCATTTTAACCATTTTGTCTTACAACATTTTCCATTTTAAGCACTCTGTGAATTTTTAAATATCCAATGTTTAGTTGCCCACGCATATGACATATCGCTCGAACAATGATTGTAATACACATATTTCAAATTAGTCTTGTCTTGTTTGAATGAAACAATTAAATTACTATTGTCTCTAACTATTTGTTTAGGTATTCGAGCGAACGATTCAGCTAGATAACACACGTCTATTTGATTATATCGTCCTCGTGAAAAATAAGATCGCAGAATATTTTGGTTTTCACATATTATATCGTCGAAAATAAATCCCGAGTTTGGTAATACTTTTTCCGGTGCAATAATTGTATCATTATCATGAAACGTGAATAATTTTATTGTGTCTATATTCCCTAAAATATCACACAACATTCGATATTTAGGTTGATTTAACGTTTTCTAATATATATATATATATATATATAAACGTTAGTGAATCGTATCCCATTCACATTGGTCAGTAATATATAAATGAAATTAGTTTTATCGTACTCGGAGGGGCCGATGACGAGCGCACGTATCGTATTAGGAAAAAGCGAACTGCACCTCAAAGTTTTATTAAAAAACTGTAGGCGGATCAACGTTGTCAACTGCGAGTTTTACGTCGTGTTCTATAAACTTCATCTTTGTATAAATTATCGTATAGCGCGAAAAATCTTATTATACCATAATGTCATCTGCTCGACAGAACAAGAATAAAGGCTGCGGACTCGTCAACACCTCTATAAATAAATTACCTATTGAGCTTCATTTACCGGGTTATCAATATTGTGGACCGGGTACTGATTTGAAAAAATATATAGCTCGAGGTAATTAGGTATAAACCCGTTGAACACGGCGTGTAGAGAACACGATTTGGCTTACGATCACAGTAATTCTTTAACGGATCGTAACAAAACAGATTATATATTAGAAAATCGGGCTTGGGAAAGGTTTAAATTAAAAGACGCTAACTTTAAGAAAAAATCATCGGCGTGGACCATCACTACGCCTATGAAAACTAAACTTACATTGGGCGCGGGGTGTGGATTCAAGACCGCCGTTAAAGCAACTAAATCATATTATTTACATAACGTACAAAGCACCCCATACAAAACAAAAGGGACTACATTCGAGTAAAACGCAGTACGTTCTGTTCGTCAAACAAATACACATCTCCTCTGCATGTATCGCAGACTCCTTTTGCCAATCAGGTATTTGTTTTATATTTTAAAACGTAATATTCGGAATTGGTACTCAGTTTGATGTTTTGAAAAGCAGTGAAATAAACCGCTCCTTTTTTTAAAATGGTTTGGGAACGAACAATTTATTTTATTATTAAACCTATCATTGTTATTAATCATTTTCACTTTTAGTATATTATTTACCTTAACACACCAGTGCAAAATACAATGACCCTTACGATGCAAATATCTATCCATTACACAATAGATTTAATTAAAAATTAACGACCAAAAGAAAAAAAAAATACTATTAAAAAAGACAAGGGCGGAAAATAATAAAATGCGAGAAAAATCACTTAGTAAACTGAAGGATTGTTGAAACACTACTAAATATTATTTGCTGAAGAACCCAAAAGAGTCGAAATATACGGTATTTTTCAAACAAAGGCACAACAGATTCATTATTTTAAATTTGTACGACTTACGTTTTCCACCATAAATATTACTTTAATAGATAAATGACAATAGACCTTTTTCGTTAAATTGTTTATGTTATTTGTAACCAAGATAATCGTTTTTTTGATTTTCTTTGTAGTTTTTTTTAATAATTTGGCAAAACCGAAAAATTCCTATAAGAAAATTTACAAAAATAATTCTCTTATTATTTTAATTTTGATTTTTTGGAATGTAATTTAGTTTAAAATATTCGTAGAGACCATAAATGTTGACAGAAAACTTACATTTACTTTTTCTAGACATGGTAAAACTTTCTAAACTTTTGAGTAATTTTAGACCTATTTATAGACATTTTTATTTTGCGAGTTTTTTACGTAATTTTTTATTTGGTTAGTACTCTGTTGGTAAATTGTTAGACTTGACAGAAATGCTTGAAGTGTAGAATATTTTTTTTTAGTAAGAATTTAAAAGTTATATTTTGACGAAAATCTAAAATATTACGGCCTTTCAAAAATGTATAATCGAACTTCGTTCCAAATCATGTTTCGTTAACAATGGTTTATCGTAAATTACAAGTATAAATTAAATAATTCTATGTATTCCTACTTCCCGACTACCCATCTACAAGTGGCCGCACCCGTTCCTAGATCAGCTCTTTATTGTTATTATTATTATTATTTTCAAATTAAGGAAATACGATACTGTACATTAATATTCCATACGCAACTTTCTTCAGTATAACGTTTGCGTACGGATTACTAGACCTTATTTATTTTATTTTATAAAATATGTATACCTACCGTATGTTATATGGACGACGACTGTAGTAAGAATTACAAAAATTTTACTTATACGTTTCATTGTAAATGTATAAATGTTAGGTAGGTAATTTACTATTAATGAAAAGAACGAATTATGAAAAAAAAATATATTTGTACAGCCTTATATAGTGGTAAATGAAAATAAAAAACTTACGTAAATAATGTTTTGTTTATTTAAAAATAATATTCATAGTGATGTATACTAAACAAATATGGATTTTATACTATTAAAGGTTATTACAATTCGATTAGTCCCTCTGAAAAATGTTTAACCTAGTTACGAAAAGTTAGAACGATGATGCTTTATGCTAGAAAAATAATAGATGCTTTAAAAAATAATCATAAAAAAATTATTTCTAATTGACAACAGGTTTTTAATAATACGTGTAAATGTATCTAGTTATTTTAAAAACATCACTAATCAGCGAGTTGATGTGTTCTTTGTTCAGCGTTTACCGTATCTGTGGTATATAATATAGAAGATCTGTGACTGAGTAGAGTAGATTCATATATACAGTGTGCCTCACACGAAGATCAAATAAATACAATAACTTTTGTTCCGTGCAATATTTTTAATTTTTTTTTTTTATAATTGACCATTTTTAGATTCTGATCTACTGGTTTTACAATGCTGTTAATTTTTTCTTCTTTTTTTTTTTTTGTTCTAGTCTGTGGATATGTTTTTTCCTAGTAAATTTGCTTCGGTTTTTACGTGTGACATTTTTTCTGAAATCTCAAGTTTTCTAGATTGTACTTTGAACAGGTCATTTTTTGATTTTCTACGCCATTGTTTAAATAAAACCACCTTAGTAGGAAAAAAGGTGGGAAAACATAAAATTTCACGATTTCATTATTTTATAAAAACACGAACGACGCTTTCTACCAGAAAAAATGATTTAATCGAAAAATTACAAGACACCATTTGTTGCCTTTTTAATTTACTTTCTTACAGTATCATTACCAAAAAATTTGGGTTTATTTTGGGCTTTTATGGAATTTTAATTTTTTGGAGTTTTTTGCTGTAATTCGGTTGTAAATGCACGTAGAGACTTGCCAATTGGTAATAATACTTATATTAGACTTACCTAGACGTAAAAAAAAGTCCAAAATCATCGGATGACATTTTTTTTTTTAAATTTTTTTATCTTTGAAAACTTGTTTCGATATATCAGTTTAGCACTTTTTCTTTAAGTCAATTTTATCTACTTAGAAAATACAAAAATAATTTTTAATTTTCGAAACGATATTTAAAATAAAAACGATTAACCGGGGAAAAAAATACGGTTTTACCATGATTTCGTTAATTAAAATAAGTACCTACCACGTTTTCTAGCACAAATATGGCTCCAATTGAAAAACGACAAGAAACCTTTTTTTTGTTTTATTGTATTTTTTTTTTTAATAGTTTTTAATTTTAGTAATTTAATAATTTTTTGAAATTAAATTTAGTGAAAATCGCAAGAAAAAAATTATAGCATTTTAAATTATGTATTACCGAACTGCGCTCGAACTTGTTTTTCGTCAGCAATGGTTTATCGTTGCTTATAGATATAAATTAAATAACCTTTTGAATTTTATCTTCCCAACTCCCCACTTACAACAGTGGCTACTCCCATCCCCAGTATCAGCTCTTCTTTAACTTCACCTTTACACCATTAATTAAAACTGTAACATCCCAAAAGGAGTTCCATACGAACATAATTTTTTTTGTCATAAGAAACCGTACTTTTATTTTATACTTACACCGCCAGGAAACGGCAGTTCGTCAACAAGCACAAATGCAGATCACTAGATCGCGGTACGCGCACTTAAAGAAATCCAAGCTACACCGTTGCGCCGCATCACTCCTGCCAACCGGCTGCCACCACCACGTAACAACACAATGCCAACGCCGCCGCTGCCGATCGGATCACAAAAACCGACCGTCCAGCCGCCGGCTGAAACACCCTCTTTCGTAGTCCGTCCATTCCGACACACGCGATCACCAGTCAATAGACAACAATCAAGCTTATATCTTTAATCTGCTGCCGCCTCACCGTTAGGCAATCCACCTATAGCCACTACCACCAACAGCCACGTACTCTACCAGTAATTGCTATTACTATCGGTCACCACCGGCTACGGTCATGCCCCCCCTTCCCCCTACAACTAATAACTATCGTTCCCGGCACCACCGGCAACTGCTATTCCCCTTTTCCCAAAAACATCACCGGCAAATGCCACGTGCCCCACCGGTAACTGTTATACCTAACCTACCCATTACCACCAGTATCAGCCAAGCGCTCCACCGCTAACTGAATATATTCCCTTTTCCCATTATAACACCCACACGAATAGCATCGAACCCTTAATATTGTATTCCCCAGCACATTGTATTGTGTTTCCGTTATTTATACACATTGTATCCGATTTCTTAAATAATTGTAACTCTTATAATAAATATATGATTGTTAAACGTGTAAATTGATGAAAATAAAAGATAATATTTTGCTATACGGAAAACTTCACGAGTTATTTATGCTAACGACGGTCATCCAGCCGGAACGTTATAAAATCTATGATAACACTGTGTAAACTTTTTCTGCTTGGCCAAATCGATTTTATCTCTATAAAGATAATACTGATCATTCCACCAGGCGTGTATTCAGAATTTTATTTCGGGGATCAAAATTTATAAACATTGTCATACAGTAAACTAAGAAAAGCGCTCCTAGAATAATGGTGACGAATGCAGCCACTGTTATAAGTAATTTAATGTATATTTGTAAGCAACGGTTTACCAGGCGTTATGTTGAAATAATAGAGTAAGATTTACGAGAAGACTGTCTCGTACATTTTTGTAAAGTCTGCGGTGAATTTAAATTTCTGCTCCAATAGGTTTGGTCATTCAAAAATTCTATGTTCCGATAATTTTATATTAGTCATAAGACGTAATAAAAACATTAATATTGTTGTACTTGAAGCGATAACATTAACGTATGAGATTACTACCACAAAAAACGAATATAGTACACTGTAGTTATAGTTATAGTTATTAACTACTCTTACTTTTACTTCGATTTCTAATATGTTCCGATTTTGTAATCTGTAGCCACTAGGACAATCAGACGTTCTGATATAAACTGTTGTATAAAATTATTCAAGGTCTATACAACTAAAATCGAAATAATTAAATGGCCCCGTTATATATTATATTATGGTATTTTTTTAAAGTGATATTGGGACACTATACAAATATAACAAACCCATTCACTGATTATTACAGTAATATCACATTGGTGATAGTTTATTATTTTGATGATAGTTTGATGATACCTTATATCCCCGCTGACCTTTAAGCAGCACCTAGAGGAAGTTAGAAACTAGTTAAAAACCATTAATAACATTATCAGTAAGTTAGCCGGAACAAGCTGGGGTGCAGGGCATTTATACTCCGCACATCTGCCTTAGCACTAGTGTATAGTACTGCGGAGTATTGCGCCCCAGTATGGGAGAGGAGTGTTCACACGAGGAAAGTAGATCTTGAATTAAACTCGGTGTGTCCGTCAACCCATATAGTTACGGTTATTGATTTGGTTTATCATGAGATATTTTGAGATAGTTCGTTCGATTTTTCACAAATGATTGACATATTTGCATCAACGAAATCTGGAAGAATATCAATATTACAAAATATTATTGAAGTTCAGTGCATATATCTACATTTAACATTATTTTATATAATCTAAATATAATAAATTTAATATGATTAACTAACATTTTTATTTTATTTTTGCTAACCAGTTAGATTTTAATATATTTTTCTATTTACCAGGGCCTTTTACTGATATAGGCCTGAGTAGTATAGATTTGTATATTCTATCCCGCAGCAAAACGTCCCATGAAACCGATAAATTTAACATATTTGATTTGGCGAAAAGTTTTGACCCAGCGTTATTGTCTGACTTGCTTTAGCAGTAAAACGCTGCATAAAACTGAAAGATTTAGCCCCTCTGATTTGGCCTCTTTTTTTAAATATTTTTTTATTTTTCGTATTTTTTATAAATAAAAACAGAATTTTAGTTTTATTTTTAATATTTACAGAACTATAGTTTTTAATTTTATATAATATATAACAAATATGTTTTTCTTAAATACTACTATACAAGTTTTCTTTCTTTTCTTATTAATGGTATATATATTCTACAACACGATCATGAATTAAAATTCAGTAAGCTGGTACGCTTTTGAAATTTCCAGAGGCTTCATTTCCAAACTTACGAAGAAGCTGTTGCTAAATCATTCTGTTTTGAAGTATCAATAACAACAATTAGTCCCCAGTTCAAAAATAGTGTAGGACTTAATAAAGGACTTCGCACTCCGTTTTTATTGTAAGATTCTAGAGACGATGCATACATATCATAAAATAAGGAGCAATTTGTTTTACTAAAATTTAAATTCAAATCATTATACGGGATACATGACAGAATTCAAATATACTTTCAAGTTTTTAAATTACAATGGTCTAATTTACTATAATATTCGCTATTTTTCTGTAATCCTATTATAACATATTAATGTTTTTCCAGCTTTAATACGGTTTTCAAATTCCAAACAATATTTTTCATGTCCCCAAGTTCAGGATATTCGTATGTTTCATATGATCTAAACAGAATAAATGAGCTTTTTTCTTTTTCTATATTTCAATCTTTCGTCATCATCTACGGTAACATGTGATATTTTCCAGAATAATTTTTTAATTTCCAGTGCAATAATTGTTGTCGATAATATTGACTCTGCAACTTTTTTTAATGCATCAACATTTTTTCTCGTTAAAATTAATTCAAGCCACGTATTTACTAAAATCTTTTTAAAATACACGAAAAATCCCATCCAATGCTTAAGTGAAATATATACACAAAAATATCCAGAAATTGCATCTGTTATAGACTTATCGTTTTTAAAAGACCAGCCTACATTTTGATGGCATTTATATTAATTTAATGCATATGACAAATAGCCTTTTATCGAGCTAGTTACCCCTAACGCACGAGTTCTATCTACTTCCGCTCTATTCATTTCAAATCTTACTTGGTCAAAGGTTAAGATATACCGTTATTATAAAAACTAGCTTTAGTCGACTGTACTAATTTCCCCTTGATATAAAGAAAATTTTTATGAAGATATAGATACGCGTTTGACTGTTAAACTATTATCCTTATTTTATCATTATTTCTATATGAATTTGAATGTGAAATATACGAATGGTATTCAATTTTAGTTCTTCTTATTTCCGTTGTATAACGAGAATCAACGTTTAATATTTCGCTATCAGGCATTATTTTTTAATTGATAACCAAGCGCACGAATAATATTTTTACTTTTAACCGTCAATTTCTGTATTTTATTTTATGTTGACGGTTGAACATCTATTTCATACTAGATTATATGACGAATGTGATTTTATAAGCTTAATTTTTTTTTAAATGTCAACCCCATATCTGCAACATCTTATATGTAGTACAACTGTTATTTTTTCTCAAAAATTATGTATAGAGTTCTGGTCCTGATCGGCTAACTATATATGTATTCTATCGATTACAGGTGTGTTCAGTTTGTAATATATCAAGTTTGATGGTCTTTCAACTATTTTTTTTCTAGTTACTAATGTAGGTAAAAAGTCATTAATTAAATTAGATATCTTATTGTTACTGAATAAATCTTGAGCTATATAAAATATTACTTTTATAGAATTTATTGGGTTTATATCAACTAGATTCTCAGATATCCACCATACATTGGGTTGATATACTTTTTTATTAAACTCTAATATTGCCGATAAACTATTCGGTATACTAAAGTCCATTGGATAATTACATATAAATTTAAACTCAAGTGAAATCAAAGATTTCAATATTTCAAATACAATTTTTTTAGTCGATTTCTTATTATATTCAGTAATAAGATTATAAATACAAAACTCTAAACGCTCGAACTCATAATATCCAATTGGAACTTCACTAACAAATTGTTCGTCGTCTTTATTGTCCGATACTCGGGTAACCATTTTATTATTAGATTTGTTTATATTTATAAACGTATTATATATTTGCAGGTAGAGAAGCGCAGTTTCATGCACGAGTCTTCGTGCACGCTTGGGTGAGAAATAATTTGCAGATAGTGATGTTTTTTCACCTGTTAAACTTAAAGCAACTGCTTTATACATTTCTATTCAAAACATGATTTAAATTCTGCAGCGTTTAATATGTAAAATAATTGAAATGTTGTCAATCATCAAGTACAGTATATTATTTATTTATTATATTTTTTCGTATTATTTATGTTACAGGTACATAGAAAAAAGCAGTTCAGTCAGTCCCCATGGTTGAAAAAATATATTTATTTGAATATCAAGATGAGGAAGAAGATGACTAATGAATTTGAAAAATACTTTAACAAATTTATAAATAACGCAGTAATCGGAAAGTTATTATTATTATTAAAACCCGTATATAAAAAAATAAGTGATCTCTAATTACTGTTTGTTGTTCTCCGATAACATCGTATATAATAAATAAAGAGTTCGGTAAAACTCGGGTGAAATAACTTTATTACTTTCGAAATAAGTGAATATTTTAACACCATCGATCTCATTAATAATTTGTTTTAGTAGTTTATACTTTGCTGATCGAGCGTTTTGGAATAGATGTACATATTTTTAAATTATAATCCGTTTTGATCGATTAGTAAGAAATACATTAAATTCGTTTTGTCACAACCAGAACTGCCTAGTACTAATAACCGCACCGTATTCGGGAATAACTCACCGTGTCTTGATTTCATCGTATAAGTAGTATTTTTTATAGATCCGAAGTTTTTTCTCTTGTTAAATAAAACGCATTTATTTTTTTTATAAAAGTGGATGTCAAATCTTAGAGAGCGTCATATGCTCGTATTCAAAAGAGTAGGACGACTGAAAATTCTGGTCTTAATAACTCTGTTGTAAACCATAAGCCCGTGGAATTACATTTATCTTGTTATAGATTTTGCGGTCAAGTTGATAGATCAATTAGCACGAAATGAACACGGGATAAACAATCTGGACGAATTAGCTAGATCACACGATATAACATATGAAAAAAGTAATTCATTGAGTGATAGATAATGCATATAAAATATCAGAAGAATAGGTTTGGGAATTTTTTAAATCTAGAAACACAGCATTAAAGAAAAGGCTGCATCTTGGTTAATCACTTCTACCACGAAAGTCAAACGCAAGATGGGGTCTGGGTGTAGTTTCAAGCAAATAGTAACGGCAGCTAAAAAGGCGATTAAAAATAAATCAGTGAAAATAATATCTATAAATTAATAAAGACGTGTATGTTAGCAACTAAGAAAATAATAACGAAAATAAAAAGACTAAACTCCTAGAATTATACCTATTCCGGTAAAAGGTGGTGTGTTAACTATTTTCTCCGGTTTATCGGCGTTAGGTGCAATAACCGGTGGTATTGCTAATGTAGTAAAAGTAATTAACGACTTTAAAGTAGATGGGAATATACCTGTTCATTCAGGAAAAGAAATGTATTTAACGCCTTATAAAAGCGTATCGTACAAAATAGAGAAAGGTAAAGGATTATATTTATTACTATACAAAAGCGTCGGCGGTTCGAGAAAAAAAATCAAGTAAATCGTCAAAAAAGTCCACGTTACCCAATAGAGCGCTGTACGATTATGAAATTATAAAATACCCACGTATTTTAAAAATATCTCATTTCATAGGGGTCTTCTCTATAGATAGGTTGTCTAATAAAATTAAACAGTGAGAATCCGCTGTTGTTAATTTGGAAGAAGAAAGTCTAATTTGGGTGCAGTCACTCATTACGGTAAACTGTGGCCATCTGTGTTAACATTTTAATTATGTATACTATAACGTTCAATAGCAACTCGTCGAATCTATCTTGCGATTTGTTCGCATCGATAGAAGTTATTAAAAACATGAAGATTTGTCTACTGGTACTTAATATCAAAGAAAAATGTAACCGTATAGACTTTGTCATTAAAAACGATTTGTTTGATATAATTAATGATGTGTTTACAATTCCTACGGAATCATACGAGTTTGAGTGATTTGGCAACAGTGATAAAACAATCGTTATCCGACAATAAGATAACATTCGAGTTGTATGCAAATAATATTACATTAAAGTGTGAAATGAAGACAAACGTACCAATTGATTTGTCTATGCCTAATAATACTAGTGTATTGCTCGGGTTTAAAAATGCTAACGTTAGACACCAGTCTAATACATTGACTAATGTCAATATCTCTAAAAAGTAGCACCGGGATATAAAATAATAGAAATTCCTACACACTTGGTTTCTTTCGTGCTTTTATAAGTCACGTCAGTATTGTTTTAAAGGATAAAAACAACGAATTGGTCGATCTGCGGAGAGAACCAATCTCTGTATGTATATTAATCCAAGATTCTACCAATAACAACAAATATAGGTCTATGATTTCATAGTAAAAATAAACCTACAGAAAGAAATAATCATAGTAAAGTCGAGAACACCATCAAGTCAGCAGCAACAGTGAAAACGGTTAAGAGAAAGGAAAAATGATTAACAGCTAAAAATTTAGCTTATTTTCACTCATTAAACAATATTTAAAAAACGGATGAAACGTATTTAGAAGTGACTAGTGAATATGTTGATGATTGTAGAATAACTGATATCAAATATTATTCATTTTCACCATACTCGTTTACCACACTATATAATAGCGACGAAATACGAATTCCTATACATAATACTGAATCATATACTCTTCCATGTAAATGTTGTAAGGAAAGATTGATAACTAAACCATCAAGTGTATCTGTTGAAGTTAATTTTATAAGCAATGGACTGGCATTTGTTTTCTCCGAAATGAAATACAAGATAAACGAAATTCAATTTCAAAAAATCGTTAATCCCGTTAAAAAAAAATTTGAAAAAGGGGCATGGTCAAAATATGCCGATGAAGATATAGAAAATTAGAGTAGCCATGTATAAGTATAGCTCATAATCGTGATCGTGGGGAAAAACAAAACTTTTTATATAACTATCTGTGAACAATTATTCTACCAGACATTTGGCTTCGGTATACAATGATGCTATTTTTTCTGAAAGGAAATCTGACTGGGATAGTACTTTAAGAAGGTTATTCTTTGATTTTCCCAAGAGTTTTCCCAATAAATTGGAAAAACGGGAAAATATACGAAATATTAGTATTTAGTAAATATAGTAAATTGGATCCATACTAGTAAATGAGAGTATGTAGCTGAACAAACTTCATGAATTATCCAGAAATGAAAAATAAACAAAAAAAGAGTCATTGATATCATTGTGGATCGCCAAAATTTAAATTATTTCCAAAATAGGTCGTGCCATTAAAAGTTTGAGAACCTTTAATGTAGAGTTTAGACTGCAAATATATTAACTGCATATTAATTATTATTAATTTCAAATTCAGAAATATGTCGGGAAACAAGTGCTAATATTTAAATTGTGGCAAATTAAAGAAAATATTTCCAAATTCAAACAAGATGTCCTAGGATAATGGGACGGATACAACCACTGTGATAGATAATTTAATGTATACCTGTAAGCAAAGATAAACTATTGATTATGTAAAAACGATTCTGAATGAAGTTCAGTTGATAGTGATGCTTTGTCAACAATACATATGTAATTTTATAGTAAAATGATTAAATGGCTTTGAACATTTCTTTTAATAATATTTGTTTAATGTTGTGCCGATTTTTCTAATTTTCCAACGTTTTCCCCGGTTATCCTATGTTTTATACCGGTTTTTCAAATTTAATGAGAAAACTCCAGAGAAAATCGAAAAATGACTTTTCTTAAGTACCTTTTTAGTAAAATTTCTTTTTAGAAACATTGCTTTCATTAAAAGTTGGGGTAAAATTGGTGAAAATTTGGGAATGTAGAATATAGAGGGAAAATTCATTGTTATCTATAAGTAAAGATTAACTAATGCTAACGAAAAAATGATTTTGAGCAGAGTTCTGTTGATAGTGTTACTTTGTCAACAATATAAGTACATGTCATATTATAGTAAAACAATTATCAACATATGCATTAAACATTTTCTTTAATAATAGGTGTAACGGACCCAAGGTAAAGATGTAGACTTAGAAGAAAAATGTTGAAATAAATCAAATTCCAACTTGAATTTATAAATAATTAATATTTTCCACACAAAAATACTAAAAGTCCAATAAATTTAATTCAGAAACATCAAAGTTATTCTAGGTTCAATTTAATAAAACTCACGAAAATATTTCATAAAAAAGTGTGACGTGAAGTTGCTCGTTTTTGATCTTGGTGGACACGTATAATTCGACGATGTTTCGGGCGGCGTTATATATGCTCGGAGAAATCCTCGTAGCTCGCTCGTAATACGGCTATCTATGGTACATTATTTTGTTTGTGACATTTTTTATACTTCCTGGAATTTAAGTATTGCCCGTCAGTTTGTGCGTTTTATTAAAAATAGAATATGTTTATTTTACGACCGTATCCTCTCGTGCGTTAGCACAATTTGACAATTATAAAAAGGTAAATTTTACTATTTTGTCGGTTTCCTCCTATTTTAGTTGTTGAATTTATCGTTTCATTACACATTTTTGTATTACCTTATATTTCGTCGCCTACGCTGGCACTGTCATGTTACGGCTATCTATTATATTTCGTTTATGGTATATGTTCGTATTATTTAATATTTTCATATTATTCAAATTATATGTTCGCTTTACGGCCGTTGTTTTATGCCTATTTACGCCCTTAATATATAAAATGTGAAATTGTATTTTATTGAAATCTAAGCTCCCGGTTTTGATTGTGGTTCCTTTTTTGAATAATAATTACTACTGGTTCACGCGCGAATACTTATAGTAGCGCGTGGGAACGTAACATAGGTATTAGTTTATTGTTGTACTTTTTTTCCCATTCTCCCGTTTTTACTTTATTTTTTTTCAATTGTATTAACTGTTATTGTAACTGTATTAAAAATCCTACAAATATATATACGAAAATATATGAAGTTTAAGTTTGAATGTATTTCAGGTTTGATCATTTTAATTTCCATTAACATATTTAAAGGAGATAGTTTGTCATTTTATAGATAGAAAGGTAAAGTGTAATGGAATACTATCCGAACATTTTCCTACAATTAAATCATTCTTTTTGATGTATAATATTATCATATTGATACACAGGAGTACTATGTTTGTTGTTGATCGGAAGCTACTTATCGCACTAGATTATTGTTAATTTACATCTACTTATTTTACATAATATTCTGTTACGAAAATATAGAAATTTTCACTTACCTCGGTATTATGCTTCAAGTTCGCAAGAAGTTTGATGCTCAAAATATAATGAGCAAAATAGAAACATACGTAGGTTTTGATGAATCGTTACAATAAACATAAGTAGGATTCGAACATTCCAATAGGTATTTATATAGCTACAGTGAGACATCGGGTTGCTAATAATAAGTGACGACTTGTGAATCTAGCCCAGTTAGTGTAACAAATTGCTGATTGGCGTATCATTGTATAGTCAGTGTAAGTAAATAGACAGTAATTTTCTTCTGCCTAGACTATAGATGTGAATTTCTCTGAGTGTTATATTGAGTTTGTAATTCAATATAATCAGTACTATACAAATGTACAGACAACTGTTTGTCCCGATTGATTATCACACCCAGCGTTGTGTTGAGTTTATGATCAAATCGATCGAAGGTAATAATGTATTGCATGTATTTATATTAAAAGGAATTACAGGCAAATTTGTGTCTTAATTGACGACCACGACCTGCGTTATGATAAGTTTATGTTAAAGTCAATCGAAGGATATATGTTGTGCTTAGAGGATGATGGAGAATAATCAAAAAGTCTAGATAAATACGTGGTAAAAGTTTATTAACAAAATATAGGGTAATATGATCATAGAGTTTTAGTATTGTGGGTAGAAAGTACATAAAAAAACAAAAAACAAAAGAAGAATAGAGTCGAGTCTGGTGGTGAAAATTAATGGGAGACACAAAAATATGATATTATAAAATGTCAAGGAAAATATTTACGAGGTGTGGGAAAAGATGGTTACCTTTATTAAAAATACCTCAAAGGAGAAAGGTTGGAAAGAAACTTGGTGGTAGAAAAAAAAAGTTTAAAGTGTTTTAACTAAGAAGAAAAAAAAATTAAGCTATGGTAGCAAAACAAAATGAGAGATGATTGAATAGAGTAAAAAGGCTGTACAATAAAGATAAGAGGGTGGTAGGAAAAACAAAGTTGAAGAAATATGATAAGTTTTATAAGGGACTAGAAACAAAGAAAAATGAAAAAAAAAATTGTCGATTGGCCAAGGTTAAAGATGGACGGTCCAGGGATTTCAGTTTTCAATAGCATTTGGTGTATAAAAATAAATGTATAAAGACAAAAGTATACTAACGAATGAAAAGGATATAAATAAGAGAGATAGAAGGAGTATTTTTTTTAGACATTTTTGAATGAACAGTATCCAAGAGAGATCTTAGAGAATGTTTCGTTAAACGAAAATATGGTAAGTTTAGTTAAAGAAGAGGAAGAGTGTTTATTTTGTACACAAAAAACAGTGAACTTGACTATGATGTGAAACATATAATTTAGTATGATTTATTGAGGAGAAAAGCGATATGTGTTTTATGTGACAAAAGGATTTCAATGAAACTCAAATCTCTTATATTCTACAAGAATGTTGTAAGACTGGCTATGTTGCATAGTTCAAAATATTAGGCAGTAGAAAAAAAAATAGAAGAGAGAATCAGTGTAGCAAATATGGCCATAGATGAGAGGAGTGACGAAAGAATTAGGTGTGGCTTTGATAGTGGACACAATGAGAGAATATGGACTGAGGATGTTTTGGATGCTCCTTTATTATCTTCAAAAGTTAAGAAGAATCATAAATATTAAGAATTGCGAAGAAAATATGCGTAGGTAGAAAAAGGGAAGAGGTAGACATGGTTCTATATGATTGAGAATGATAATGACGGGTTTATGCAAGACGATGTAATGGATCAGGTCAAGTGGCAGTTTAGGATGCAGATGATTGAATAAGAATAATTGAGATGGAAGCAAAATTAGAAGAAGAAGAAAAAGTCAGATAGATATACAGGATTGGAAACGAGCAACAAGACAACATAGGGGACTGTCCACAAAAACCAACTGGTAATGTGGTATACGGAGATCATTTTTTTTCTTTTATAAGGCTAAGAATCGTTTTAAAAGATATTGTTGAACCTAAACACTTCACCGTATCCTTTTTTTTTTTTTTTACTACTGAATGTTCTTATATACAGAAAATTAAAAAAAATATATTGCATGATATTGTATTATATTTATAACTGTGTAAATGACATTGATTAAATTGTAAATTTATAATAGATTAATATAATTAAACAGTTTGTAGTATCGAACGCATTATATATTATTAAATTGATTACATACATGATAATATGTATGCAATATTACAATAATACATGCTTATTGCTAATGAACTTATAATATTATTAAAAGAAGTATCAATAATATTATAGTAAATCTTAATTAAATATTAGTAAATAAAATTCGAGTGCGAAATAGTAAATATCATGTTACACTAACATGTTTATACCGGTTCAGTTTATGTATTCAAGTTTATATATTCAAACTTTAAAATTGTAATATTGTTGTAATGAAATTGATACTTTGGGTCTTACGTGGCACTAGAGTAAAAAAAAAAAAATAATAATATTACAGTAATTGCTAATTTTATAAAAAAAAAAATGTCAACTAAAATGTATTTCACATTTCACAAAAATACATAAAATAGTATTTACTGTAAATATTAAGTAACAAATTGGTCATTTTTTTGCATATGTACCTCTATTACAGCCATAAAAATAACTCTTTCAAAAATAAAACATATATTTCAATAATTGAGGCATGATAAATTGAATTAATTAAATAGATAATATTTAAGACAATGTTCATTCTGCGAGATGATCACAATACTCCCACAATGAAAATCTATAAACCACTGTGTCCCTTCTTATATATGCTACTGTTAAATAATGTTAACATTATCAGTGTTATAATAATATTATCTAAACAGCACAAACATTTTATCTAAAATATCAACAAAAAGCTTAGAATATTATATATAGTTGTGCCTGTTTACCACATGTTACAGTTTTAAAAATTTATTGGAAGCATGTCATTACAGAAAAAGCGAAGACATATGATTAAGTTGTACATTAATTTGTCTATGTTTGTGTTTAGACCTTGAAATCATTTTGTTTTTTTTATTCTAAAAATAAATATCTTCTATTTTTTTTTCTAATTAATGTGTATATTTGATTTATTTACCACGATTTATAATACATTTGTTGCCTATGAATTACGCACTATTATAAAAAGTATGAATTAATTAGTAGATATTATTTTCTCTTAATTTTAGTCCATATAATATTATGTTAATATGTGAAAATGCAAAACAGTACCCTTCGAATTGATACTATCCTATTAAATTATAAGCTTTCTAATAAATATATAAATAAACATTTTTGTATACAAATATAAAATACAGAGGTGGCCAAAAGTCACGCAATGCCTACCGTCTTGTACGGAACGCGCGTTACGGCGCAGTTTCTCCCTCCACGTCGTTTCCGTTACGTCATATTGTAACTTTGGTCTCGTTATATTGTTTACGTACAACAACAGCAAGGTTAATAAAAAAACAACATATTTAACATAAAACACAACAGTTTTATAAAAACTGTGTTGCAAATTTGTTGCGCGACTTTTGGCCACCTCTGTAAATAAATTGAATTAATGCGTCGCCTGGTTACAATAATCATTATTACGAATATAATAAATATTATCAATATTTATAAATGAATTACGCAACATTTTGCAAATTTTACAAATTTTGAACCCCTCTCTCCCCTGTATACGTGCCTTTCAGCTGGTATATCACAATCAAAATGTAAAACGCGACTGAATATAGAAAATTAAATGACGGAGTAGATAGAATAAAAATTATACAAAGTGGTCGTTTTACATAGAAAAACATTATTTTATTTAGTGAGATTATTAATAATAATAATTAAGAAACTAACGTTTCTTAATATTATATGTAATAAAATTACTTATTATTAGCAATAGATAATGTTAAGAAATATAAATTATTATTTTTAAAATCGACTTGGCCATTTTATATATTATTAAAATTATTATCTTTTACCTCATAATGTACGTGTAATTATTCTAATACTGAATTAACTTAAATATAATTTTGGGTATTTAATATTTATAAATCTGTATTAATATCAAAACTTATATTATGGTTATATTTAAAACATGTTTAACGAAATTTTGATAAGAGGCAGACTTTTTTAATCTTATTTAAAAAAAGTGTTCTATATATCTTATTTTAAAATTTCAATTTGACTTATTAATAAAAAATTGATTGTAGTTACATTTAAATTTAAACAGAGCAACATTTTCAAAAGGAGGGTGAGTTTTTCGAAACGTTAATTTTAAAATATGATTAGCGATACGACAATGTAATTTTTACTTATGCAATTTTATATATTTTTTTTATACTTATATAGATATTTAATCAGGTTTTTGTTGAGTAATGTGTATGCTATTTTTAAATTGATTCAAGGCAAGATTTAGCTTGAATTAAATCGGCTAAATTCAGACCACTGTGGGACGCATTCTTTCATTTTATTTAAATTTCATTTGTATATTTATTTATGAATATAAAACATTTTAATCATTTAATTTTAACTTTATTATTTTATTATTTTTAATAAATTCTATATGAAATATTTACAATATAACTTACGTGGTTGTTATTGCCCTCCGTTGGCTAGAGGAATACAAATGAAAAACAGGAATATTATCAATAGGTAACAAAACAATTTTGTATTATATAATTTAACAAAGTAAATAGTATCAAAATATAACAGAAAAACGTTTATTATTTTATTATAATAAAAATATCATCAATTTTTCTTTGAAAATTATATTCTTTAAATTATACATTAATTAATATGCAACACTAAAACAACAAAACAGCTGTTCCAGACAGACCTATTGAAAGAAAAATTATTAGTGTTGCAGGCGTACTTTTAAACTCAGGTTTAAGTTGAAATAACAAACACAATAATTATAAGGGTTTATTTATTTTAGTTGAAAAATATTGAGTGTTAATGTGTAGTCCAGTGATAACACTTTTAATATAATCACAAGTCTATGGGGCGTGAAGATACTTGTACTTGATAGTGGTAAGACTCGTCTGTAAAGACGATTGAGCCGGCCGGTTTATATACCCTGGACCACTCCCTTCTAGTTAGATATGCGAAGTACGCGTTTTCGACAACAACATATTATTGCCTAGTCAAGTGATAACCTTTTACGTCTGTCCTTGCATCCAGGTTATGCGAGAACACGCATATAGGTATTCTATTACAGAGTTATTATATTATATTGATCTATCTATTTTGCAAAAATAGACTGTTAGCGAACGTTCGACGGTTTTTTCGTACTTTATTCCAGGGCTATTCTACAATACTCAAAATTGTCCCGGTATTGGGCAGATTTATGGATCCGGCATGGCCAGTGAAATGTAGATTTTAATGGGAGATAATTAAACCAGTCAAATTTGAAACAGGGTAAAAATCAGCGTTTATTTACATTAAAACAGAACACTTGTGGGAGAAAATACGTGTACATGGTAAGGATATTAATACAAAATTGTATAGATGATTTGTTTTCTATGTTTGTCGTATACCACGTATATTGGCGGTGGCGAGATTCATCGGTGGTTAAATTGATTAAGCGATATCGGTAACTGGAAGTGGGAACCGATGCGCGAAAATGGACGTGTTTTCGCTCGCCGCCGGGTATACTATTAATTTGGACAAGGTACAATTGGCTAACAATCAGATTTCAGCGACCAATGCCAGTGCAGTTGAAACACTGACAAAAGGCAAGACTACGGACAGAGTCGTACCGCGACGGTCAACAAAAAAACGTATTGAATGCTCAGTGTNATTGTTTTATTAGGTTAGTTTGGGTGACAATTTATTTTCCTTCGGAAATGATTGAAAATGTAATACGGTATCGAATTAGCCACTAACTTATAATATTACAGGTTTTTTAATAAATATATAAACACAAATTTACTTATAGAAATATAAAATAAAAAAACGAATAAATGCGTCGCCTGGAGTAAAATAATCAGGGTATTATACGACAGGTTTCGAATTATAAATTAAACATCTTGGAATCACGTAAACAAAATAAAAATTTAGTAGGGGGGGAAGTTGATAAAAAAATTACCAACGTCGTTATTACGAATATAATTAATATTTTCAATATTTATGGAAAATATAGAATTTGTAAAAATAAAGTACAAAACTTGGTTAAATTTTTTAAAAATTTGATTATGTCTATGATAGGAAAATATAAGATTTCTGTCGGATTTTTATTTTCATAGACTCGATAATAATATTAATAACTGAATTTTTGCACAAATACATTTCAAAAGCTATAGTAGTGAACTTCTCTGTACTGTAGAATCTATATTAAATTTAGAAAAAAAAAAACATTCAATTATGTATACACGTTCCTTTAAAAATATAATTGTTTGAATTGTTGAAATTTTTTATATTTTATTCATACTTATATGGGTATTTAATCGGGTTTGTGTTGGGGAAAATGCAAGATAAGAATTCGGATTATCTTAAGTAAATTTATAGAAATGAATATCTGACATAATTTTAAAATTGACCTGAGGAAAGCTAAATTCAGACCACTGTGAGACGCATTATTTTATTTATATATTTATTTATGAGTATAACCCATTTCAAAAATTTTATTTTTACTATTTTAGTATTTCTAATATCGTCTATGTGAAATTTTTAAAATATAACTTACGTGGGGGTCTTCGCTGTTCATCGGCTAGAGTATTAAAAAAAGAAAAACAGGAATACTAATAATAGGTGAAAAAAATTTTGTACTGTATAACACAACAAAATAAACAGTACCTAAATATTACAGAAAAGCTTTCCTTATTGTGTTCTAAATATCTAAATATAGTTTTATTATAACACTGTCATATTTTTTTTTTTCTGTAAATTATATAATTTTAACTATACGTTAATTAATATGCAATACTAAGACCACGACAGGATTTATTGAATGTTCAGTCTTTAGTGCTGTGGACATATTTTCAAACTCAGAGCCAAGTTTAAGATGAATGAGTAAACACAATAAGTGTATAAGTTTATTTACTTTAGTTGAAAAATATTAAGTGTTAATTCGTATTCTAGTGATAACCTCATATTTCGGCCCCTGCATCCAGGTCTATCGACAATACGCCCATAAGTATTTTATTATACAGATTAATACTTTTTCCTAAATAGTATTTTTGCGGTCGTTCGCATTGCGGTGCAGTTTTTCGTAATTTATTCGAGTGATATTCTGCAATACTCGAAATTATCTCGGTGTTAGGTGGATTTATGGATCCGGCCTGGTCGGTGAAATGTAGATTTTACACGTGAGATAATTATACCTGTCTAATTTGACATAGGGGGATAAATCATATGTGTATTACTGTACTACAGGCCCATAACTGTTTTATATAATATTATATATGTTGGTGAAGAAAACCGAGGACGTTCGTAACATTTGGTTACTTTCTATGGAAATATAAAAGGTTAAAACTTTCTCAATCTTCTTACGATGAGTTAGAACTTATTAAGATAATAATATAATTACACGCTACGTCACTAATTGTCTTAAGC